GGGAGGAGCAGGCAGCAGCAGAGGCGGAGGAGGAGCAGGAAGCAGCAGAGGCGAGGGAGGAGGCAGCAGCAGAGGCGGAGGAGGAGCAGGCAGCAACAGAGGCGGAGGAGGAGGAGGCAGCAACAGAGGCGGAGGAGGAGCAGGCAGCAGCAGAGGCGGAGGAGGAGCAGGCAGCAGCAGAGGCGGAGGAGGAGCAGGCAGCAGCAGAGGCGGAGGAGGAGCAGGCAGCAGCAGAGGCGGAGGAGGAGCAGGCAGCAGCAGAGGCGGAGGAGGGCGGCACGCTGGCAGCACCACACCCGCCCATGCCAGCACACTTGCAGGCCACCCGCTCTCGAGTGGCGGCGGCTCAGGTGAAGAACCGCCAGCGGTTCGCAGCGCAGCGCAGGCCAAAGGGCGAGCCCAAGGACTTTGCTGTGGGCGATGACGTGCTGCTGCTGCCGCCGAAGCGCGGCAAAGTGGGCAAGCAGCTGGGCCGCAACCGCATCGTGTGCCGCGTGGTGGAGATCAAGCGGCCCTTTGGCGTGACCATGTACCGGCTGCGGAGCGGAGCTGGAGTGGTGGAGGGTATGCATCAGGTCAGCAGGCTATCTAAGGCGCCACCCAGCCTGGCCAGCGAGCTGACCTTCAGCGGCACGGCGCAGCGAGGAGTGCCTGTGGTGTCTCTCAATGTGGCGATGGCGGCGCAGCCCGGCGGCGGCAAGGCAGCCGTGCGCTGCGGCTGCCGCGGCGCCTGCACCCGGAACTGCAGCTGCAAGAAGAATGGTGCGCGGTGTGGGCGGCACTGTGGCTGTATAACCGGTAAGGGTGGCAATTGCAAGAACCATTGAAGAAGTGTGCCTTGTACGCTTTGCCGTCTCCGCTGAAAGGCGCTGCCGCCTGTGGCGGCTTCATATTTCCTGTTCATTTCTGTTGTTCGGTCTCTCTGTTCGTGTTGGTTGGCTTGTAAGAGTTGTATTTCTGACGCTAGAGAGGTGATCTCAAGATGACAGCGGGAGCGTTGAAGCGTGCATGCCATCACGTGTGCAAGCAGCCCCGCTCCGCCCCGCTCAACCCTCAAACATGGCTCTATGGGGTCAGTTCACGTATGGGAGGGGAGCGCCGCGCGGGCTGCCAGGAGCGAGCGGGGGCGGGGGTTGCCCAATCGGGAGGGTGCCACATCAGGGGGCAACATGTGCCAGGAAGCACCACTGCCGGGCAGGCGCACTCGGTGCGGCTGAGCGGGGGCGGGGCAAGGCAAGTGGCAGGAGTGGTCAGGGCGGGGCGGGGCGGCCCTGCATGGGGGCTGGTTGCTGCTGGTGGGGGAACCGAGGCGGGGGCCCGGGGGAGGGGGGGTACAGGAAGAGTCAGCATGGAAGGGGAAGGGCTGGCAGCTGTCGTCATCCTGCAACCACAGCGGGCACGCAGAGGGCAAGAGGGCAGGCAGGCATCTCGCTTCAGACAGCTGCCAAAGGAGGCAACTTGTGTGATGCGATGGCAGTGAGCCGGTTCAGGCGCCATCGTGCAGGCTGCGGGGAGCTTTACAAAACACAAGGCAGCTGCCAAAGCAACAACGTTAACGTTGTTGTTGTCAACATTGTTGTTGTTTATTGCGTGAAATCGAGGGCAGCGGCACGCAAGCCAGGAGTACAAAGCCAAGAGTACAAAGAGGACAAGAAAATGTACAAGCTGGGCACAAGCTCGCCGTCCCCACTGCATGGATGGGGCAAGATGGCGATGCTCCAGCTTGTGCCCCGGCCAGAGCTGTGGCCAATCTCTGCAGCCTGCTCCAGCCGCCATTGCCCCCCTTAAGGATGTACAACCGACCAGCGGGCTGCAGAGCAGGGGAAATCAGGGCCGCAAGCCAGTGACGACAAGCAACTTGAAGGCAACACAACCACGGCTGAGCGCTGCGGTGTTTGCAAAGCAGGTGGCACACAAGGCGAGGAGCGGTGAAAGTGGGGCGTGGCTGCCACCGCAAGGCAGCAACGCCAGGATACCTCCACTGCGAAACCGCTGTGCACCAACCACCCACCTTCGCTCACACATGTGGGCCTAGATTACTGAGACGAGCAAGAAGCATGCAGCGTGGACCACCATCAAATAGCTTATAAAGCTGCCGTAGTCGCCGAGGAAACCGATGCCAGCCAGCAGTAGGAAGAACACCGCAAGGGACCTCATGATTCGCCGGAAAATAAGGCGGTCCCTCTCAAAGCTCTCTTGCACCTGCCTGCGATTCTGGTTGAGGCGGTTCAGCTCCGCCTTGTACCAGTCTGGCTGGGAGGGCTGCGGCCGCTCCTGCGCCGGGCCCGAGGGCTGCGCCCCCGCCTGCTCCTGGCCCGCCGGCGGCGCCTCGGCAGCGGCCACCCGCCGCAGGCGGGTGCTGCGGAGCGCAAGGCAGCCTGCGGGACCTGCAGGCGGGCAGCAGGTGGGCAGCCAGAAAGGCATGGGCCAATATTGCCGTTGGAGACTTCGAGGAAGGATAATGTGGCACCCTGCACAGCGCTCAGTCCCCACCTGGGCCCCATAGGCCTGCCGGGCGGGCGTGCACGGCCGTGCGTGGGTGGAGGCCGGGCAGCGAGCTGCTGGATGCCGAGGCGAGGTAGGCCATGGCTCCCGGTGGAACAGTGCGGACGCACGGGGCGATTCTGGAGGCTGGGGCAGAGTGAGCAGCAGGCAGCGCAGCACCACGGCCCCTTCCAAATGGTTGCCCCAGTAAGCACCTCTGCCACGTGTACCCATGCCCACCTTAGGGCCTGGACGCCCTCATGCGTGCATGCCCGCCAGCCGCTCGATTCACCCATTTTTGTACACTCATTGGGCTCTTGAAAAGCGGGCCAACACGCCCTACAAGTGTGCAGCGAGCTCCCACCACCTGTCAGTGGGCGCAAAACCGCCTGAAAACCAACTTCACTCGCGGGCCACGTGCCTTGATCGCATTCCAATGGTGTTAGAAAAGGTTTGGACGCACGGGCGGACCGGGAAACGCCTCCCTGCAGCTTGGCATTTTTGAATGGCGCCCTGCAGCTGGCGCCCACAGACTCGTGACCACCCCCTCTGCAGAATGCTCTCCTCAAGCTAGTGGTTACAATCATGCTCACAAATCATTTAGCACTCTTGTCACCGACAGGGCCGGCCACCGCCCTCCCCGGTCCAGCACAACGTGAGCAGCTGCCGGTGCCGGCGCCGTTGCTGCATGTTGCTGCTGCAGCCCAGCTCCACCCATCAGTCTTCTTCTGCTTCACTCCACTGCAGGCAGGCAGCTTTCCCTGAATAGCCGGGTTGCACAGGAGCAGGGCGCAGCCCCCGGCTTGGCTTCACGTGCGAGCCGCTGCCCCGCCCTCGTCTGGTTCCCATACGACAGCCCTCCCCACTCACATTTGTCCCACGCCTTCTGTTCTGTCTGCAGTGCAACAGGGCGGTTATCGCGTAGGCGCCTCTGTCTACGACATGACCCATGGGACCTCACGTGGTTACGGCACAATCAGCAGGCGTGGGGAGCCTTGTGACGATGGCACACCGCGGTGGCATGTGCATTGGGAGCACCCACGCGAAGGACAACGCGACAAAGCCATAGCTGAGACGTACCTGGAGCTGCCGCTCGTGCACCACAAGGAGCGCGTCCCGCCAGCTGGACTAGGTCAGCGGATCCAGATGGTGCTGGGCACGCACAGGCCTGCACTGGGCACAACCGTTGCAAAGGTAGGCTCATGCGGGCTGCTGCCCTCAGCCATTGCCCCTATGCCTTGGCCAGCAATGCAGCTGGCATCCCCTCCTGCGCACCAGCTCCTGCTGCGTCCTGCCAACCAGCTGCTGCACCCTCACCTGCTACCCAGACCGGCGAGGGCTGGACGTGCGAGCTGGAGGGCCAGAAGATCCGCCACAACTTCAAAGGCGCCTACCTGCATGCAATGGGGCAGCCAGCTGATGGGAAGACGCTGCAGCTGTCAGAGGCGGTGGAGCTTGTTACCGCCCTGCCCCTGAAAGAGGCTGATGATGTTGGCACCATCCGGAGCGGCCTGCAGAAGAAAGCGGCGGGCAAGTGGACGCTCAAGTATGTCTGCTCCCATGCATCCAAGTGCAGCTGCCCGTACACGCTGGAGTTGCGGCATCCGGCTGGCAGCGAGGTGGTGAGCGTGTGGCAAACAGCGCCCCACCAGTTCCATGACCCCACCAGCGCCGACAGCCAGGCCCAGCTCCGCATGCACCCCCGCCTGGAGGCGATGGCCACCGTGATGATCGAGAGTGGCGCCAAGCCCACGTCCATCTGCACACGGCTGAACAACATGGTGCATGATCCGGCCGACCCGCTGGGCCTCGGGGGCGGGACTACTGGGCTGCAGCACTTCAGCAGCGCCCGTGTTAGCATCATCCCGCGGCAGATCTATGTGCTGATAAAGAAGCTGTGGCGTGCTGAAGGCTTGGGCCTCACCAGCGATGGGCAGGCGATGGCGGCTCTGATTGATGAGCTGAGAAGGGAGGGCTCTGTGCTGTCCTACCAGCCCTACAAACAGGCTGGCAGGCGCAGCGGGGAGCAGCCGCTGGTGATTGTGATGCAAGCGTCCTTCCAGGCGCGCATGCTGGACCAGTTTGGGCGGCGGCTGGTGTGCATGGACGCCACGTTTGGCGTCAACAAATACGGCTACCCACTCTAGCGCTGGTGATGAGCCTGCAGCCTAGCAGCCTAGCAGCAAGGCTGGGCTGTGTATGCAGCCACACCGGCACGCACCAGGGCTGTAGCACCCCCACCCGATCCTGGTACTTGCAGGTGCAAGATGAGAGCGGGCGCGGGGTGCCGGTCAGCTTCATGGTGTGCAGCTCGGATACGGTGGAGGTGGTGGAGCACTTCCTGCGCACATCGATGGAAGGGGTGAGTGCCAGAGGATAGAGGGATGCGCTGGGCAGGCAGCAGTCCCCCGCCTCCCAAGCCACCAGCTGGCGTCCACCGGGCATGCCGAAGGATACCTGCTCTGCTACTTCCACTTCCTGCAAGATTGGGAACGCTTCCTCAGCAGCGGCGACGCGGGTGTTCCTAAGGCTGAGCGGCACCGCATCATGCTGGCGCTGGCTCGCCTAGCCCACATGCAAGACCAAGCCCCGTTCCAACAAGAGGTGGGCAGCAACGCAGCGCATGGCCAGCAGTCTACAGGTGCTCACCCACTCGCCACTTGCATGCGCCACTGCCCTGCGCCCCCGCAGCTGGCCTGCTTCATCTTGAGCAACAGCCAGCAGCACCCCCCGGTGGCGCAGCGCATGCAGAACAGCTGGGTGCCGTGCGCCGAGAAGTGGGCATGGTGTGGGCGGCTGGACGTGCTGGACCTGCAGTGCAACACAAGCAACCTCGGGGAGCGCAACTTTGGCCTCATTAAGTACACCGACCTGGAGCGCAGGGCGCAGCTGACGCTACACGAGCTGCTGCTACAGCTGCTCACCAAGACAGTGCCCCGCAACATCCAGAACCGCGCCCACATGCTGGTGGGGCGGGTGACCAGCGACCAGCAGCAGCGCGAGCAAAGGGCAGCACTGTGGGTGCAAAAGCTGGTTGAACGCGGTGCGGTGGTGCCAGCAGCGGATAGCAGCACCCCAGAGCTCACCCTGATGCAGCAAGGAGAGGATGCGCCACCCGTGCACTCGTGTGTGGGCGATCTCAGCTGCTCCTGCGGCTACAGTGGTGAGTGGAAAGAGCCAGGGTCGGGTCAATGCATTGCAATGTCTGCGGCACGATGCCTGCCGACCTCCCCCCATCGGCTGCCCATGGCGGCGCAGCGGAGCATGTGTGCGTCCACGTGCGGGCAGCCGCTAAGGTCGTCGGCTACACACACAAGCTGCGGCTGGAGACGGCAGCGCACCTGGTGGAGGCTGGGCTGATTCAGGTGGTCGAGGTGACAGGCAGCTGCACCACCTCCACGCTGGCCGACATCACCAAGGCGGTGCACTGCAGGCCGCACGAGGGTGCCTGCACCTGCCACGGCCAAGACCAGCACGGCATCTGCTGCCACTTGCTGGCTGCCGAGAAGCTGCCATTCTTTGTGGGAGCAGAGCTGCCGATGGTGGTGCAGCTGGCAACGCCAGAAGCCGCATCTGAGGTAAGTGCATGGCGGGCAGGGGGCAAGGGAGGGATCAACAGGAGGTTTCGCAGCCGCAGCCAAGCCCCCAACCCAATGTGCTGTCATGCAGCGCATTTTGATTAAGGGGCGCGTCTTCCAGCAGCCCACCAGCGAGCCGTTGGGCGATGACTGGGGGCAGGACCTGCGCATGCTTACCCGCGTGCGGCAGACCAGTGCCACAGCCATCAAACAAGTGGTTACCAATGCCGCCGACACCACAGCAGCAACACGCGCCGACCTGAACTACGTCGGCCGCACAGTGGCAGATCTGGCGGAGGGGGAGGAGAAGCAGGCTCTGTGCAAAGCCGTGAAAGACCTGCAGAGCAAGGCGGAGGAGATGCGCCAGGCGGCACGCTTGGAGCCCACCAAGGTGCGAGCAGGCAAGCAAGCGCGGAGGAAGCAGGGGCGCAATGAGCAGGACAGGCTCACCCGCGCACTGCTGACCCGAAAGCACAAGAGCAGCGCGCCCCTGGCACAGCAGACGGCGGCAGCAGAGCGCAGCGACCCCTTGCCCACCCTGCGCCAGAAGGACAAGTCGGCAAGGAAGGTGAGGGGCTGGGAAGTCAAATGGCGGCAACATCGTGGCTGTTGTGGAGGGCCCGCCTTTGTGCAAACATGCTGCATACTTGCCTGTCCGTGCAGATGCGCGGTCCTACGGTGCCTGGCAATAGAAATGGTACCACACTCCGCAACAACGGCTCGCATCATCGGGTGCAGAAGAAGCGCCGCACAGAGGCAGCAGTGGGGGCGGCGGTGTAGCGGCGGCCATTCCTGCGCATCGGAGGCAACAATTCAGCGGTCGCTGAAGCGCAGACACCTGCTAGGGAGGCTCCTGCAGAGCTGCTCAATGGCCGCCGGCCGCCGCAGCCGCCGCATTCTAGGCTTTAAGCATGTGGCGTTGTCAGGGCGCCTGCTCACTATCACATCACCCAGTACGCACCTGGTAACATTTTGGGGAGCGTGCACGCAAGGAGAGAGGCTGAAAGAGGCTGGGCCCACCATCACCCGTATTGCCGGCACGCTCAGGTGCGCGCCATTGGCGCCTGTCGACGAGGAAATGTATGTAGGACACGGGAGAGGGCGGGAGGGATGTGGAAGAGGCGAGCACAGGGCTCCGCACTTGCCAATTGCTTGTGTGAGCCCCTTGGGCGCCCCACAGAGCGTCGAATGAACCCATTGCCGCAAGCGGGCATGCATCAGGCCTTACTGGGGACTGGGTGGAAGGGGCCGTGGTGCTGCGCTCTGCGGTGCCTGCTGCTCACTCTGCCCCAGCCTCCAGAATCGCCCCGTGCGTCCGCACTGTTCCACCGGAGCCATGCCCTATTTCGCCTTGGCATCCAGCAGCTCGCTGCTTGGCCTCCACCCACGCACGGCCGTGCACGCCCGCCCGGCAGGCCGATGGGGCCCAGGTGGGGAATGAGAGTTGTGCAGGGTGCCACATTATCCTTCCTCGAAGTCTCCACCGGCAACAATGGCCCATGCCTATCTGGGTGCCCATCTGTTGCCCGCCTGCAGGTCCCGCAAGCTGCCTTGCGCTCCGCAGCACCCGCCTGCGGCGGGTGGCCGCTGCCGAGGCGCCGCCGGCGGGCCAGGAGCAGGCGGGGGCGCGGCCCTCAGGCCCGGCGCAGGAGTGGCCGCCGCCCTCCCAGCCGGACTGGTACAGGGCGGAGCTGAATCGCTTCAACCGGAAGCACAAGCAGGCGCTGGAGCGCTTTGAGAGGGACCGCCTTATTTTCCGACGAATCATGGGGTCTTGTGCGGTGTTCTTTTTTATGCTGGCTGGTATCGGTTTCCTCGGCGACCACGACATCTTTATTAGCTATTTGATGGTGTTCAACGCTGCATGCTGCTTGTTCGCCGTAGCATTGTGAGCGAAGGTGGGTGGTACCTGCACAGCGGTTTGGCAGTGGAGGTAGACTGGCGTTGCTGCGTTGCGGTGGCAGCCGCGCCCCACTTTCACCGCTCCTCGCCTTGTGTGCCACCTGCTTTGCAAACACCGCAGCGCTCAGCCGTGGTCGTGTTGCCTTCAAGTTGCTTGTCCTCACTGGCTTGCGGCCCTGATTTCCCCTGCTCTGCAGCCCGCTCGTTGACTGTTCGTCCTTAAGGGGGGCAGTGCTGGCTGGAGCAGGCTGCAGAGATTGGCCACAGCTCTGGCCGGGGCACAAGCTGGAGCGTCGCCATCTTGCCCCATCCATGCCAGTGGGGACGGCGAGCTTGTGCCCAGCTTGTACATTTTTTTGTCCTCTTTGTACTCTTGGCTTTGTACTCCTGGCTTGCGTGCCGCTGCCTTCGATTTCACGCAATAAACAACAACGTTGTTGCTTTTGCAGCCTGAACTGGCTCACTGACTCCGCATTCGCACAAGTTGCCTCCTTTGGTAGCTGTCTGAAGCGAGATGCCCACTGTGGTTGGGGATGGATGATGACAGCCCTTCTCCTTTCATGCTGACTCTCTCCCTGTACCCCCCCCCCGGCACCCGCCTCGGTTCCAGCAGCAGCAACCATGAGAGTGCGGTGCAGTTGGCTGGTCAGCATCACATGCATGGCCTGCGCCCCGCCCGCCCGCCTGCCCGCCTGCCCGCCCGCCTGCCTACTCGCCTTTGAGTCGGTCACTGATGCCCACCCCTTCCCATCATTGGCTCCTGTGCAGCCTGCATGGCTGACGGCAGCTTCGCACCCTTGCCGCTATTCAGGTGATCTGCTGTCGCCAGCCTTGCCCAAGCCAGCTGGCGCAGCTCCAGGAGGTGCTGGCGAAGGGCGGTGCAAGCTGGATGGACCATATGTGCACAACGTTGTGGGCGCCCTCAACCAGGCGCCAGGCATGTTTGGGCAGCGAGAGAGCTACTTGGACGCAGTAGGTGGCGGCAGGACCACATGGCGCAGGCGCAGCTTCGCACTGGATCGCATTGGGGAGCAGAAGAGACCGGCCACAGCGCACCCGAGAGCAGCGAGTCTACCCCCACTGCCGACCTTGCCAACCTGACGGCATTGAGGACGCCCCTCACACGCTGCTCTCTTGCACAGTTTAGGGCCCGCTGCGCCTCGCCTTTGCCGCCCTGTTTTCTGAGCCCCTGCACTGCCACCAACGCTGGCAGTCAGCCACCGCCGCTCTGCCGACTTCCTCACGCTGTGCAAAATGTATGCAATGCTGTCTTATTACAAGCACCAAGGGAACCTTGTGTGCAAAATTGTAGTTACCATTGCAACAGGCTGCGTTTTGAAGACTGGCACCCTGGAAGTGATCTACAGGATGGTAGATGTGTCCTTGGCAAGGGGCGAAGCCGTGAGGCAGAGAACATGTGTGTTTACGACTTCGTATGCTGAGGCTGCTGGGTTATCATCGGGCGCCCTCGCTCCAAGCCGTTTCAATTGAAGGAACTGTTGCCCTTCTCTTGATCACGCCACCCATCGCCCCACTCCAGGCGCCTCCCCCAAGTGCCTGCAATATGGCACAGACTGTGGCGGTGACTGGCGGCGGGGGCTACGTTGCCACCGAGTTGATCCACCAGCTGCTGGTTAGTGGCGCAGCCATCATCCACACCTGGCAAGCGGCGGGGCGGTGGCGGCAGCAGAGCTGCCACCGTGGCCGCAACACGCCGGGCTCCTCTGCGTGTGTGCTGCTGCTTGCAGGCCAAGGGGTTCAACGTGAGGGCCACGGTGCGCAGCAAGGCCGATGCGGCCAAGGTGGCCCACCTGACGTGCCTGGCCACGGCATTGCCAGGTGTGCAGACGGCAGCAGCGTGCACCGTGACGCTCCAGCCGACGAGCCTTGCATGTAGTACCAGGTGTGCTGCCTTGTGTTGCATGCCCGCAGGCAGTGTGGAGCTGGTGGAGGCAGACCTACTGGTGGAGGGCGCCTTTGACGCGGCCTTTGCGGGCTGCCGCTACGTCTTCCACACCGCCTCGCCTTTCTTCATCGAGGCAGGAGACCCGCAGGCGCAGCTGGTGGACCCGGCAGTCAAAGGAACTCGCAACGTGATGCAGGCGGTGGCACGGAACAAGGCGGATGTGCGACGGATAGTGCTCACCTCCTCTTGCGCGGGTGGGTGGGTGAGGGAAGAGGCATCCGGGCCAACCTGGCTGCCCTGCGTCGCTTGCTGCCGCCTCAATGCCTGTGAATCTCACCCTACCGCCTGAGTGCAGCCATCAAGGGCAATGCCAACGCGGCCGCCCCCAAGGTGGGCAGCACCTACAGCGAGGCCGACTGGAACGAGACCTCCACCTTGCCAGCAGAGGCGTACTGGTGCAGCAAGGTGCAGGCGGAAAGGGCGGCTTGGGAGCTGGCAGAGCAGCATGGCCTGGACCTGGTGACCATCTTGCCAGGTGAGGTGCGAGTGAGGGTGCAGTAAGCATTGATCAAGGGCAGCGGCAGACAGGCGCATCTCCATGCCCCCCAGCGCTGAAGGTGCAAGGGCAGTGGGCGGGCCCGTCGCCGCCCTGAACTGTACTGCTGCTGTCTGCAGAGTTCATCATGGGTCCTGTGATCTCGAGACGATCGGATGCGACCAGTTTCGGCTATATGAAGGTGCGGGCTACCCGCCCTCTCTTGACGCACGGCTGGGCCTTGGCCTCCTTGGCAGGGCGGTGGTCTTGAGCCGCCGCTCCTAACCGCCAACTGCCTGCCCGCCTTCCTCTGCAGGCGTGGCTGGAGGGCACTGCGCAAAACTTTGCACCCGTGTTTGCGGATGTGCGGGACGTGGCACGCGCGCACATCCTGGCAGCAGAGAACCCAGCAGCCAGCGGGCGGTACATCGTGGCCACCACCCACAGCACATCGCCCAGCACCATCTCCTCCTGGCTCCAGGTGCGGGGCGGTGCTGAGTGTCGCTCGTTTGTTGCCCCTGTATGGGCTGGTCACCTGCCTCACTTGCAAACGCTGCTGCCCCCCCCCTCGTTTTCTTCCGCCAAAGGAGCGCTTTCCCGAGTATGCACTCGCTGATGGCGAGGAGATGGAGTGCACGGAGATCATCAACAACTCGAGAGTGCAGGGGGAGCTGGGGCTGTCCATCACGCCGGTCAAGGAGACCATCGTGGACATGGCGGCCACCTTGGTGCAGCTGGACCTGGCGCAGCCCAAGCCCAAGGGCCCAGAACCTGGCAAGCAGTAGCTTTGCCGTATGTCAGCTGCCCATTTTGTTACGAGCGCATTCACTTGTGGCCCAGCTTTTTGCGCTTTGCATTTTGTGTGCAACTGGAAACAACTCAGCTTGCAAAACGTTGTCCCATGGCAACATGGACGGCCTGTTAATGACAGGCAGTACCATCTCATGCCTCCTCGGCACTGGTGGCGTTGGCATCACTGGCTGTCACTGGCGAGCCGCCATGGCCGCGCGGCTCCGCCTCCTCGTCCTCCTCTGCGCTTGTCCAGCCGCCGTCCCCATTCTCGCTGCTGCCAGCGCTGTGCAAGTAGGTGCCAGCGGGCGGCGTGGGGTCACGGTTGTCACCTGCCTGCAGGGCCGGTCGCCGCAGGCCCCAGAAGCTGGCGGGTTGCAAGCTGGGCCGCACTGCCGTGAAATGCCAGCCTAGATGCGTTCCACAGGCGCAGTACGCGCACTGCCATGCATAACCTGCATCACCAGGCACATGCTGCTGGTTTGTGGTTGCATTGAAACAGCAGGGCACAGCAGGGCCAATGGGGAAATCACTGGGCACAGCACTTAAGGAATCGAGCCAGCGCACCGGGAAACCAGCTGTGCGCAGTTTCGGGGCCGCCCTCCAGCAGCACGTTGCCTGCAACCTGCAACTAAATGTGCTAGAATGCTCAGCAGTGGCTTCCAAGCAGGGCTTGCCACCACAGCTGTGCCAGGGCTCCACCACGCCTCCAAAGGCATGCCACCCACCGTGGACAGCGTGACAATGTCGTGAATGAACGCATGCGAATTGACATAGCAGGCGCTGATGCCCTCCTCGCTCATCTACAGGATGCGGCAGGGGTTGCACCAAAACCGACGCTTCGAGCGACTGCACTGTGTGGCAACACCTCCACCTCACGTACAATTTGCTGCTGCAGTAAGAGCAATGCACAAGGGCTGCGCCTACCTGCACAGCATCAGCACTGCGCGCCAGCGAGGTGCCGCATGCTCGGCAGCACAGAGTGCCAAGCGCCTGCAGCAGCTTGCACTCTGCCCGCAGCCGCTCGTCCGCTGCAGCCAGAGCAACGGGAGCAAGCAGCAGCTGGACGTGGTCGGTAGCAAATGCAACACTCTGGTGTTGCATTTGCACCATGTTGCTCTAGAGTTCATTCTGACTTGACATCACTGCCCATCCAGTTGCAAATAGATTGATCACCGCACCCGCCCACCCACCTGAGCACGCCTCCAGCAGCTGCTGCCGAACGTCGTCATCCACCGGTAGATTGCTGAGCAGGAAGTAGCTGAGCTCCAGAGGGTTGCCCTCAAACTCGCGGGCCTGCAGGAGAGCGGCGGCACAGGTGAACAGATGCAGGCAGCGGTGCTGCACCCATGCAAGCCAGTGCCCCTGCTGCACACCTGCGGCGCAATTGAGTGGAAGAGGCGTCTGGCACGCTTAGCCAGCTGCCAGGCGTCAAAAGTGGCATACAGGGCGCGTGGGTGCCAGGCCACGCCTGCCTGCGCCTCGGCGGGGACCGGCAGCGGGGGTGGCTCTGGCAACACCCTGCACAAAGGGCATGCATGGTCGAGGGCTCTCCGACTTCAAGCCGGATGCCTGTGGGAAGCACCTCTTGCTGCTGCACACCCTTACAAACCTGACGGGCACCGAGGACAGCTGCATGCCGCCCTCCATCACTGCATCCAGCTGCACCTCCACACGCTGTCGCCCTGCACATCGCAAAAAAGTGAAGTTTCCAGGATTCCGCCAGACGAACAGAGTCACTTGCATGTCAACCAAGCGCACCTTTGGCCAGCAAGTTGATGCCACCGCCCCCCATCTTGCAAATCTCCGCCACACAGCCCACCCTGCAGTGCCAGGCGCGCCCAAGCCGTTTAACCAATGCACAATGCATGGGTTGCACACAGCTTTTTTCTAAAAAGAAAACTACCTCTGCAACATGAGCTGGGGCGTGAAGTAACCACGTTGGCAGCAGACCACCGCGATCAGGCGAGTGAGTGGTGGGGGAGCATTGAGCGCTTGCTGCAGGAGGGCCCGGTCGCCGCGGAAGGTCAAGCGCAGCGGGAGTGTGCTGCCGGGGCAGAGCACCAGGCCTGCATCAGGCGCGGCAGTGTTGGCGTCATGCGTGGCGGGGGCCTTGCGCAGCCTGTCCCTGCCTGTCCCTCCCTCCACCTGGGCGGGCCGACCATGTGGTCATGCAGCTGGAGTTTGAATGGGATGGACCGCCCACGCCACTCAGCAGCGCACCGTCAAGGGGAAGAACTGGGAGCCGATAGGTTCGTCCCTCCTCCAGCAGGCCGGCGCTGCCCTCCAGATCATCAACCTCCCCCAAGTAGGAGTGAGTAGCTACGACTGTCGGGGACAGCACCTCGTCGCCGGCTGTGGGTCCTGCCGCCGCTTGCCCGCCGCCACCTTCCAGGCCGGGGCGTCCGTCGGGGTCGCTCATGCTGCAAGCTAGCTTGCCGTGCAACCCTGTGCTTTGAAAAAGTGAGTGAAGGTGGGCGTTGGCAGCGGGCCCGGGGTGCCTCCAGCGAGACTGGCTCGACCCGGGCTGTTTCTAGTCTGCGCGAGACCGGCAGTTGACTCGTGAGGCTGCAAACGTCTCCGCGTGCCCGGGCGGCGAGAGAACTCGCAACTGGCGGCGGACGCCAGCGTGGCAGGCGGCGGCGACCTGGCACACTTGGGTAAAATCCCATTTCAGGCACCGACTATGCCTTACATCTCCATTGTCAAACAGAGAACGATTAGCATAAATACGAGCCAAAGATGACAGCTGACAACCTCCGCCATCCCCGCCACCACCCAGTCGCACCGCCAACCTTGTCGCCTCCGATCAGCGCGCAGCCAGTTGGGCCGGCAGCAGGCGCATCTTCATATGAATGTGAATCTCACATCAAAAATGTGCAAGTTGCTTGTTTCGTTCAGGCAATATTGGAAACAGCATGCCAGGTTAATTGCCAGCATCCCTTGAAGCACGGGCCGTGCAGGCCCTGGGGTCAAAACAGCCAGGGACATCTCCACGAGGTGAGATCCGCCCCGTGTTTAGGGTGACCAGCTTAGATGACCAGCTTGATTGCCGCCGGCACAACCTTTTTGAGTGCGTCTAACACGCCGCTCTCAGGCAATAGCTTCGTAATGAATTCGCTCTGACTGAACTGCTGCGCCAGCTTTTGCGCCTCTGCAGGAAATCAATGCAACCCTCTTTATAATGTGGGACATGCGCACGGCCGCACTCCGCCGGGCCTGCATCACCCAACCCACCTGCGGTGCAGTGCGCCCACACCTTCATGTACTCCTCGTCCACGGCCGCGTTGATGGAGGCACGGGCCTTCATGCGCAGCCGCTCGTCCTTGATGATGTCTTCCAGTTTGTCGGGCTCCTGCTGGCCAGGAGACATGGCTAGCCCTGAGGAGGGCAATATGAGGCTACGCCATGAGCTTTTCTTGCCTTCCTCCTTTCCCTCTCACCTCGTACAGCTTGGTCAGAAGCTCGTAGGAAAGGGGCGCCTTCTCGTCCTGCTCCGCGCAATACATCTCAAACTTGCTCACACCCCTGCAGTAACCAGCACATCGATCGATGGCATAATGTGATTGATATTCATCGCATCACGCCAGCCCATTAAGGCAAATGTGTTGAAGCCTGCGCTGATTATGTGCTCGATTCGCGCACACACTTGCCTCCTCATTGCCACCTGCTTGCGCGCCAGCTCCCACTCGCCGATGAGCAGGCGATCCCGGATCTTCTCGCTGCTCTGAATGTACCTGCGCCAGGGGGCGGCGGCGATTGGCCAGCCCAGCTTCAGCCAGCGCACAGCCCTGCAGCCCCGGACCCTCCACAGCCAGCTGCTGCCCACCCCTTGCTCATCAGCTGCGTGAAGGTGTCCATCACAGTCTCCCAAGACTTCTCGTCTTGCTGCAGCACAGGAGAGGCGGTAGATAGGGGAAGGCGGCATGCGTGGGCGGTGAGGGGCAGGAAGGAGGCACCAGGAGTGCGCCAAGCAGGGGACGGCAGAGCTGCAGCCTCCGGCTTACTTCAAGCTGGTCGTCCTGCTGATGCTGCAGCTGCTCCATGCCCGACGTGTCGCCGTTGCCTGACGAACGCACTGCCTCTGCCAAGCTGACCGCCCGCTGCCGCGCCCTGTCGTTCAGCTGTTGCAGCTGGGCATCGATCAGCTCCATCCTGCCAGTCGGATGGGTGCGTTGGGGTGGGTGCACCACAGGGAGCAGGTGTCGCCAGCCCGACATTCTTACCGTGGCCAAACTGGCATCCCCGGCGGCAACACAGCTCGCAGGCACAGCAGATACCGACTCGCCTCTCCAACAGATTCTGCATCTCTCTGCGCAGCTCGCTCTCGACGTCCTTGCTGATGCTGCTGGCCACATTGACATCTGCGGCATCGACCTTGGTCTCCGGCTGCTCGTCACCGTCGCTGCCGCCTTGGAACATCAGAGCAGAGTAGGCACGGGGTGCCTGGCACCCTCGCACTGCTGCTGACCTCCTCAAGGGTGCTGAGGAGCGGCTTGCTGGGCCGCGGCCCCCGCGGAGGGTGAGAAGCACAGGCCTCCTAGGAGCACCTCGACTGCTGCTGGGGTTGCACGCCAGCATCCTGCCCTGCACTCTGGAGGGTGCCTGGTCTGATCTGGAGATCAAAAAAAGCTGGCTGCGTGCCCAGGACACGGCTCTTCTGTACTACATGAAGTACGACTGGTTTGCGCCAGCAAGCCAGAGAGAGTCAGGGGTCAGAAAGCCTTTCTGAAAGGCTAAGTGTCTCAATGCTGCCCAGGGGCAGCATCGCTGGGCGTCGCACTGTTCCTTCCTTCTTCTGATAGTGTCATACCTCTTCTTCTTCATGTCAGAAGGAAAGCAGTTCAAAATAGTGGGAAGATGGAGACTGCAAAAGACAAGAACATTACCCAGCTGTCTTGCCCATCATGGGTGCCACCAGCTTCCTCAACCCGTCGACCACCCCATGCTCGATAGGATCTGGGATGAGCGACGAGATGAACTCCGCCTCGGAGAACTGAGAAGCCAATTTCTGCGCTTCGGCGGTGCAGGACTCCCAGGCCTTGGCCCGCTCCTCTGCCTCCGCCTGCAGGATGCCGGTGTGCAACAGCAGGAGGGTGGCGTAACAACGATTCACCGATTTGTAAGAACGATTCACCTGCTACGCCACTCCTTCTCCTCCCCACTCCCAGCACTCCACAGGCACCCTGCTTGCCTGCGTGATGATGGAGCGCGCCTGCATGCGCAAGAATGGGTCATCAATCCCGCTAAGGTCGGTCGGGTCCTCATAAAGGGTGGTGATGGCATCGAAAATGCCGTATGATAGCTGCATATCCACGCGGTTGGCGACGCACCAAGCCTCAAACCGGCTCACGCCACTGCGCTGGCAGCAAGTTGGGCAGGCAACACCAGAGGCCCATGTGAGGGCGTTGCCACCTCCATGGCATGTATTACAACGCGATTACCAGCAAGAAAGCATCGCACCAAGGCATGCCCACTACAGCAACCGCATGCTCACATCTGAAGTGCAATGGGCCGCAGCCCAAGCTCCCACTCCGTCACCATGAGCCGATTGCGCAGGCCATCCACAGCACGAATGTAAGTTTTGCTCAGTGCGAGCGTGAAGCTGCAGCCGGCCAAGGCAGGGGAGAAGCGTAGGCAGGGAAGAAGCGATGGCGGCAAAATGAGTGTGTGGCAAACCACCAGACAGAGCCGACCAGTCCGGCCAACAACCTTGATGGCAACTTGCCTGGCACGGTAGCTGTCCCAAGGCTGCTGTTCATGATCCGGCTGCAGCAGCCGGGCAGCAGGGACAAGGATGTGACAAAGGCGGCAGGACGGAGATGTGGAAAGCGAAAGACCTGCAGTAGCGCAACCTACAGGAAGCTGGCCATAATTCTGGGACAGCAGCTTGTCCATTTCCTTGTCATCTCTCAGGATGGCTCGTAGCGCTACTGCCCTATCTTTTCCTCGTTCCTCGAGCTGCTGCAAGGCTGCTTCCATCTCCTCCACCCTGCAAGCCAGCCGCAACGCGCCTCCTTAAGGGTAAGGAGGGGGGCGCAAAGGGGGGGGCGCCTTTGTTGTGCAGGGCCAGCAAAGCCGTTAGTTACCTGGCCTGCAGCTCCTGGCAGTGTGCTATGAACCTGTCGAGATCCACCTGCTGCCTGCTGTCCACAGCGTCCATGCCGCCCTTGTTCACCGAGCTGTTGCCCGCCGCCGCCGCCTTGCCGCCGCCGCCCCTCCCCATGGCCCCCCGCGGTGCTGAAGCGACGAGCAGGTGCCTGCGTCGCTGGCATATACGATGCACGATTTGGCTGGAGCAAGCTTGGGCGGGCATTACGGCTGCCGATTACGGCTGCCGTAATACCAGGTTATCTTTGCAGAGCGCGAGTTATGCCTCACTGAGCCGGCGCAGCACCAAGTCCACAAAGCGCTACTTGCAAGCAAGCCGCACAAAGTCGTGTCAAGCAGGCGCCAGCGGGGCGGAGCGCCAGCAGCTGGGCGGACCGCCGCTTGGAGTCGGACGCAGCGGAGTCTGCTTACAAAGTGCCGTACAGTAATGTACAAATGGCGAACAATCACACACTGCTGTCGTTGTGCAACTGGTATGCACCGCGCAGTGCCGGGTGCTGCTCCTCCGCCGCTTGCAGCGCAGTGGCCACGCTGCGCCCCGCCAGCAGCGCCTCATAAAATGCAGCAAAGTAGCCGCAGCAGTCTTCTGTGCTGCACTCCAAGGGCGCCGCGCTGCCTTCTTCGCTGCCATTGCCAGCATCAGCCTCGGCGCCAGCGGCCATGCGGCACACCACACCCTTGGCACCCGCGCGCACGATGGCGGCTGCAAAGCCGTGGGGCAGCGCCGCGGTGCACACGACCAGCTGGCCCCGCAGCAGCCAGGCCAGCGCACCCAGGCTGTCCTCAGGCAGCACCACCTGTGGGCTGGCAGCAGACAGCAGCAGCATGGACAGCGGAGCGCCCTCGGTCCAGTGCGTCTGGCTGCTCAACACGTTCAGGGTGCGGCTGCCCGCCAGCTCCAAGGTGGGCTGCTGGGAGAAGATGTCCGTCAGCCGTGCATCCTGTGGGTCGTGACCCAGGCTCTGCAGCAGCGCAGAAGCCTCCTCGCCTGCAGGCAGCACGAATCATGCAGTGTATGTGGCAGCGGAGCGCAGGTGGGGCTAAAACCCCACGGGGAACCCGTGCCACCCAAGATCCGCAGCTGCAAGCACACCACACCATGACATCTGCCAGCCCAAGGCTCACTTGGCTCTGCCACCACTTGCAGGCGCTGCTTCCACTGCAGCACGGGACCGTCGCCGCCCACCGCCTCCATGCCCAGGTGCACCACGCCCACAGAGGGCACCAGCGGCGCCACCTGCTCCTCCAGCCTGGCCAGCAGATCTTGCCCCGCTGCGCTTCCTGCTGCTGTGATGCCTGCTGCCGGGCTGCTTGCTGCTGCCATGCAAACTGCTGTCCTGCGGGGGACTGCTGGCCACCGCGGTGGGCTGCGGGCAGGGCTGGCGCTTGAATCGGTCCCCGGGGTGCTGGCGCTATGGCGGGAAGGTGGGCGCCCTGACCGCCGCCCGGCCAGGGCGGCCACTGCCGCATCTCCTGCTGCGTCGGGAGCCGGGGGCGGCTGCTTTGGCTGCTTGGCCGGGCTGCCAAACCAGCTGCTCAGGTAGGCAGAGAGGCCGCTGCCCTCAGGTACCACACTGCCATCGTCGGGGCTCTCTGGCGCAGCAACTTGCGCCTGCTGTGCTGCCGGCGGGGGCCCCCCTGCTCTGCTGGGTGCCGTTACTGCCAGAGTGGTGCCAGCTGCTGAAGATACTGCAGGGGGTGTTGGTGCTGCCGAGGGCAGCTGCTGCTCCTGGTCACACTCGCGGCCGCTAGGCGGCACCGTCAGTCGCTGGAGGTTGACAACTGCCGCACAGTCTGGCAGCCTGCCCAGGCTGGCTGCAACTGCGTCGTCCACGCTGGCCTGCTGCGCGCCCAGCCGCGGTGCTCGCAGGACCACAAGCTTGCGCCGCAGGCCCAGCTTTACGGGGGCTCGAGCGCTGGAAGGCGCTGCCATTTCAGCGCCAGCCTCCCCACCCTGCATGCGCGTGCGGAGCCTCAAGAGTTGGTTGCCACGGCCAGCAAGCAGCGCCACATCCCAAGCAGCCCTGCACCTCCACAAGCGCTGCCCAGCCGGCAGGAAAGTACACGGCTGGGCCCCGCACCTGCGTGCCGAGCGCCGCCGCCGCCGCCGCAAACTTGGCCTGTGCTGCGGGCAGGGCGATGTAGTCGTCGGTGGCCGCCTCCAGCGCCGCCCAGCGCTCCGGGTCGATTTCGTCCAGCTCCATGGCGCAGCGTGGGTCAAGCGCGCAAAACCTGGCAGGAGCGGCCGGTGGCCCGATTGGCTGGCAAGGAGTGCGGTGGAATGGGGGAACAGGCGGGCAGGCGCCACAGGCGGGCAGGCACCACGGGTCCCCAGCGGCCCAGCATCCTGCCAGCCTAAGCACACCACCCACCTAAAGTACTTGACGCCCGGCACCAGAGGCAGCAGCGTGGCCACCGCCTCCTCCACCCGTGTCACGCTCGTGCTGCAGGGGCAGAGCAGCCAGCAGGCAACATTCGCTCAGCAGTCAACTGGACAGTACCCCATGCCCTTGCGCATGTATCACAGCGCCCTAGAGTGAGCCACGGCACCAGTCCGAGCCACAGCCCCCCCCCCCCCCCCCCCCCCCCGTGTCCCACCTTGACTCGATGAGGATGGAGCCTGTCTCCATGAACGATGTCAGCCCCTTCTCCCGCCGCGCCGGCGGTGCCAGACCCACCCCCAGGCTCACCACCACCTCGACGCGGTGCTCCGGCCACAGCAGGCGCGCCTCCTGGAGGGCAATGACGCACGGGTTGTTGGCTGTCACAGCGCCGTCCTGGAACTTGTCGCCGCCACAGCTGCGGGAGATGGCAGGGGAGGGAGGCGAGACGGGCGGAATCCTTAGATGCGCACCAGTGGGCGACATGGCGCCAGGGCCACACGCACTGGCAGGGTGGGGAGGCGAGTAGGCACCTGAGGCCAGGCAGCCGCCCCCCACCTAAAGTCTTCCAAGTAGAAGGAGGCCGCCGACGAGGCGCGCACTGCCTGCCACACCGCGTGCTTGCAGGAGCCGGCGTGGCCCGAGATCTGCTGTGCCAGCGTGTCGGAGCCGGGAGGAAGCTGGTAGTTGCGGAAGACAAACGGCGGGGCGGGGGAGACGGACGACAGGGTGCTGACAAGGGCGATGCTGGGCACATTCAGCCCCGCGGTGTCTACATCAAGAGTAAGGGCAGAGCGGCGGAGAGAAGGCTGGGTGGAAGGCGGAGGATGGACTCGACAAGCTGCGCAGGGAGACGAAAACGGCCATGGCCGTTCCACGAAATTGCGCTCCCCTCCCACCCACCAATCATGGCATCTCCAACGCAGCGTTCATGGGTGCTGAAATCGCAGTACTCTCGCAAAAGGGATTCTGCAGGGGGCAGGGCAGCAGGGATCTGGGCAGCAACAACAGTGTGATTCGTGACTGGGGGAATGCGCTTGCAAGCACCCAATTGCGTACACATGCGCAGCACAGCTGCTCAGCAGATTACCCTCCAACATCCAATGACGCGCTGCCCTGGGACCAAACGACAAGCCATGTCGGTGTGGCCTCAGGCTGGCCTGATGAGCCTGCCTCACTCACCATACACGCTGGCATCGTGCTTGTAGCCCACCACCACGGCACGCACGTGTGAGGTCTTGTTCTGGAAGGTGCGATAGAAAGACTGCAGGCACCACACGACAGATACTTGCAAGATGTGACCAAATCACGCTGACAAGGCAGCACAGCGGTAGACCTGTTCTTGTCTTGCTGCCTGTAGACTGTTGTTGGCAAGGAGCAAACAGCCCCAAGCAGGCCAAACCAGGCAAGGCACAAACAGCGCAAGGCACCAGCGCAGCTCCCCCCGCCCACCAGGCCGCACCTCCATCCAGCTCTCCTCCTTGCTGTCCTTGGCTGCCACGATGCGGGAGAAGACCTTCTGGCCCAGCACCTTGTAGATGTAGGTGCAGTCGTCCATGTCAAGCTGGCGCAGGCCCAGCGCCACCGCCAGCAGCCCACCTGTGCTAGTGCCCACTGCAGGCGGGCCAGTCGACAGCGGCAGCCAGCACAAGTCGAGGTTAACTCCCTCTGCTGTGTGCTGGCAGGGTGCATGGGGCAGTGCGGACAGCCCCAGGGCCAAGGCGGCGTACCGATGAGGTCAAACATCTCGTAAATGCGCTTGCCGGTGTGGCGCTCCAGCTCGCGCAGCAGGCGCACCGTGGCCAGGCCCTTCATACCGCCACCGTCTGCGCAGATGAGCACCAGATGGGCGACCGGGGAATGCGCGTCATAATACGGCAGCAACGCAGGGCTGCTGCATGGCACGCAAGGCGGCGAAGCACACCTAGGGACAAGATGCGCAGGCCGCGTCCTTGGATGGGCGGCTTGCCCACCGCCGCCCGCACGAGCTCATTCTCCCCGAGTATCGCCAGCACGCGCAGCGCCGCCGCCTGCACTTTCAGCGGCTCCTCCCTGCTCAGCGCCAGCTGGGACAGCCGCCGCATCAGCCCCGAGTTGCGCTCCAGCTGGCGCTGGTTCTCGGCACAGAAGGCAAGGTTGCCCAGCGCCTTGAGCGCTGCGGTGCGGACCGCCTCGCGCGAGCTGCTGTCGTCCCCGCCCTGTTGCTCCCCCGCCTCCCCGCCCTCTCCAACCACAAGCTCTTCCAGGCTGCGCAGCAGGCTGTCCGTGGCCAGCTTGGCGGAGGCGGCAGAGGATGAGTAGGCGATGGAGGCCAGCAGGCGCAGCGTGCTGAGCTGGCGGTGCCGGTCGGCCGAGGGCAGCAGGCGCATGATGGCATTCGCATCGTTCTCCACCACGGCGTCTGCCAGCGCGGGGCTGTGCTCTGCCAGCAGCCTCAGCGTGCGGCACGTCTCCTCCACAACCACCGGGTTGTCAGACAGTGCCATCAGAACCTGCACATGGCAGGTGGGGCATGGGCATTAACACCAGGGCCAGGCAGAGCAGACTGGGTAACCCAAGAAAATGCCCACTGCCATGCACAGACAGGGGTGCCTCCTGGCCGACCATGCTGGTGGCAACCAGCCCCATGACAGTGCGCACGCACCAGCTGCTGCAGGCCGTTCTCCTGCCGCGCCATCAGCTCCCGGTTCTTGGGGTCCTCCTCAGCCAGGTAACCTGCACCCGCCAGGCAAGGCAAACAGTTTGGCTGGCAGACGGCATGCGAGAATGTCTTCAGGGCGCAACATGCTGCGATGCAAGGCTCGACCTCTGAGACGCATGCAACGGCATTGGCGGCGGCAGCGGCGGCGGGTGCATGCCACTCACGCAGCGCGCCCGCCAGCAGCGGGTGGTGGCCGCTGCTGCGCCGCAGCATGAGAGAGAAAATGGGGCGCAGCTTGTCTGACTGCTTGCTGTCCCACAGGCTGATGCTGGCGATGCCAGAGCCGCCGCCACCGGGTGGCGGCGGCAGCACCTCCACCTTGAACTTGGTGTAGGCGGGGTCGGCAGTCACCCGCAGGTTGGCCACCTGCGCACGCGTGGGCACCAATTGGGAATCCAAGATGATGTGCACTTGGGGAACCAACGTGGAGTGCAACGGAAATGAGCGGATGCTGATCCATCCAGCAAGCGCTCCCATGCAGGCTGCTCACAGTGATGTGATGCAGGTGCCCACAGGGCGAGATCTCCGGCAGGAATTCGAGCGGGTTGTCGTACAGGTGGAGTACACTGCGGGGGGGGGGACGCAGGTGGGGCCAGGCAAAGGAGGTTGGGCGGATGCAAGCGGCAGCGAGACGCGGCATTCACGGCCTGCGCCATTTGCTGTCAGCGCACCTCAGGTTACGCAGCGAGGCAAAGCTGAGCAGCACACTGGTCAGCCGGTTGTGCTGCAGTGTCAGCTCCTCCAGCAGCACGCACCGCCGCAGCTCGCCTGCACAGTTGGCAGCAGCAGGAAGGTTCCTACCCCACAGATCCCAGCGACTCTGCAAGTGTCAGGCTGCCTGCTGTGTTGCCCGCCTGCAGCTTTGCAGCAGCGCAGCGCAGCCCCCTGCCCCACCTGGCAGGATGGTGAGCTGGTTGGAGTCGGCAGCCAGCACCCGCAGCTTGGTGAGCTGCCCTATCTCGGGGGGCAGGATGCGCAGCTGGTTGCCAACCACCCGCAGCTCCTGCAAGCAGCCAACAGTCAGGGATCAGAGGACTGTACAGCCGTCTTCCCCCCACACCACCCACCCACGGCATGCACATCCACCACCGCACACCTGCAGCTCGGTGAGCAGGCCCACGGCCGGCGGCAGCGCGCCCAGGCCGGCGTTGCTGAGATTGAGAACCCGCAGCGCCTTGAAGCGAGCCAGCACGCGGGTGTCGGCCAGCGCCGCCACCGCGCCGCCATCAGCGACACGCAGGCGTGTGACGGTGCCCACATCCAGCGCGCTCCACAGCGCCAGGGCAATGGAGGTGCTCATTGTGGCGCTGCCAGACGTGCGTGTCAGCTCGGCGCTCGTCAGCCGCGACCGCGTGGCCTGCACGCTGAGCGACAGCCGCGCCGCCGCCTGCCCAAACCCCGCCGCCGCAACCACGCCCAGCAGCTGCTGCCGCCCCGTGGATAGCTGCACTTTGACGTGCTCGTGCACCAGGTCGGGGCTGTTGAGCGCGTCGTGCACCGACGCCAGAACCGTCGCCTCGCCATCGACCGCCGTCCAGCTCACCTCCAGCTCCTGCTGGTGGCTGCGCCGGGTCGGCAGTGGTGTGGGAGAGCAGGAGGGGCGTGGGGGCACACTTGGAGTGAGGCACTGTGAGTGGGCTGGCGGCGGGAGCGGCGGTGAGGAGCGGGAGCGGCAACCGCCCACTCAGCCAGCAGCCCCGGCAAGCCCACTGCAGCTAGTTTGTTGCCCGCATGGCTGGATGCCTCGTAGCGCTAGTAGGCAGCCGCAACGAGGCTCTACCTGAAGGCCAGCTGGAGTCTCCAGGCGTCTGGCTGCCGCTTGCTGAATGATGGCAGCCCAAACATGTTTTCCCACTCCTGGCTTCGGGCCTCAGACCCGCGCGCGAGGCGCAACCGAGACCCAAGCTGCGGCGGTGCTGACAGGGCATGGGCATTAATGATGCCCTGTCCATTTCATTGCTCTCGAGCAGAATCACCATTTCTCCATCAATCGTTGCATCAGCAGGCTCTACAGGGGGGTCTGGCACCCTCTGCAGTCCAGCAAGGGAGGTCACCCCACCCCCATCTGATCACCCTGGGTGTCCCGGGCTATCCCCAAGGAACAACACACTGTGACCCGCAGCCCACCCTCCGCCCGTCATGACAGCGGCAGCCGCTGCGGCCTGGATCCAGTTTGCGGACGCGAGTGCGGCGGCACTGGCGGCCCCCGCCTGTATGCCCAAAGCGCTCGGCCCCGACCTGGCAGCGGCAGTGGATGGCGTGGCAGCTCACGGCCTGGCGCGGCTAGTGCCATCCCAGCTGCTGGATGCTGCCGCCGCGGCGCTGCAATCCCGCTTGGCCCACCTGCACGACGCGCTGGCTGCCCTGTTTGCCGCCGTGGGTGACAGGGGCTCCGCTCCGGCAGCAGACGCCAATGACGACAGCGAGGAGGGCGATGATGCGAGCTTAACCCCTGAGGTGGAGGCCTCACTGGCAAAAGCTCTGAGGGTAGGCGGGGTTCGCGGTGCCTTGCATTTTGCCTTGCCTTGCCTCGGTCGTGGCATGACTGCCTCTGGACACACCTTAGGAGCAAACCCTGGGTCCCCGCCGCAGGACATCTGCGGTGCGGTGGAGTCTTGCGGCGAGCTGCTGCTCCAGCTGTGCGAGCGTACGCTGCGATCCCAAGCCGCGACTCTGAGCGTGGCTGACCGCGTCGCCCTGCTGTCGGCAGGGCAGCGCTTCCGCCGCGAGGCTGCCGCTGCCATGTTGGAGGCAGAGCCGGGGCGCTGGGCAGGTGGGTGGCCGTATGGCTGATGATGACAGGGGGCAGGTGCGGTGCACCACACAGACAGTATCGTGTCCGTTTGCTGGCATGCACTCAGTTTGTTGCTCATCTCGTGTGCGTGGCTGCAGGGCTGATCTACCGCTACTACTGGCACAAGCTGCAGCAGCTCAGCCGCCTGGCGCAGCAGGAGGAGGGGGCCGAGGAGGAGGAGGGGGGCGGGGATGCCATGGATGGAGATGGCGCAGCCACTACGGATGAACCAGCCGAGTTTGGAGGCCGCCGGGCGGGCCTGGTGCTGGAGCCGGGCTGGGCAGGGCAGCTGCAGGACATTGCCGCCTACCTGCGCATGCTTGACCTGGAGGTGCGCTGCGCTGCATCACGCAAGCCATGCTAAGCCTATGCATGTGAGCTTCGCTCCATGGTCTGCCTTGCTTACACCCGGGCCGCTCTGTGCTTTTCCGGCTGTAGGCTGTGAGCGAGGAGGCGTTTGCGGCGGCTGTGTGCCGCCACCTGCGTCTCCACCTGGTGGAGCGCACGCACCGCGCCTTTGACGAGCACATCCTGGAGCCGGCGCTGCGCTACAGCGCCACCATTCCGTTGCAGTTCCTGGAGTTGGTGCTGCCTCAGGGGGTGAGGCAGGGAGGGGTGGCTCCATGGCGGGGCAAGCGCGTCGCTTGCGCCGGCCCCAAGCTGCACCGCACGGCTGGCTAGCCACTCTGCTCTGTCCATAGCCGACGCTTGGCCGGCAGCTGCCAACTACCTGATACTCAGCATGCTGCTCCTCCGCGCAGGCGGCCGGCGCGGCGGCGCTGCAGGCGTGGCGTGCGCGGCTGGGCTACTATGTGTACGAGACGGTGGGCAGCCTGCGCATCGGAGACATGTTTGACATTGTGGTGGACTACCCAGACAGGTAACATGGCGTGTAGACGTGCTGCGGGGGCGAGACTGACGTAGGAGTGATGCTGGGCTGGGTTGTGCGCCGAGATTCCCCACGCTAGGCCTTGTTCACTGCCCCTCTGCGGCCCGATCCCATCCCCATCCCCGTACCCCCAACTGCTCTGCAGCCTGCCCGCCATCGAGGACACCCGCGACTGCCTGCAGAACACCAACCTGCACCGCAAGTTCATCACCCTGTTCCGCAAGGCCCTCATGGACCGCCTGCTGCACCCGGGTGGGTGAACAGGAGGGGCCTTGGGAACGGGGGAGGAGGCGAAAGGAAACACCCCAGTGCAACCTTTGTGTTTCCTCTAGCCCTGCACCCCCACCTCCTTGCCCGACTCCTTCCCTTACCCTGCTGCAGGCGCCGCCACCGCTGACATCATCCAGCAGTATGTGTCGGCCATCAAGGCGCTGTCCCATGTGGACCCTGGTGGTGCCATTCTGAGCGCCGTGGGCAGCCCCATCGCCGCCTACCTGCGCGGCAGACGCGACACCATCCGCTGCATCGTCACCATGCTGACCGCAGACGAGGAGGATGCGGCGGCACAGAGCCTGTTTGCGGAGCTGGGCAACGCGGAAGGGGCTGGGGCAGAGGTGGGGATGCGCTGGGTTGAAGCCGGCGGGCGGTTGAAGCCGGCGGGCCTGCATCCTTGTTGCCGCGCAGCCCATTCGCCACCCTGCCACCCGCGTCCGCCTGATCCTCTTGCCGGTAACTCTATCCCTACTGCAGGACTACAACAGCGATTTCGAGGGTCCCGAAGCGGATGTGCAGGCGTTGCGTGAGGCGGAGAGCTGGGAGCCTGACCCAGGTAGGTGGCTACCGGGTACCCCCCCCCAAGGCCAACGCTTCTTGGCCCGCCTCCGCTGCTGCTCGGCCCACTGCCGCCTACCCTTGGTAGGCACCAAGGGTACCACCATCTCGGCCCCGCCCCGCTCTGGGCCATGTCTGCAGTGGACGCAGACCCGGCGCGCGGCGCCAGCGCGGCTGCGGCTGCCGCGGCGGGGGACGTGATCAGCAAGCTGGTGGGCATCTATGGGTCCAAGGAGCTGTTCATCAACGAGTACAGGTGCGGTACGGGCATAATTCAATGAGGCTGGGTGTGGTTTGCAGCTGGCACCAGCGGGATAAGGGCAGTGCAGGGTCGTGCAGGCAGCAGCGTGCCAAGCAATCAGTGCAGGCAGCCAATGTATGGATGCAAGCCATTTGCGAGTACTCTGCCTGCATCCTCCCGCCCACCCGCCCAGCACCTGGCCCCGCTGGCCGCAGGTCCATGCTGGCCGACCGCCTGCTGGCCAAGGGCGGCGACTACGAGTGCGACCGCGAGCTGCGCACGCTGGAGCTTCTCAAAGTGCGGTTCGGGGAAGGCAACCTGCACAACGCGGAGGTCATGCTCAAGGTGGGCATAGGGTGGCAAGAGAGGGGTTGGGCTGGCGTGTTCAGGACTGCCAGCCAGCCAGCCTCCCCTGCACCCGCCACGCTGCCGTCCGGCTACGCATCACGACGCCCTCCCTGCCATGCCGCGCCGCCTGCCCCCTTGTTGCTCCCCTTGAAGGACCTGGCGGACAGCAAGCGCATCAACGCCAACGTCAAGTCGGTGCCCAACACCGCCACGCCGCTGCGCCGCCGCCGCCAGCTGGTCAACATCGACGGACTCAGCGCCACCATCGTCTCCCAGCTGTTCTGGCCCACGCTGCCGCAAGACGAGTTCAACCTGCCGCCAGAGGTTTGCAAAAAGGGGTGTTTGGGAGAGGCTTCTGAAATGCTCTCGGCGGGGGGCCCTTGGCTGCCTTCGCCGCCCGCAAGAAATGATGGCCATGCCACAGGACCACCGAGCTCCAATCCCCCTTTGTCCACCACGCTGTGTGCCGTTTTGTCCACCTTTGCAATGCACCATGCTGCCTCCCCTGCCTTGTGGTGCGCAGGTGCAAGCCATGCTGGCCACCTACGGTGCCAAGTACCGCTCGCTCAAGGCGCCGCGCAAGCTGCAGTGGAAGCCCAACCTGGGCACGGTGCAGCTGGAGCTGGCCATTGGGGACCAGAGCCTGGAGTTCAATGTGAGGCAGTGTTAGGGAGGGCAGCGGGGGCCCACACGCCTCTGTCTGCTGCTGTTCTGCTGCTGATGTGAAGGAGTCCTGGCCAGCTTCAGCTTCAGCAGGTCCTCATCAGACTTTGCTGCCCCGCCTGCCCTGCACCCGCTCCACACCTTCCTCCCTGCCCGGCCTCGCCGCAGGTCTCCCCATTCCACGCCTCTGTGCTCATGCACTTCCACACCCGCCCCGAGTGGCCGGCAGCTGAGCTGGCGGAGCAGATGGGGGTGGCGCCAGATGCGCTGCGCCGCAAGATCATTTACTGGATCAACCAAGGCAAGGCGCGGCTTGGCATTAGGCATGCGAAGGCGCCGGTGGCTTCCCCGCCTTTGCAAGAGGTTCCCACAGTGCAGGGCGTTTCCCCATGTGCTTCTGACCTGTTTCTGCGCCCCCCCCCCCCCACACACACAGGCGTGCTGAGCGAGAGCCGTTTGGCCGGCCAGCAGCTGGTGTACCGGCGCAACGAGCAGCTGCAGACGGGGCCGACGGTGGCTGGGGACCAGGACGGGATGGAGATGGAGGAGGGCGGCCAAGATGAGCTGCAGGTGTGCACTGCGAAAGCGTGGAGTCTGCTGTCCAGGGCCTTGTGCTGCCCTGGGCCCGCCCTTCCTCGTCATCCTCATCCTCTTGACTCTTTCGTTGCCCCGACACCTCCCGGCGCACCTCGCACCCCCGCAGGGCATGACCGCCTACGAGCCCTTCATCATGGGCATGCTCACCAACTTTGATGCGCTGCCCTTGGACCGCGTGCACAACATGCTCAAGATGTTTGTCAGCGACCCGCCGTACGACAAGACCCTGGAGCAGCTGGGCGCCTACATGGGCCGCCTGGTGGCCGACGAGAAGCTGAGCCTGGACGGCGGCACCTACCGCAAGCGCACCTGATGTGTACACCTGAGCAGCCAGGTACACATTTTCCACTCCCTGCTAGACATCGTACCTGTAATTTCGTGAGAGGAAAGAAAGAACCTGGCCAGCTCTGCCAGCAGATGCCCACCCTATTGCTCAAACTTCCCAAGCTCAACTCGGTTTGCACAACAGCATGAGAGCTCTCCAGGGGCGGCTGGGGCTGGCCCACCATGGGTGCAGCAGGCTGCTGGCGTCTCGAGCAGCTGGCACGCCCATGGTGATGAAAGGCGAGTTCCAGGAGCTGCAAACGAGGCGGGGGTTCTGTCCAAGGTTGGGCCTTCAAGAAGGGGGGCGCCAGAAAGCCCGGCCGCTGGCTGCCTTATCACTGCACCCACTCAACCACATCGCCACGGCCCCTGTGTGCTGTTGTGCAGCCCATGTGGAGGGGTATGGCGAGGGCGCCACCACCATGATTGTAGCAGGCAGTAGTGCCGGCCACCCCTCCTTTCGATTTGTGGTGGATGAGCCGCCCCGCCTGGGCGGCAAGGGCATTGGTGAGCTTGCATTGTGTGCTGAACTGCTTGATGTGGCAGGTGAAGTAAAGATTATAGGCGTGAGACAGTTGAGCGTTCGACGCCCCTGCAGGTCCCAACCCGCTGTCCCTGCTGCTGGGCTCGCTCGCGGGCTGCACCCAGTTCACCGCTTCTATGATCGCCAAGGAAATGAAGTTGGGCAGCGTGGGCAGTGTGGCCTGGTCGTCGGCAGGTAGAAGGCAATGCCGTCACGTGGGGTTCGCTTCCTGCTTGCCCTTGTGGAGGAAACATGCTACCATCCAGCAGCGCTTCCCACCACCAATCGGCTTTAATGCTATTTGGCTTAAATGCCCATCTGCCTGCCACGGGCCCCCTTCCCTTGCCCAGGCGAGTATGACCTGCGCGGCGTGCGCGGAAACGAGGACGGGGTGGACGCCCGCTTCACAAGCATCTCGCTGGAGGGCACCTTTGACACCCAGATCAGCCAGCAGGACCTGGACCGCATTGCGCAGCAGGCAACGAAGGGCGCCGGCTGCTTGTCGGGCCTGGGCGGCCAGGCAGCTAGCCGACCGGATTTGCCGTCTGTCGCCTGCAGGTGGACAAACGCTGCATCGTGGCAGCCACTCTGAAGGCATCAGGGCTGGACATGCGGCTGAGGATGAAGAAAGGGGTGGTGGACCACGAGTGCGAGCCCGCCTGCGCGCTGCACCAGCTGGAGGAGCAGGGAGGGGGTGCCACAGGTGAGGCGACGCTGTATGGGCATGATCGTATGGCTGTCTCGAGGCAGCAGCGACCTGGACGTTCACAACTCGCACAATCTGGCCGCCGCCTACCCCTTGCCTTGGTGTGTGCAGGCCAGGTGAAGGGGGACCCTGGTCGCGATGCCGACGCTCCTCAGTTTGCGGGCGCGGAGGGGCAGGGCAGGGCGAGTGCCCGCGGCTTTGCCAGCATGGCCCGCCGCGGGCTGCACTCCTCGGCCTCCTGGGGCCAGGGTGAGCACGGCGGCGACTATGCTTACTGGTGGCTTTTGGTGGCTGGGACCGCCCAGCAGACGGCCCAACTGGCCACACCACCCCCTTTCGACCCGTGCTTATCAGCCACCCCGCTGGCCTGCTGCAGATGGCGAGGACGTGGCGCGAGAGCACATGCAGGCAGATAAGACACCGCAGCTGCAGAAGGAGACGAGCGAGAAGGGCGCTTCTACGACCTCCGGTGGCGCCTACTCCAGCCGCGACGACCCACGCGCGCAGGCAGCCCCGCCCACGGAGGGCAAGTCCGAGAAACAAATCATACAGGTGGGCAGGTCGTGGCGACATGTGCTGTGGCATGAAAAGGCAGATGTGGGTATACGATGGATACAGCCATCAGACCAGACCTGAGCTTTGGTGCCCGCACTTGTGCATGTCTGCAGGAGCAGGACGCGGGCGCCACCGTGCACCCCCAGACCGCGGGCAGTGCTGAAGGCGGTGCGCCCATTGCGCCCAAGGCGCCATCCCCGGGATATGCAGGTGAGTGGCACTGGGTCCATGGGGAAGCTATTTGAGCAAGGTACAGCTTGAGAGCCCGGGTTTCAGTGGACTGCTGTTGCCCTCCCAGCATTCGCCTCGCCCCTGCAGCAGTGAATGGCCTCCATGCTGCCCACGGCGGGGGCCTTCACTGCTGCAGAGGTCAAGGCAGCTGGCAGGGAGACGGAGGCTGCCGAGGCTGCCGAGGATGAAAGGGAGGAGGCGGAGCTGGGCAAAGACATTGACCGCACAGACTTCCAGCCCTGGAAGGAGTAGCGCCCTGCCTGCTCGGCTGACTCCACTCCATCGCAACACGCCTGCTGCAGACCGCGCCATGCAGCAGGGGCGCGAGGGACACTCCCCGCTCGGCGACCGGCCCCACGGCACGGAGTGAAGGGGGACAGCGGCGCTGTATGCGTGTTTCTGCATTGGGTTGATGTGGAGTCTCGATGTCTTGAACCAGTGTAAATTTTCTTGCTGCGTCTAGTTCAATTGCTGCATAGCTAGCTGGGAATTGAATCAAGAAATCACAGCTCGTTTCTCTGCTTTCCCTCGTGCCTGCTACCCAGTTCTCCACGCCTCTGCCCCATGTTGGCCATGGCTGCCACGGAAGCCTGTCACACTTGATGTGACTCCTCTCAGAATGCCTCCACTGCTGCCCTGCCAAGCACGCTCTCGGCCGCGCGGCACCAGCGCCATGCCCGCTCGTTGCTGCCGCTGCCATCGCCCATGGCTGCTGCCTTCTTGGCTGCCAGGGCGCCATAGTACCACAGCTTTGGGTTGGCAGGCGATTCATGCACACTGTGAGCCGCCCCAGACAGGCGCCGGCTGAGCTGCTCCGGGGTGCAGCGCTGGGCGGCCAGCAAGGCTGCCGTGCTCGCCTCCAGCGCTGCCTCCACTGGTGCCTGCAACCCAGGCGGATGAAACATGGGTAGGCGCCACAGTTGGACATCAAGTGGCTCCAAAAACACGGCAGGGCGCTGAGCAGGAAAGATCGGCTGACACTATACCTGCTGCCTGCCAGACCCCAGCATATAGCTTACCTTGCCGGCAGGCGCCACGCCTGGCAGCTCCCTCCTGGCCACCGCCGCCGAGGCAACAAGCGGCGACTCCAGCAGTCGCAGGGCTGCCTCCGCGCTGGCGCTGCTGGCTACTCCAGGCGGGCAGGGGCGCATCAGCACGGCCGCTGCCAGGGACACCCTCAGCGCTGCATCATCGGGGCACAGATGCACCGCCTGGCTGTACTGCGCCGCTGCGCGGTCCGCCTGCTGCGCCGCCAGGCTGGCTGCCGCCTCCACGCTGCGCAAGCGAGCCAAGAAGGCAGCGCTGTCGGCGTCCATCTCCACTGCCCAGGCCTGCGCCGCGTCGAGGGCCTGGCGCAGCAGTTCCGGATCCCAAGAGGCCGCTGCCCCAGCTGCCGCAGTAATCCACAGTTCTCCCACATCCTCCAGTAGCACTTTGGCAGCCTGCAGCGCAGGCAGCTGCTGCTGCAGGTGGGCCAGCGCCCGCGCTGGCTGCCCCGCCTGGCAGTGCAGCTGCATAGACGCGCAGATGGCGCCGGCCAACAGCTTGGCGGGAGTACCTACGGGGACAAGAAAGATCATGGTGCTTGAAAGGTGGAAGGCAAGCATTGATCACCCAGTTGGGTGATGTCCCCAAGAGTCCAAGTGCCGAGCAGACGCTCACCCGCCTCGGCGGCAGACTGAGCCGCCATTTCTGCGCCGGCCAGGTCTCCGCTGGCCCGCTTGGCAGCAGCATATGCCAGCCATGCCGGAGGATGCCCGTACAGCTCTGCAACGGCATCGCGATGGAGCTTCTTGCATACGACGAAGCCCCAGGCGCCAAGCAAAAGGTGCATCATGGCTGCACCCATGTGCCCACCACCCAGGAGGACGCCTCCAGCCCATTTACCCACCTGCCGTGACCTCCAGCTCTTCATACAGCTGCACCGCTTCCTGGGTGCCGCCGCCGCGCGTCAGCGCCCTGGCCAGGTTCAGCTGGACGGCTGCACAGGAGCAGGCAGCCCAGCAGCATGAGTGCAGCTCAGTGGCTGTGCAGTACTAATCCCACTGTGCCCATGCATCTGCAGCTGGCTGCGACACGTACCAGTCTGCAGTGAGGTGCTGGTGCCCTGGATGGCATGGATGGTGGGGGGGTGCAGCATGCAAGCGTCAGGGTCACGAGCCACCAGCAGCAGCCGCAGCGCCAGCTTGTAGGATGCCACGGCAGTGGCCCAGTCGCCTCGTGCCTCTGCAGCAGGCCAGGAATGCAGGACAGGGCCTCGCTTCTGCCGGTATTGATCTTTAGTCTGCACAAACGCAGGCTTTAGATGGCTGCACAGCCCTTCATCGACAACGACGTCATACCTGAGGCCAAGCCCAGCACATTGTGCGCGGCGGGGTTCAGAGGCTGCATGTGTGCCGCCTTCTTCGCAGCCGCATACACAGGGCCCTCCAGCGCCCGGCCCTGCATATGGGACGGATCATGTGGTCAGCAGCAGGCAGCAGCGGTGAAGCAACAAAAGGTGCAAAGCCTGACTGGCAGCAACAACACACAACGCAGGTTCCAGTGCTGCGCAGCCCCAGCAGCCCTCACGGTGCGTATCGCACACTCTGCAAAGCCCAGCAGGCCGGCAGGGCCAGCACCCAAGCCGTGGGCATGCTCCGCAAAGTTGGCTTGCTCAGCGGCGCCTGCAACTCAGGAGGCACACCCCGTGATGATCAACTTTGGGTCAATGGATCGAGGATTCTGGCTGCACCCTGCTAACGTCCTGCGATCTTCCACACACCTGTGGAGCCGAGCGCCGCCACATCAGCCATGGCCTCCCAAATGACTGGCACTGCTGGCTCGTGGCTGCGTGCATGCTGCAGTGCAGACGCTGCCGGCCCGGCAGCGCCGTGCTCTGCATGGCAGCAGCGAGGGCAAAAAGCGCAGGCGAACCACGCCATCTAAATGCAATACCCCAGCGTAAGGCCTGCTCCCTGTGCCGCTGTTCCTTTGCCTCCCGGCCAGGGCGGTGCAGCGCAGCAAAGTTACCGTGCAGCGCAGCTTACCGGCATACAGGCGTGCCAGCGCCACCCAAGCGGGCACACATTTAGGGTCCAGCTGCAGCGCTCGAGACAGAGCGTACTCGCGCACCGCAGCCTGCACTTGCGGCAGGCAGGAACAGGGCAGGGGCGAGTGGATAAGCACTGGGCACTTCTTGTGCGAACTCCCGCAGGAGCATTAACAACTGCCACCCGCCTGGCATGGCGGCAGCAGCCCGGCCCGAGGCAAGGCAGGCCGGTGCTGCCCCACACCTCTGCCGCCACCGTGCCCAGTGCAGCCCACAGGTCGGCGGAAGCTCCATCCAGCTGCAGCCCAGCCCGTGCCACCCGCTCAGCTGCAGCAGTGAGCCCTGCCAGGCTGGGAGCTGGAGAGCCGCCAGCGCCAGAGCTGCCCATTGCTGGGTGGGCACGCATCAGCTGCAGCACGACAGAGACCGCCTGGGGTTGTACCAAGAGCAAGCACAGGCTAGGCACCTGCTAGGGACACCTCAGGCAACAGGTTATGAGGGCCCCAAATCTGCATCCTCACCTGCGCCTCTTGATGGTAAGCAAAGGCGGCATCCTGCCAGGCGCCCGGCTGTGTCGGGTTGAGGTGCAGCGCCTTGGCATAAGCCCTCCGCCCCTGCCGCATGGCCTCCACCCGGCGCCGCCATGCCCCCAGCTCAACCTCCACCTGCTCCCCGCCTGCTTGGGTGGCGCCGCTGCCGCTGCCAGCGCCAGCGGGGATGGTGGGGTGCTGCGGCGAGGGATTGACCGCATGGTGCAGCACCAACACGTCGCCCAGCAGCTTCCAGGCTGCAGACACGCACCGGGCTCCTCCGGCAGGTTAAACCTTGCCGACACCTTTGATTGAAGAAGCCTTGCATCCTCCCTCCCCGCCCTGGAAGCAGCATGTGCGGAAGCCAGCAAGCTCACCAGCCAGCAGTGTGCCATGCTTAGCGGTGCAGCGCAGGATGTGCCCCGCAGCCCTGGCCAGCTCGTCAGCGGCAGTACCTGCGACACAACCCAGAGGCAGTGGCTCAGCAGACATGGCGCAACGTCACACTTCACTGACACTACTCCTGCGCTCCAATCCCGGACGTGAAGTGCAGCCCACGGAGCACACGCGCACCAAGAGCGCCCTGCCGTGCATGCACGCCTGCTGCTGCCGCCAGGCTCTCCCCTGCGCCCAGCAGCGCCGACGGGTGGTCGGGCGCGATCCGCAGCGCCGCCTCGAATTGGGCACTACCTTCCGCAAAGCTGCCCAGCGCCATGTGGATTGTACCGCACTGCACGTGCCAGGACAAATGGGGGCGTGAGAAGATGGCGCAGCTGCCTTGCAGACTTTTCGGCAGAGCAGCAGCAGCAGCACCTGAATGGCGGCGTAGGGTCGGCCCGGCTGCAGCTCCAGGGCTCGCGTGTAGGCCTTGAGGGCGGCGGTGAAGCGACCCAGGTTCTGATAGCAGGATGCCAGCCCCTCCCAGGCAGCTGCAGGGTGGCCAGGCAAAGGGCGCCGAGTGCAGGAAGCATCAGGACGCCAACTGGAAGGTGGGGTGGCCTAAGCTGCTGCCACTCTGCACCTACCCCTCACTCACCGGCATCCTTGGTGTCTGTCTTGAGCGCCGTCTGGAATGCAGTCACCCCCTCCTCAAACCGCTCAGCAGCAGCGAGCAAGTAGCCGCAGCGGCGGTGTGCCCAGCGGGCCTGTGGGGCAGGGAGGCACGGGGATGGTCTATAGCTCGGCGCAAAGCTGGCAGGGAAGGGGCAACATGCCTGTAACGTGGAAGCATCTCAGGCAAGCCAGGAAGCGGCAGCGGCCAACCCTCACCTGCGGAGCGCGGCTCGCAATCTCCCGGCACAGCGTCAACGCTGTGTCGGCTTTGCCGGCAGCAACCATCATGGAACACAGGTGGTCACCTGCACCAGGGTGGCAGTGCAAGGAACTTTTTGAGACGGCTGTTGCATTTGCTGTGTTGCATTGTTGCATTCCCACTCTCCCCTGTCACTAAACATCGGGGCACAACGCTCCCTTTTTCCAGGGCTGCCTGATGCGCGCCGATGTAACAGCTGCCGCCACTGAGGGGAGCCGCCAACTGTTACATCGTGCGCTCAGCCGGACGAGCGGGGAGCATGCCTAGGGGCATGCTGAATGTGCGGCACAATGAGGGGTCAACGCGATTGGGGGTGAAGTGCAGCAAAACTCAGGGGCTGTACACAACTGAGGGGGTAGGCAAAGAGATGAAAGGCGAGAATCAGGGTCTTTGCATGGCATGTGGCCAGAATGGGCGGCCTAGTACATGAATGTGGCGTCTGGGGGGGGGGGGTAAGCGGTGAGGGAAGGAGTGCCTCTACAACTCGAGGGAAAATTCATTCTATCGACACGTGGTGGACACAACACTGGGTTCTTTGAGAAGGATTTGGAGAGGTTGGGAAGAAATGCTGGAAAACAACTGAGCTGGTGCGGCCTGGTGAAAGATTCACAACGCGGAAGAGCCGGCGGCGGGGTCAGCTGCGCACAGCAATGTCGCCGAGGGCGGCGTAGCCGGCACCGCGCGAGGCGCTGTCCTCGCCGTGCAGCGAAGCGGCGGGCTTGGTGGCGGCGGCGTGCCCCGCCTCCTCGCCGGCAAGCCCCAACACATTGTTCACCCAGCTGGGCGGCGTCTGGCCGCTACCTGCCACAGCCACGGAGGGGTCCAGAGCCAGAGCGCGCTTGTAGCACCGCATCGCCTGCTCCGCCTTGCCCTCCACCTCCTGGAAGTACCTGCACCACCACATGGGGCCCAGGGCAGCAAGGTGGGCGAGTGCGCGAGGGAGCGGCAGAGCAGGGGCGAGTGGGCGAGCAGGGAGTAGGATGCAAGCTCCCGGTACGCGGGGCCTGCTGCCGCTGCGCCAACCTCACCTGCCGAGCGCCGCAAACGCTGGCGCCTGGGCATGGCCCTCCACGGACGCCGCATCGAAGAACTGCAGCACCACCAGCACAGCCAGGCACGACACAGCTCAGCAGGGGCGGAGGTGGTGCTGGTGACGACAAACGGTACCGTACGAATAGCTGCCCTGCCCACCTGCGTGTACGCAAACTGCTTTTCCGTGCGATAACGCCCTCGCATCTTCCAGTACACCTCGCCCAGCCGGTAGTGGTGCTCCGCAAGCTGCAGCGAGCGGTGGGGAGCGGGGTGGCGGCCAGGCAGGTGAGTTGCTGAGGACCGGACGGAGCATCCAGCACAGTACAACGATGCAACACTGTCAGAAACCGCAGCGGGTGAATCCCTCCCAAGCCCACATGCTAGCCGGCCAGCCCCTCTGCCCACCTGCGAGTCGGTGACTATGCAGCCCGAGGAGGTGGCCACCTTCAGGGCGTCCTCCAGGTGCTGCCGTGCGCCCTGGATGTCCCCCTCCTGGTACAGCAGCCAGCCGTAGTCGGCATGGGCCCAGTGCTCGGCGGGGCCGCGCCCAAGCGCCGCCTTGCCCAGGATGCGCTCGTACTGCAGCAGTGCCATGCGGTACGAGCGCCGGTTGTTGAGGAAAGCTGGCAGAGGCGGGACAACCTCCGAGCGTGCAGGCTCACTCCTCTGCCGGGTCGCTGCTGCTGCCGCCCCACCTGCGCCATGGCGGCCCCCTTGTCGCCGCGCTCCAGCGCCACCAGGGCGATGCCGCGCAGCGCCTGCTGGTGGATTGATACGGGGCTGGACCCGCTCATCTCGCCAAACGCGGTCTCCCCCTCGGTCACCCAGCCTGCACCAAGGCGCGGAGGCAGGTGAGCATGGGTGGTTTCGCAACCAAAGAGCCAAGGGGGCAGCAGTACAACAACCAACAAGACAGGTCAACACGACCCCGCGAGCATCCCCGCTGCCCATCCAAGCCCTCCAACGATGGAGCGGTCCGTGACCACGCAGCGCACCTGCCAGCACTTTGAAGTGCATCTCCGCCTCATCCAGCTTGCTCATGCGGCGCAGCGCCTTGGCCACCACCAGACGCAGCGACAGCGCGACCTGCATGGGACGGAGGACCAGGGGCATCCTGAATAGCAAGGGCTGGCCAATGCGCACACTTCACGAGTGCACTCAAGAGGGCAAGTCTTATTAGCTGGCGCCACTCACGTGCGTCAGAGCCTCGTGGCCGCGCTCACGGCGGCTGTGCAGCCACCTCAGGCCGCGAACAGCTGCACAGGAAGAGCCAAGCAGGCTTGGAGCAGTCAGCAAAGAGCAGCAGGAACAGGCACGCCTGTTAAGGAACAATCCCATCGACGGTGCGAGCTCACACCAAGCCACCCGCCTGCGCTCCCGTCCCAGCCAGCCCCCACCTGTGTCGTATGCTTCTGGGTAGTGCCGGTTTTCGTACTGCAGCTCTGCCAGCGCCTTCCACCCTGTGCCGCAGTCGCTGCGGCTGTCGTCCTCCATTGCACGCTTCATCAGCTGCAGGTGCACGTGCCGGGCAGCTCACAGCATGAGCGCACTGCAATGCCTGGCAGCCAGGAGGCAGAAACTTTGCTGAGATGCAGATGCCACCAGCGCCACGCCCTCCACCCTCGCCACCCACCTGCTCAATCTGGCGTCGCAGCGCCTGCGGCACGGGCCGTGTGCCGTCGTGGCATGCGCGCCGCCGCAGCATGAGGCCCAGGCAGACCTGGGCCGTGGGGTTGCTGGGGAACTGGTGCACCATGCGGCGCGCAAAGTTTTCGAAAGCAAACAGCACCGCCTGCTGGCCGCTGCCCACGTGGCCCTCACCGCCCTCCATCACGCCGCCAGCCACGCCGCAAGAGCTGCCCACCACCTGCACCAATGCAGCGGCAGACATTGCTCAGTGGCGGCCTTTCAGCCAGCTTGCCTTTCAGCCAGCTCAGAAACCACTGAAAACACGTCCTTGACTGGGAAACAACTTCTGGCGGCTCTGCTGCTGCAGCAGCTGCTGCTGCTGCTGCTGCTTGCCTGGCCTCCGACCGGCACGTGGCCACCCTTGATCTCCTCCTCCTCCTCCAACAGCCACACAGCTGCAGGTGTGGCAGGGGGGACAATCAGTGTGTTGTGCACAAGCCTTGTCAGTAACAAAACATGCTCACAAAGCCACCCACGGCCGCAGAAGCAGTCCCCACACCAACCCTCACCTGCTTCGTAGGGCAGGGCACTGCAGCCACCCTTCCACATGCAGGTGTGGCACTCACGCAGCGCCGCCAGGCGGAAGTGCTGCCGCTCAACTGCACAAGGACACGGCGCAAGAATTCAAGCCTCAGCCAACCAAGACAACAAGGCTGCATGCACTGCCAGCGAAGAGAGCCTCGTTGCGTTCTCAGCGAAGAGAGCCTCGTTGAGTTCGGCGCCCACCCACCCCTCTGCATGCTTGGGCAGCGCACACACCTGAGCGCGGCGGCGCCGAAAAGATTTTGAGAAGGCACCTCTTCAGCCATTCTTCATGGTACTTCAAAAAGCGCTCCGCGGGAGGTGCAACTGGAACACAGGGGAGCAGCGGATGGGGTTAAGGAGTGCCACAAAAGGAGAGACAGGTCCACTATGCCCATGTCTGTGGCTGGACCACCAACAGACGAGGCAGCAACCCACTCTCCATCCCGATGCTGTCACTCACTTGAGCAGAGCTCCAGCAGCGTCTGTGTCGTGCACGCCTCCGCCGCCGCCTCCTCATCTGCTAGCGCCTGCGCCGATAGCACCTCCAGCTGCACATTGGACACGCTGCGGCCGGGGCCCGCGTCTGTCATGCGAGCCTCCACCTCCTCCACGGCCTTGGCCTCATCCAGCTTCAGCTGCACTCACAGAAAGGGGAGGCGGGCGATCAGGGTGATCCAGCCAACCATGAATGGCCAATGCAGCATTGCTGTCTGGGCACCTGCCACATGCAGACTGTCGCCAATGGCGCCTACTCCGCCCTCCCACCTGGATGTCGGCTAGGCGGCACAGCAGCTCCACCCGCGTCTCAGGCAGGGGTGCCTCCTCAGCCCCTTCGTCGTCGGCATGTGCCAGCAGCTGACGGTACTGCCGAGCCGCCTCCTGGTACCGCCCGCAGCGATTGTAGGCGTCGGCCAGGCACAGCTCATGCTGCTGGTGCGAGGGGTCCTCCTCCGGCAGCAGAGAGAGCTGCACAGGACAGCAGTTAGGGGCCGGTTGAGACAGCCTCACCCACTGCAGACCGCATCTTGAGAGGCATCCATGGCAGCAACTTCTTCCCTGCCGCCATATCATGAGCAGTAACGTGAAAAGCACACGCACCACTTTCTCGTTGGCCTCGACGGCGCCAACCGCGTTGCCAGAGGCGGCAAACAGGCGAGCCAGGCCGGTCCAGGCGGCCACGCAGTTGGGCTGCACATCTAGGGCCTTGCGGTAGGCCAGCTCCGCCTGCTGCCACTCGCCCAGTTCATGTGCGGCCCGGCCAATCAGCCTGCGCGTGAGCCAGGAGTGGCGGGAGTGACGCGGTGGCAGGGGAGGGCGGAGGCAGGCGGCCGCGTGTCGCGGTGGAGTTGGCCACCCCACCTCCCGGCCCGAATTTCGACTCACAGAAAGGCATCCACGCTCTGTTTGTCTGCCTTTAGCGCCGCCTTGCAGTGCTGCAGCGCCTCCTTGGGCTCCCCCGCGTCCAGGCAGTCCTCCGCAGCCCGCAGGCTGGCCTGGAGGTCGGCCATGCGCTGCCTGGTGTGTGCGGCGTCAGGCGGGGCCTCCGATCACGCGAATTGCTGCTCACGAGGTGGTGGTGCACCGGGTTTGAGAAGTGTGACAGCGCTTGGGGGTGCAGAAACTAGTAGCGGGGGCGGCCTCGCAGATGATGAGCAGGGTGCCGGTGCTTTTCCGTCTGGGGGCCATGCGCGCAGTGACCGCGCAGCACGGAGCAGGCTGCCGGGAGGATAGACTGAGCCATCGCATGGCCTCGGTACACTCTCTCCGACATCCGCCACCATGGGAGCGGGAGGCAGCAAGCCTGAGGACATAGCGGCTGTGGCAGCCCAGCCAGTGAACTACAAGCCTCCTCTGGGCCCGCCAAACCCGGTGAGATTCGGTGCACGCTCGATCGAATGACGATGGCAGCGTGCGGAGGTGGAACGGGCGGCTGCCATCGCCCCGGCTCTGGCGTGGCGGCGCTGCCCGCCGGCCGACGCTCGACGACCCCTGTTTGTGACGCCATGCTGGCTGACCTTGCCACTTGGATTCTGCAGGACAACCCCGTTGTCTTCTTCGATATCTCGCTGGGCAGATATGGGGACAGCACTCCCCTGGGCCGCATCGAAATCGAGCTGAAGCAGGACGTCTGCCCCAAGACGGTGCGCAGCCCACAACAAACATCCACGCAGCCGGCGGCCGTTCTGCGCCGAATTGATGACATACACCACACGAATGGAAGTTGCGGTGCTCGTTTGTCGCCTGGCCCGCTGTTGTTTAGGCAAAATCGTGTTGCATGGCTGCAGGCCGAGAACTTCTTGCAGCTCGCACAAGCCGAGCCGGGGTCTGGCTACAAGGGCAGCCGCTTCCATCGCATCATTCCATCGTTCATGGCGCAAGTAAGGTTACATCCGTATGTCTGTGCACCTGCTGGCCACCTGAGGTGCTGGGACCCCTCCGACAGGATGTTCTGAGTGCAGGGTGGTGACTTCACCGCTGACAACGGCACTGGTGGGCGCTCCATCTACGGCAGCCGCTTCCCAGGTATGCTTTTGTATCAGCAGGAGGGCCCTGATGGTGGAGAGAGCCTCCAATGCAGCATTGGGAAGCAGGCTGAGCAGCTGCTGGATGTGCTTGCCGGCCTTGTGCGCGGTCTCTGCAGATGAGAACTTTCAGCTGAAGCATCTTGGCGAAGGCGTGCTAAGGTATGCCTCGCAGTTCGACGGCATGCAGCCTGTGTGCTGCCCCATTCCTGCTTGCTGACAGCCTCTGCGCCCATGCGGGAGAAAGCCCTTGTCTTCCGGATATGCTTGGGCAGCTGGGCTGTGCCAACACCCTGCTGCTGCAGCATGGCAAACGCGGGCCCAAACACAAACGGGAGCCAGTTCTTCCTCTGCACCGCCAGCACCCCCTGGCTGTAAGCCCTGCTGCTGCTCCGACTGCTCTTACCCCCTGCATGTTCATCAACCGGTGATTCAATTCAATCACCAATTCTTTACTTTACTTTACCAATTCTTTACTTTACCAATTCTATATTTTTCCAAATGATCATTCATTTTTTTTTCATTTTTTTTTTTTCACTGCCTTGCTGCCTGTGCAGGGACCAGAAACATGTTGTGTTTGGGCAGGTGTTAAAGGGCTACAACGTGGTCAAGGCCATGGAGGCGTGCGGGTCGCGCAGCGGGGAGACCGCCCACGACGTAATGGTCTCGAACAGTGGTGTGGTCTCTGGCGGCAAGGGCGCGACCACCACCACCGCCGCGCTGCAGCAGCAGCAGGCGGCTGCGGCACCTCGCCTTGCACGGGCCTCTGCGAGGGCTGCCCCCGCCGGCACCCTGGGCCAGCTCAAGCAGCAGCGCCGCGCTGTGCTGCAGGGCAGGACCGTAGCCCCCGCCAGGCGGCCGCGGGCTGCCGTGCACGCCGCTGCTGCCGTCCCGATGCGCTGTGGCATCGCCATGCTGTGAGGCTGGAGTTTTTGTTGTCACGACATGTTTTACAAAACAATCCTGTTTGGAGAGTGTCGGCAAATTGGAAGAGCGCGTAAGAAACAAGCGGGAGGTTGGATGTACAGCTCCCACGCAAGTGTGGCAGAGCCCATGGTGGGCACATATACCTGCCACCCCTGGGAAAGAATAAGCGAGCTAGGGGTGGGGCATGGTACAGCATCTGGCAGTGTACAACAGCAAAGGACTACTCTCTTGGGGCGACTTTGAGGCGCCTTCTAGCTGCTGCTGCTGCCATCCGTGATGAAGGCTTGTCGGCGGGGGCGCGGACGCCCGTCTGGGCCGCGCACAAACCACTCCAGGAAGGGTGTGCGTGACGCAAACTGGTGCAGGCCCTCGCTCACCATCTGCACCTCGGGCCGCCGCTGCAGTAGCAAGCCCCGGGGCAGCAGGAGCGGGTAGTGTTGCTAAACCACCCATGCCAAAACAAAACCGTAAGTTTGTGAAAGCCCAGCTGCCCCCCAACCACTCTGCAACTGCCTGGCCGGCCTCCCCACCACCGGCACCCTCACTCACCAGCGAGCGCAGCAGGCTGGCCAGGAACTCGTCCAGCGTAGGCTGCCAGGTGGCAAGCCACGGCCGCAGCCCCTCCACATACAGCCGCTGCGCGCCTTCATAGCTGGTGCTTTGCAGCCACACCAGCAGCACAACCTTGACGGAATGGTAGTATGGCACCCTGTGACAGGTGCCAGCAGGCAGGGTGAGGGGGTCCCTGCTCTGCCGGATTACTGCACTGCATCGCATGAAGGCCGCCAACTCACCACTGCAGCACGCTGTCCAGCGGCCGCTCTGCTGCAGTCATGAGGCCGTAGATGCTCCAGTAGCTGCAGCCAGGCGTCCAGACAGGTGCCGGTGAGCAGACAACCTGAAGCAGGCAGGCGGCTGATGAAGCAGAGCAGCGGGCCACTCACATCAGCCACTTGTTGGCCTCCTGCGGGTTCTGCGGCCGCATCTCCACCGACTCCATTGAGCGGTACGCCGGATAGATGAGGCCCACGCAGGTGCTGCACGCAAATTTGTGGGGCGGGCATTTGCGGGTGTGTTGAAGCGGGTGCAGGGAGGCAGTGGGGCGAGCTGCTGCGCAGCAGTTGGTGGCGGGCGTGTTGCCGGCGGCGGGCGCTTACCATGCCGCCTGACCCAGCTGCCTCCCCGCGCCGTACGGCTGCAGCAGGACCTGCAGTCCCACGCTGGCCGCTGCGGGACCCAGGATGGCGCTCATAGGGAACGCAAAAGGGTGTTTGGTTGAGGAGGGTGGCGCACAGGAAGCGGGGAAGTACCGGCTGCAGCCTGTGGTTGATAAGCCTTCGCAGGACGAGCGTGGGCCTGCTAATAAGGCACCAGGTTGAGAGGCAATGCATTTCTTTGCCAGCGTGTCGGAGCTCCGCGGATTTTGCCAGAGGTTTGCTACTCGCCGCGATCAAACGAAACACGTTCATTTTCACGGGCCCGTTGTGCAGCGCCTCGAGTTCAGTGCGACAGCAAACCCCTTCTCCCGTTCCCCTGCTCTACACCCTTGCTGCCACGCCCAAGCAGCGGCATGCATGCAGCAGCAGCAGCCGTGCAGACTGCAGCGGCATGTGCAGGGCCCAGCACGCAGGGACGGCACCAGCGGCAGCGGCGCTGCCTGCCGCCACCCGCCAGCCACCGGCCCCGCTGCAGCTGCAGGGCACGTGGCATGTACATGCCAGTGCCAGACAGCTGTTGGGACCGCCACAAGCCGCGCCGCAGCTGCAGGGCACTCGGCATGTACGTGCCGTCCGACAGCTTTGGGGGCATGAGCCCGGAGCGGAGAGCCGCCCAGTCGCTGGCCACCTTTTTCACCTTTGTGGCTGCCAAAGTGGTGATGTCGCAGCTGGAGGGCATTGGGAGGAGCGACTTGGGCAGTTACAATGCCGATGCGAGCAACACCCTGCGCCGCTTCCTGCAAAATGAGCCCATGAAGGACAGCGCGGATTGGCTGGCCAGGCTGACAACGGAGAACGAGATGCTGGGTGGGTTTTGAGGGTCACATGCTCACCGCTTGCTGCTGCCTGGCTGGGCTGAATGCCAGGCACCCATGCGTTTGCATAGGTTTGTATAGACCTTGCTGCCATCGCCCGCCCTCGCCGCCTGGGCATGCAGGCATACGGATAATGGAGGTGAGGGCTGCGTATGCTAAGGAGGACTTTGAATGGGACAACCTGAAGCGGCTTGCAATAGATGGGCTGGCCGCCGACAATACGCGGCTGCTGCGCCAGCACGCCAACCATCGCTTCACTGCCATGCTAGATCGGGCGGGGGGAGATGAGCACTGACGTACTGCTGGGGGCCGCTCCCACCATTCCTTACTATACTTCTGTTGCAAATCTATCCATCATTCTCCGACATCTGATCAGACTAGACTCTCATGGCATTCCCTGTCGTGTGCATCTACTGTCGTCGCATCTGTTGCTGTGCAGTTTGCTGCCCAAAGCAGGCGCACCCCTCGCTTCGCCCCGCAAACCATGGATACTACTGTGGGTCGCCTTCACTGGAATAAATCACCTGCAGATAACGCAGGGATGCAATTTGCCATGCACCACGAGCGCTGTATGCAGACGTCACCGCCTGTGACCGTGCCGTGCCCGCTGTGCTTGACCTTGCATCACCTTTTCAACCGTTCATCGCCACAATCGCTTTTTAGCCTGATTGGATTGGCTTCTCGTTCACAGGAGCACTGTTCAGCTTGCGACACCAGATTCGGGGTTTGAACTGACGCCATGCCTCCCCGCGGCCAAACTGCCTACTTTCTGTTCAGCGAGGAGCACCGGGCAGCTGCCAAGGCGGACCTGGCGGCCCAGGATGGCGCGAAGGCAGGGGTGGCGCAGGTGGCCAAGCTGGTTGGGGCCAAATGGGCGGCGCTCAGCGATGAGGAGAAGCAGCAATACAAGGATCGGGCAGCTGCGAAGACCCGGCAGATGAAAGGTGTGTCTGCCAGGCACCAGTGCCGGGCGGCAGGCGCCGCCAGCCTGCGACAGTGGCTGCCCACCACGTATCTAAAACAAGCAACTCAAAACATTTCCCGCTTGTCAACACGTGCAGAAGAGGCGGCGGCAGCAGCGGCAGCGCAGGGACAGCAGCAGCAGAGCCCTGGTGGCGAGGGAGCAGCAGCAGGCGAGGAGCCGGCACCAGCTGCGGTTGGAGGGGGCGGCGCCGCGCCGCCACCCTTTGGCTTCCCCACCGGTGTCGTCAAGCGTATCATGATGGTGGATGACGAGGTGCAGCGTGTGAGCGCGGACGCGGTGCGGGCCATCGCCAAGGCCACCGAGCTCTTTGTGCAGCAGCTGGCGGCGCGGGCGCTGCAGCACGCGCAGGCGGGCAAGCGCAAGAACTTCAAAGAGCCGGATGTGGCGCACGTGGCAGGCAGGGACAGGTGCGCCCAGAGCGGGGGCACGAATGCTCAGCACCCTCCAGCACGTGGTTCCTGCGCAGGCAGGAACTGGCATCGGCAGCTTGCGCAAGCCGCGCAAGCTGCTGTGATGCACCCATTCTGTTGCCTGAACCGCGGGCACCAATGAAGCCTTGCCTGCCGTGCAGGCGGCTGGTGGACATGGGGCTGCGGGAGGTGCTGGAGCAGCATGGCGCGACGTCAGGGGGCGGCGGGGAGGAGGGTGAGAACGCGGCGGCACAAAAGCAGCGCAACGCCAAGCGGCAGATGCAGGAGGAGGCGGCAGCAGGCACGCGGCAGATCACCGCCTTCTTCAATTTGGAAGCCACGTGAGGTGCCCAGGCGTGTAAAAAAACAGGAGGCGGCGTTTAAACACAGCAGCAAGACACATTGCGTGCAGTAAGATATGTCTCTCAAGAAGGCGTGCAGCACATAGAGCACACAGCAGAGTCAAGTTGACTATACACAGTCGCATACAGCAGTGGACCAGGTTGGGCAGCCAGCCGCGGCAGGAAAATGGCGGGGCTTAAAACTTGAAGCAGGAAGCATCGTCCATGCCTTGGGATAGATCAATAAATGTCGGTGCCTGGCTCACGACTGGCCTGCCAGCAGAGCGCCGATCAGCAGCAGCACCGCCGCACCACCCGCCAGCAGCGCCACAGGCGGGCCGTCATCGCTGCTCGCACTCGCCGCCGCTGGCTTGGGCGGGTTCAGGTTCACCGCCTCCGGGTTGGTCTCTGCCAGCTTCTCGATCCGCTTGCGGTCAATGTTCTCACGGATGGTCCTGCGGCAACAGACAGCGACACAAGAAGCACCACAGAGTGTGCAGCTGCAAGCTATACTACCGGCAACAAGACGGCGATGCAAAACCAAGCATCGCTGCGGTCCCTCCTAATACCACTCTCGCCCGCCGGCCATGCATCCTTGCAAGTCCCTGCAGAGAGCCGCACATGTGCAGCACAGGACCCAGCAGCGCCACCCACCGGAACTGCCGCTGCGGCGGGCGTGCGCAAGGCACCACCCTGAGAAGTCTAGGGGCCTGCTCCGTTAACCCCATCTGCTTCCTTCCAGATGTCTCCCACTGCGGTGCCACGCCCTGGCGAGGCTGCACAAGGGACTGCATTGCGTTCCGGCACCTCTGTCCCTCGCCTGCTGTCTGTTTCCGGGCTGGATCCCGCTGCTGTCGACTCAGAGGGGCCGAGGGAACGGGTGGCAGAGCAACGGAGAGCTGGGGAAGCTGAAATGGCCAGCTAAGCTTCGCGGGTGGCGAGGAAGAAGGTGGGACCCGCCATCACGCATTTGCCCTCATCGGCCGGCGTTAAAGCTCATCATTTTGCCGCTTGCTCTTGCAATCGCGGCGAGGGCGCCTCTTCTCAGCGGGAGGTCCACCCCCATTGCAAGCGATTCTGCTCTCCCCCGGCCACCTCCCGCTGCCTTAGCAGCTCCACCCACGGCGTGGAGCTGTATGAACGGCTGCAGCAGTGGCGGTGTGGCGCAAATGCAGACCATGTCGCTGGCGGCGGGGCGGGCACTGGGGCGGCACCTGTGCGGGCGTCTCGGCCCGCGCCTGCTGCCTGCAGCAGCGCCACGGTGCAGGCCCCCGGTGCGCAGCATAGCGACTTCAGCCGCCCCACCAGTGGCCGCCGAGACAAGCAGCAGCACCGCGGCAAACAAGCCGGGCGAGGCAGCTACGGCGCGGCGGCAGCGCGTGCTGTCGGGAGTGCAGCCCACCGGCAGCCTGCACCTGGGAAATTACCTGGGGGCCATCCGCAACTGGGTGAAGCTGCAGGAAGAGTATGGTGAGCCGCTTCACTGGGGATTTGGACCGACAGCGGGGGATGGCGTGCAGGTGTGGGCAAACCCCGGCTGCTGCCGGTGGCCCACTGCTGCCACCCCCAAAACCTGCCACCCCTTCTCCCTTCCCACTTTTGCTGCACTCTTGGCCTGCAGATACTTTCTTCTGTGTGGTGGACCTGCACGCCATCACGCTGCCGCACGATCCCAAGGCGCTGCTGCAGTCCACCCACAGCAGTGCGGCGCTGTATGTGGCCTGCGGCATTGACCCCTCCAAGGCCTCCATCTTTGTGCAGTCCCACGTTCCAGCCCACACCGAGCTGACCTGGATGCTAAGGTTCGTGCATGTAGCACAATGCATGCAGCTGCGCCGCAGCAGGCGGGGGCAGGCAGGAAGAGCAGAGAGCCCAGACCGAGCCGTCTTGCGATTTTTGCTGCAGCTGCATCACGCCCATCGGCTGGCTGCGCAAGATGATTCAGTTCAAGGAGAAGAGCAAGAAGGCGGGGGCTGAGGAGGTAGGCACCGGGCTGCTCACCTACCCCGGGGTCAATGGCCTCAGACATCCTGTTGTACCAGGTGCGAGGGTGGCGCAGGATGAGGGGAGGGGACAGCGCAGGAAACCTAAGCCTGGTGGGCTGCCAGCAATGTTATAAGGCTTGGCAGCCGCCTGCGGCAGCACACCCACACACACCACCCCTGGGCTGCAGACCGACCTGGTGCCTGTGGGCGAGGACCAGCGGCAGCACCTGGAGCTGGCACGCGACATTGCGGAGCGCAGCAACCACCTGTTTGGCGGCAAGAAGGCCAAGAAGATGGGCTGCAAGCAGACCCGCCTCTTCAAGTGGGTGCCGGATGGCCAGCGTGCCGTTTCAGGTCTTCTGTCTCATTCGCTGCACTCGCAGCATGAGCAGCATGAAACCGTAAAGCGCACTTCGGCTGTGCCTGTGCCTGAACTCTGCTGCCCCACATTCCCGGCGCAGGATGCCTGAGGCGCTCATCCCACCCGCTGGCGCGCGCGTCATGTCGCTCCAGGACGGCACCAGCAAGATGAGCAAGAGCGCGGAGAGCGACCTGTCCCGCATCAACCTGCTCGACCCGCCAGATCTCATCGTGCAGAAGGTCAAGGTGGGTGGCGCATGTGTGGGTGCGTGTGGTATTGGGCTCAAGCATCATTTTTGCTGTGGAGTACCGGGCAAAGAGCACCCTGCGCCAGCCGTACTGAGAACCCTGCTGTACAAACTACCGCGCTGTGCTATAGCGCGCCAAGACGGACGCGTTTGAGGGTCTGGAGTGGGACAACCCGGAGCGCCCAGAGGCCCGCAACCTGCTCACCATCTACCAGTGTGTCACAGGTGTGGCTGCCTCTGCTTGTTTGTTTGGTGCAACACCATGCAAATGATATCCCGGCATGCTGGAACCCTCTGGAACAGTGCAAATGGGTGCTGCCAGCAAACGGACGCGCTTTTCCCTTCAGTTGCTCACCCCATCATTTCCAACGGGCATATGTACAGGTCTGAGCCGTGCGGAGGTGTTGGCTGAGGTGGGCGGCATGCGGTGGGGCGACTTCAAGCCGCGGCTAGCAGACGCGGTGGTGGCGCACCTGCAGCCCATCCAGCAGCGATATGCGGAGGTCATGGAGGATGAGGGCGCGCTCGACGCCATATTGGCGCAGGTGAGCACAGGAGTGTGGAGTAGGGCTGAGGCTGAGCCGGGGGCTGCCCTCCCATTCATGGCACTCCAGCGCAGCAAACCAGCCCGCTCGTTCGTGTCATGTCGCTGGCATGCCGTGAGTTAGCTCCTGCCTGTCGTTTCACCTTGCTTCCTGATCTCCTCTTGCCATAATGCAGGGCGCAGACCAGGCGTCAGAGCAGGCATACGCCACGCTGGACAACGTGCGGCAGGCCATGGGCTTTGGCACTGTTGTGACGGGCCGGCGGCGGTGAGGGCAGGACTGACTCGGCCATTGTCTATCATTGGAATTGACCTTCATTTCGTTTTCAGTATCTCTTATAGCCTGCTGCATCAATGTAACCCGCAGCGCCCACCAGTGTGCAGCCGACCGCAGTGTTGTGGGAGTGCATTGTCGCCTGGAGCAGCAGCACGCGTGCAGACGGCCTTATAGGTTGCTTGCTGTGCAATATTGGTGGCTGAAAGTGTGGTAGCGGCAATGGGCAGGAGCAGAGCCTTCGTGATGCAGGCCACGGCGGGGCGTGACCTGGCGGGTGGCGGGAAGAGCAAACAGGCGCGCTCCTGCCTGTCGCGCACTGTGGATCGCGTAGCGCCCGCCTGGGCCTTTAACAGCAAGCCGGCAAAATGACGCTGCGGCTGAGGTGCGTTGGGCCAGCTCTCCTCACGGCTGGGTGATCGGCGGGGCTGGCAGGTTGCCGACCTGACCAGCTTGCTTGACGAGGCACAGGCAGCCTGAGCGATCGAGGGGTCCAGGCCGTGCAGCGGCGGTCAAAGGGAGGCCTGCACACGCGGGCCAGCGCAGCCCTGCACCCTGCTTGCTGTGGCCAAGGCACATCAGGCCCGCGCCGCCCAGGGATCGCCGACGCAACGGGGAGGGGGCTGGGCCGCCGCCCCACCCGCTGCTGCTGCCACCTGCCGCTCACAGCTGCATATGTGCCTTGGGTGCGCGCGGTTGCAGGGACCTCATCAAGCAGGTCCGCCAGTGCAAAACAGCAGCAGAGGAGCGCGATGTGGTTGCCAAAGAGAGTGCCGCGCTGAGGCAGGCATTCAAGGAGCAGGACGGCACCTACCGTCACAGGCAAGGCGCAATCGCTGGGCAGCAGAGGACAACTGCAGTCCTCGAATGTGCTGCCGCCAGCCGCCCACACGCCGCTGCCTGCCCTTCACCTGCAGGAATGTGGCTAAGCTGATGTATATCCACATGCTGGGCTACCCCACCCACTTTGGCCAGATGGAGACGCTCAAGCTCATCGCCTCAAATGGCTTCCCCGAGAAGGTGGGCAGGCCCTGGGTTGCTTGTGCCCGGGCGCACCCGCATCAGCATCAAAGTCGCCATGCCTGCACACCAGGCAGGCCCACATGCATGCAACGCTGCACGCGGCGCTTCCGTGCCTGTTTGGTTGCACACCACCCACGACTCCCCGCCCTCGCCGGCTCCCTCATGCTCCTGCAGCGTGTCGGCTACCTGGGCCTCATGATCCTGCTGGATGAGCGCCAGGAGGTGCTGATGCTGGTGACCAACAGCCTGAAGAATGACATGAACAGCCGCAACCAGTACACGGTGGGGCTGGCGCTGTGCGCGCTGGGCAACATCTGCTCCGCCGAGATGGCTCGCGACCTGGGGCCAGAGGTGGAGCGCCTGCTGGTGTCGCAGAACCCCTACCTGCGCAAGAAGGCCGCGCTGTGCGCCAGCAGGTGCGGTGGTCACGCAGCTGGGGGCCAGAGGCGGGGGTATGGCTGATGTGGGGCCCAGGACGGGCCATGGTCGGGGAATGTGCACTGATGGGCTGCTGATTGTATGTGTGGCTGCTCTCCACCTGCCCACATCGCTCCCTGTCATGCAGGGTGCTGCGCAAGGTGCCCGACATGCTGGAGAGCTTCCTGGAGAAGGCGCCGCGGCTGCTGGAGGACCGCAGCCACTCGGTGCTGCTGGCGGGGGTGACGCTCATGCTGGACATCTGCGCCCAGGAGCCGGCAGCGGTGGAGGCGTACCGCACGCACGTCCCGCTGCTGTGCCGCGTGCTGCGCAGCCTCATCATGGGCGGCTTTGCGCCAGGTGCGCTGCGACGCGGCACCGCCTGTGGCGGCACGATCTGTCTGGGCTGTCTGGCACGGAGGCGCCACCCGCCCAAAGCCGCGTCGACATCTGGCCTCTCGACTGGCCGCTCGTGTCGCTGCTGGCCCTGCCTGATCCGGCCTGCCCCCCAGCTGGCGCCGCCCCGCCCCTGCAGACTACGACGTGAGCGACATCAACGACCCCTTCCTGCAAGTGGCCATCCTGCGCCTGCTGCGCGTGCTGGGCCGCGGCAGCGCCGAGGCCTCTGACGCCATGAGCGACGTGCTGGCCCAGGTGGCCACCAACACGGAGAGCGCGCGCAACCCGGGGAACGCCATCCTCTACGAGTGTGTGCAGGTGGGGGGGCCAGGGCTGGGCTGGGGGAGGGTGTAGCGAGCACCGCAGGGGGTGAGGGCCCAGGCAGGATGGTGTCGAGAAGGGATTGCAGCCGCAAGGCCCCAGCTAGCGCCCGCCGTTGGCTGCCACGATGATCCCACCTGCCCCGGCTCCTGGCCCCCGCTGCCCACCCTGCCGTCCTCCCCCTCCTTCCACTCCCCAGACCATCATGGCGGTGGAGAGCATCGGCGGGCTGCGCGTGCTGGCCGTCAACATCCTGGGCCGCTTCCTGGCCAACAAGGACAACAACATACGCTACGTGGCGCTCAACACGCTGGCGCGGGTGGTGGGGGTGGACGCGGCGGCGGTGCAGCGCCACCGCGCCACCATCGTGGAGTGCGTCAAGGATGCAGACATCTCCATACGGAGGCGCGCGCTGGAGCTGGTGTACGCGCTGGTGGGTGGGGCGCTGGGTGCTGCCCGGGTGGGGCGGGGCGGGGCGGCGTTTCTGTGCATTGGGTGGGAGCTTTTGGTGTGGTGGGGCCTTGCTGCCAGCGCACACACGCGTCCACCCATCCCTCCCAGCCTGCCTGCTGATGCCCCTCCCCGCTCCTTGCCCCCCGCTCCTTGCCCGCAGGTGAGCGAGGGCAACATCCGCACCCTGGCCCGCGAGCTGCTGGACTACCTGGATGTGTGCGACACCGAGTTCAAGCCGGACCTGGCCAACAAGGTGTGCCAGCTGGTGCAGCGCTACGCCCCCGACAAGCGCTGGTACATCGACTCGCTGCTGCAGGTGAGCTTTGGGGAGGCGGCGGGGTGTGTTGTGTTGTGGGGTGTGGGCGTGCTGCTGTGCGTGGGATTGGGGGGCTCTGATTCCAGGGCCTGTGAGAAGCTGGTGGGATGGGACGAGTGAAATTGTGAGAAACAGGTGGGTGGGCAGGAAATTGCTTGCTTTGTAGCACAGGCCCCAAGCCTCGGTGCCTGTCTGCCTCCCCCGCCCCCGCTGCCCGCAGGTGCTGGTGCAGGCGGGCGCGTACGTCAAGGACGACGCCTGCCGCGCCCTCATCCTGCTGGTGGTCAACGCCAGCCAGCTGCACGGCTACGCGGTACGCGCCTCGTACCGCGCACTGGCCGGCAGCCTAGACAAGGCGCAGCCCTCGCTGCTCATGGTGGCCACCTGGTGCCTAGGTGGGCGGCCCGGCGGCTGGTGGCTGGGCGGGCAGGTGCAGCGGGGGCAAGGGAGCCACCCGGGAGCCTGGGAGCGTCCCAGCTGCATGGGTGGAATGGATGTGCCCGGCTGCTGTTGCACACGCCGGAAACGCATGGTGCCAGTGTTGCTGACATGCCGCGCGGCCCCGCCTGTGCCTTCACTCCCTCCCCCCAGGCGAGTACGGCGAGCTGCTGGTGGGGCCCGAGGGCAGCAAGGTGCTGGAGGGCGAGCAGCCGGTCAGCGCCAGCGAGGCAGACGTGGTGGGCCTGCTGGAGGCGGTGGTGCAGGTGGGTGAAGGGCCCGCCCATCTGCCACCTGGTGCCCTGCCATGTGCGCTGGCGGCCTGCCATTCGCGAGGAGGCGCGCAGTATCCCTGATGGACTCCTGGCTGCTGCCGCCCCCTGCCCCTCACCCTCTCCCCACGTCCCGCCCACCTCCTGCAGCTGCCCAGCGCCAGCTTGGCGGTGCGGGAGTACGCGCTGACGGCGCTGGCCAAGCTGGTGCCCCGCTTCCCCGGCAGCGCAGAGCGCATCAAGGCCATGGTGGCCGCCTACCGGCAGAGCAGCCAGCTGGAGGTGCAGACGCGGAGTGTGGAGTACAGCCGCCTGTTCAACTACCCAGCCATCGAGCCGCAGGTGGGCGGTGCAGGCTGACCGGGCCCTGCTGCGGCATGCCCTGGCCTGCCGTGGGTGCCGCGTCGAGTTGACGTGCGCTCATCTGGCATGCCAGGGGCAGCCACTCTTTGGCGTGCAAGAAGCGCGCATGCATCATCCACCACCATTCTCAGTGGCCGGCTGCACCCACGCCCTGGGGCCTTCCTTCTTCGCGCCGCAGGTGCTGGAGCACATGCCGCCGCTGGAGGAGTCTGCGTATGATGCCAGCCTGGAGCCCAGCGAGGCCTCGGCAGCAGCCAGCGCAGCAGCAGCCAGCACCGCCAGCGCAGCAGCAGACCTGGCGGCGCTGCTGGGGCTGGATGCAGGGCTGGCGGCCACGGGTGCGGCCCCCGCAGCAGCTCCACCTGCCAGCCAGACCAGCGCCGTCAACGCACTGTCCGATCTGCTGGCTGGCGACCTGCTTGGGGGCGGCGGCGGCGTCGCGCCCGCCCCGGCAGCGCCCGCCCCAGCAGCAGCGGCGCCGCCGGCAGCCACGGCAGACCCAGTGGCGGGCCTGTTTGGCGGGCCTGCGGCGGCGGCGCCTGCGGCGGCCGCGGTGCAGACCATCACCGCCTTTGCCAAGGGCCCGCTCACCGTCACCTTCCGCCTCGAAAAGCAGCCCGGCAGCCCCGCCACGACCGACATCCTGGCCACCTACAGCAACAGCGGCGGCGCGCCCCTGGAGAGCTTCACGCTGCAGGCGGCGGTGCCCAAGGCGATGCAGCTGCGGCTGGAGCCCGCCAGCGCCACCTCGGTGCCGCCGCACAGCGCGGGCGGCGTGAGCCAGCGGCTGCACGTCACCAACAGCCTGCACAAGGCGCTGGTCATGCGCCTGCGCATCAACTACAGCCTGGGCGGGCAGCAGGTGCTGGAGCAGGCAGAGGTGTCCACCTTCCCGCCCGGCTTCTAGTCGGGGCGCCACCCAGCCTTGCGACTGCTCCTCTTCTGCTGCTCCTAGCTTTTGCTCTGCTTCTCAATACTTACAAAAAGTGATGGGGACATCAGCAGCTTGCAGTTATAGGCAGGAAACGTAAGGGAGACAAAATTGGAGGGCAGCGCGGGCAGCCCGCCAGCAGTTCTAGTTGGAGGGGCGGGTGAGCAGCCAGCGGGGGGAGGCTGGCTCGGGTCCGCGGTCACAAGTGTGTCAGGCAGGTGGCGGTGAAGGTCAGTGTGGCGGAGCCGGGGGCGTTGCCCTCCCCGCCGGCGCTGTACTCGCTGCCCACACACACGCGGTACGACATCTCGGGCGCCTGCTCAGCGCCCTGCAGAGCCCACTCGTCGCCCGCCAGGTGCACCTGGATGGCCTGGTCCTTGCCCGGCTGCACCACGCCCCGCACCGGCCGCACCTCCAGCAGCTGGTGCGCCGCCGCCACCGCCGCCGCCTCCTCCTCGCTGCCGTGCCGCGCCACGGCGGCCGCCACCGCTGCCGCCGCCGTGTCCCCCGAGCCGTGGCTCACCGCAAACAGCAGCGGCTGCGAGCCGTCGTTGCGCAGCAGCAGCATCTGGCGCGGCATGGCGCTGGGGTGCAGCTTGACGTGGTCTGGCGCCAGGCTGGCAGCCGCGTCGGTGGCGCCCTCCAGCGCCACGGCGGCGCACTCCTTGAGCAGCTGGCTGCACACCCCGCGCTTCTTGGCCTGGTTGGTGACAGGCAGGTTTGCCTCCAGCACAGCATACACGGGCTTGTGGTCTGCACACGGGGAGCAGGGAGGGAGGGAGAGCAGGGGGGACAGCAGGAGTGACTCCAACGTGCGGGGGATGTTGGCAGGGTGCCCGGCGGCGGCGCCTGCGCAGGCGATGCTGTGTGAGGCGGCAGGCCAGCCGTCGCGCAGCCGCCCAGCCAGCTGCGGCAGGGCTGCCGCCACCCACCAGAGTCTGTCACGTCTGCCCAGCAGCTGTACTCCAGCGCTCGCACCACCACCTCATCCTCCTCATTCAGCGGCGCCCAGCCCTCGCCCTCCAGCGCCTGTTTGGTCAAAACACACGCGGCAGCGGCGTCAGGCGGCGCAGAAGGGTGGTGCATCGCTGCCTGGCTCGCTTCCTGACCTGCTCCTGCCCCACCCCCGCCCCTCGCGCCATGCAGCCGCGCAGCCCACACCCCACCGCCGCCGCTCCCATCCGCGCGCTCGCGCACCCCCTCCTACCTCTGGCGTGGGGAAGGGGCGGGTGCCCCGAAAGAAGATGCGGTCGCACCAGGCGGGGATGCGCCGCTTCTCGCTGGTGTCGTACCCAAAGGGGTTGGCGCTGGCCTTGTCAAACTTGTAGGTGGGGCGGAAGGTGATGCAGCCCTCGCGCATGCCGCGGAACACCCGCCCAAACGCCATCTCCCGCCGGCACTGGTCCTGCATCCGGGCGGCCGGGCGCGCAGCGGGCGAGCCCGGCGCCGATCAGCACGGGGTTGGACTGCCTGGTGCAGCAGGCTGGGCCAGGGTCACGCCGTCCGCCCCTCTGCCAGCCTCAGAAAGCCGCAGCTAGATCCCCCTCCCCCCAGCTGCCTCCATCTCGCTCACCAGCTTCAGCAGCGGCGACAGCTCGTTGCGAATGGCCCGCTCCTTCACCGCCTCGTACGCGCCGTCTATGCGGTAGTTGAAGTCGCCCAGCCACACCAGCATCTCCGCATCCCGCATCCCCTCCCCCTGCACCACCTCCTCCGTCACCGGCGTGGCGCCGGGGCTGGGCACGGCGGGGGGGTCAAAGCCCGCGGCGCTGTCGGCGTCGCTGTCCACGTCTGCGGGCGGGGGACGGGACCGTGAGGCAGGGGGTGGGCAAACCGCAGGTCAGCACATCGGTCGCCACCAGGCTGGGAGGCAAGCGCCCCGCCCACCCTCTCCGAAAACAAAATACCCCCCCCCTGCGCATGAAAGGGGGAGGCCATCCAGCTGACCTGCCGCGTCATCAAACACCGCAGCCCCCAGGTAGTGTCCCTGCGGCCCCTTGGACTTGCTGGCGGCCAGGGCTGGGGTGGCCGTGGCCGCCGCCGCTGCCGCCGCCTCCTCCTCCGCGTACCACGCCCGCCGGCTGAAGGTCAGCTGGCGGCAGATGGTGGCGTAGTTGGAATTGCGAGCCTCCACGGCGCCCTGCAGGATGGAGGAGGAGGGCAGGGCGGGGCAGGGCAGGCAAGCCGCCGCTGGAAAGTGAGCACAACCAGGGAGGGGGGGAGGGAGGGATCGCGCGGGAGCCCTTCCCCAGCTGGCCGCCCCACCTGGTGCGCCGCAAAGTGGGAGCACACGACGGCGATCCTGCGGCGGTGCACCGAGAACTCCACCGCCACAGCGCCCTTGTTGCCGCCCACGCCCAGCACGCCGCACGCCACGCTGGCCGTCGTCACCTCGCCGATGCTGGACCGCAGGTGGTTGCGCGCATACACCAGCACCAGCATGCCGCTGCGGCGGCAGAAGAGGGAGGGGCACGGGAGGGTGGCACACGAAGGGAGGGCTCCAAAGGGCCAGGGCACTCTAGAGGGCAAGCAGCGAGTGGCTGGGCATAGAGCGGGCACGGCTGCTGCAGCCGCGCACCTGAGCTGGCGCAGCCCCACTTGGTGCCAGTGCCGCTCGCCGCCCAGCGCCTGCAGCACGCCCGCGCTCCAGAACTTGGCGTTGGTGTTGCCCCGCTCCTGCATCTTGTGGGAGAAGGCGTCCTTGGCGGCGGCCAGGGCCACTGCAGGGGGTGGGCAGGCAGGCAGGGCAGGGAGAGGGGAGAGGGGGCCAGGCGCCAGGAGGGTGAGGGTCCTTGAAAAACAGTAGTGGGGAGCACAGAGCTGCAACATGCAACAGAGCTGGGACGCGCTGCCTCGGCTTTCCCCCAGACCTGTTGCATATCTACGAGGCATGCCACCACCACCCCTCCCCCCACTGGTCCCCAGCCCATCCACCCGCCCACCTGACGAGCTGCCCATCTCAATCTCCTGCAGCCCCACCACCGCCAGCTGCGTGTTGAACGCCGCCTCGTGCACCCAGCGGAAGAAGGGCGACCCGGGCTCAGGCTTGCTCTCCCCGACGTTCCACGTCACGCACAGCACGCGCAGGCTCTCCCGCTTGAAGGTGGTGCATGCCTGCTCGTCCCACGACGCACTGCACAGCGGAGGCGGCGTGAGTCCAAGGCCGGTTCAGCAGCGGAGGAGTATTCAGTGCAGTTCGACCCCAGAGATGAACAAAGCAGGGCGCAGCTCCTTGGCGCCCGCATGGCACCTCCACCACCACCACCACCAGCAGAAGAAAGCAGCGAGAGGCCAGGGCGGCGGGCGGGCACTCACAGCGCGTGGGCATCTGCGTCGTGGGGCACAGCGGAGCTCCACCCCTTGATGCTGCCGTCGGCAGCCAGGCTGTAGGTGCGGGAGCCGGCCTGCGTGATGCTCAGGATGGCCGCCGCGTGCGCCTGGAACACCCGCAGCGCGCCGCCCTCCTGGTCACGCACGCTGCAGGCGGGAGCAGGCGGTGTTGGGGGGGCACGCAGCGGCAGCGTTGATACGAGGAGCAGGCAGGTAGCAGCAGGCACGCGTCCCCACCCAGCGGCAACTCCCAGCTGCACAGCCGTGCCTGCACGAGCTAGGCCCCCCCGGCTGCCAGCTCGCCTGATCATGCCGTCTGCAAAGCCGACCCACACGCGCTGCCCCACACACGAGGCAGCCGTGATGGCGGGCCCGCAGTCGGTGGAGCCCAGGCGCTGCCCCGCCGCCGTGTACCGGTCCACAATGCCGCACTTGTGGGCCACCCACACGCCGCCGCCCGGCGGCGCCACCAGCGTCACGATCTCCCCCACCATCCCCGACACGTGAGGGTACCCCGCCTCATCATCTGCAGCAGCGGGGCAGGCACGGCAGGCGCCTCGCCAGGGTGGCAGGCAGGCAGTCGAGCAGCAGGGGGTGGGCAGGCAGGCAGGGGCCTGTCCCTGCCCTGGCCGGCCCCACACCGGCGCCAGTGCTCGAGCGAGTAGCTGCCTGGCTGCACCGCGCCACGCACCTGTGAGGGGCCCCGGCACGCTGCCCGCGCCGGCCAACGAGCTGCTGCTGGGGGCGCGGTTGGCTGAGGGCTTGGGCGCGTCGGCGGCGGGGGCGGGCGCGCTGCCGCCCAGCCCGCGCGCCAGCTTGCCCAGCAGCTTCACCGCCTTGCCCGCCCCCTGCACCACCTTGCTGCCGCCGATGGACACTCGTTCCATCAGCTCGTTGATGTTGTTGTCGGTCTGCAGGCAGGGAGATGAGGGGGCACGGTGCGTGGCGTGCATCGGGTTGGTGGTGGTGGTGGTGGCGTGTGCGTTGCTGCCACAGCACCAGGCGTGCTGGCCTGCATGCTACAATGTGCCGCTCCCGGCCCGCACCCAGCCGCGCGGCATGCCGCCCCCCAGCCTGCGCCACGCCTGCAGGCGCATGCCCTGGCCAGCCCACCCCACCTGCGCAGCCCAGGCCTCTTGCTCGGCGGTGATGCGGGGCCAGTCGGAGCTAGGGGGGCGGGCCACCACATAGCGGGTGATTGGGTCCGTCTCTAGGCCCTGCAGCAGCGGGGTAGCGGTCACTGCCAAAGGCAGGTTTCAGAGCCTGTTGCTCGCCCGCGCTCTGCCAATGGCTGCCACACAATCCCCACACTGACCCCGCCACTGCGCGGCCCCACAACAAATCCAGCGTGCGCTCGCCTTCTGCCCGTCTATCTTGTACTTGAGGGCGACAACATCGACGCCGGCCAGCGGCGACATCTCCGCCTGGCTCGGCTGGCTGGCAAAGCGCGGCGCGGAGCGCTGCAGCATGCCCAGGAAGGCGCCGCAGGCTGCATCCCACAGCAGCACCCCCTTGCCCGACGCGCTCCACACCAGCTGGCCGTCGGCGGGGCAGGCCAGCGCCACCACAGGCCCGCTGTGGGCGCGCTCGCCAAAGCCCTTGCGCAGCTCGCGGGAGCGCGGCGGCTCGGGGGTGTCACCCACAAGCGCCGGCTCACCCAACTCCCACACCCTGCAGGACATGACAAGATGGGGGCGGGAGCAGGCTTGTTTGGGAGGGCATTCACGTGCAGCACGAAGCGCTGCACCATGCGCCACCACAGAGCCTTTCCGACGGGTTCATCGCTGGCTGGGCAGCAAGGAACAACGGCCAGGCACCAATGCATCTGCCGAGCTGACGCCTGTAGAGCTCCGCCACCAGCAGCCCCTGCCCCCGGCATCCGCCCGGGCTGCGCCCGCCCCTGCCGCCGCACCGCATGTTGCCACGGGACGACCCCGTCCACAGCTCCCCCTGCGGCGTGCGGCACATGGCCGTCACGTATCCCACGCGGTGCGCCTGGAACTGGAAAGCGCGGTGGCCCGCCTTGAGGGACATGCAGGGCTCCCCGGAGATGTCGTAGGCTGCGGCAGTGGCGCGGGGGCAGGGCGGGGGTGGGCGAGCGGCCCCGGCATCCAACATGGGAAGGGCAGGGGGCACCCCGGCTGCAAGAAAGGATTGGCCGAGCGCGAGCAGCAGAGGATGGCGGCCGCTTGGGTGCTGCACGGTCAAGCCCAGTCCAGCTGCGCAGGCTGGCCGCCATGCCCCACCCCACCCCAAGCTTCCATCCTGGCGCTGCTCACTCACCATACACCCAGCCCTCCTTGTCCGCCACCCACAGCAGCTGCGCGGCGCCGTCCACCAGCACGCAGCAGGAGGCGCGGCCCTTGTCGCAGGCGTGCACCTCGATGGCGGGCGCCGCATCCGTGTCCTCTGTGGCCACATTCGTCTCGCTGCTGTACGTGTACATCAGGTCTGACATCAGGCGGGACAGCTTGCCACCCTGCAGAGGGCCCCAGGCCGCATGGGCAGGCACGCGGGGAGTCAAGTCGCTGCAGCACAGCACAGCCAACCAGCTAGGGCCAAGCCAACCCGCCCCGCAGGGCACTCCAGCGTGCAACCGCCGCCAAGCTGGCAGCGGAGGTGCGCCACGCGGGCGACCAGCGGCGGCGCACCCACCTGGCGCACGTGCTGCCCCTCCACATCCAGCGGCCGCCGCATGTTGCCCTCGGGGCGCCCCCACTGCAGCAGGCCGCCGCCCACGGCGGGCCCCGCAAACAGCGAGCCGTTGGCGGCAGCCAGCATGGTCAGCTTGGCCGACACCTTGGGCTGCAGCGGAGGCAGGCGCGCCTCAAAGGCCACCGGCGCCTCCAGCTCTCCTGCACGCACAGGCGCCCCGCAAACGGCGCAGGGTCAGGAATTCCAGGCTGCGCACGCACACGCGCTACACTTGTAGCAAGTGTAGCTACAGCTGATGATGGCACCCTGGCAGTGCTGCGGCAGCCCCCGCCAGCCGCTGCCAGCAGGCGAGCCTGGCGGCACCGCCAAGCGCGCGCGCACCTGTGTGCACCCGCTGTATTCTGTTCTGGTCGGACACCGCGATGCTGCGCGACATGCGGCGCACCATGCCCCCCGAACTAGGGGCCGCTGTATCCTCTGCTGCCGCTGCTGCTGCTGCGTCTGTCGCCAGTGCCGCCGCGCGCGCCGCCGCCTCGTCGCTGGTGGATGCCCCGTGAGAGGCGGCCCTCACCTGCAGCGCCCTCAGGCCAAACAGGTCGTCGTCGTCATAATCGTAGGGGGCAGGGGCTGCGCCGCTGCTGCCTGCAACCCCCGCACTCAATGCCAGGTCGCCGCCCAACAAGCCGGCGGCGCCCGAGGCATCCGACGCCGAGTCTGCCGCATCTGCCTGCCCCTGCGCACCGCCTACGCTGTCGGGCCGCGGCTGCTGCTGCTGCTGCGGCTGCTGCTGCTGCTCAGGCGCCGCCGGCTCTGCCGCCGCCTGCCCATCCACACCCTCGGCCGGCTGCTGCGCCTGGAGCCCACCCACGCGCGGCGGCGGCAGCGGCACGCCGTGCAGGTCCAGCCACGTGTTGCTGTGCAGCGCCGCGCCGGCATTCTCCTGCGTGAAAGGGTAGTCGCTGCACTGTGCCAGCGCGATGAGGCGCAGCACCTGGGCAAAGCGGTGGCGGCTGAGGCCCTTGCCCTCCCTTGCAATCACGTCGGGAGACTTGACTAGCTTCCAGATCTGGAGGAGCGCAGGGAGCACAGGCGTGGGGTTGAGAAAGGCACAGTTGGACGGACACCGGGGCTTGGCAGGTGAACATGAGCACAGCAGATCCTGGCAGCCTCGACCGGCCTGAATCAAATGCAGCAAAACCTGCCAGCAGCCGGAGCCCACACCTTGCTCAGGTCTGCTGGCGCCAGGCCCGAGGTGAGGAAGAAGTCTCGGGCCTCGCTGTCCGCCACCCGGCCGTCCCCGTCAGCGTCTGCCAGCTGGAACCAGGCATCCACCTTGCTATCTGGCACGCCGTCAACAGATGAGTCAGCGGGTCCTGGCGATGTCGACTGCGAGAGCGGCCGAGCCGGCAAGGAGGTGACGACGGCAGGCGCGCTGGGGGGCTGCTGGGTGGGGGTGCTGCCAGCGGCGGGTGCCCGCATGGGAGCCGGGCCGGGCTTCCGCTTGCTGGCAATCTCGCCAGGCAGCAGGTCCTGCATTGCAGGATGGTGCGGGGGGCCACTCTCAGGAGCAGGCAGACCGGACCACCACCGGCGGGCGGGCGGCGGCGGCGGCTGTTTGCCAGCAGCGGGCAGGGCTGCCGCCGCGTTCTGCCGTATTTGTTTGCATAGCCGCATGCCACGCTCACCTCGAAGCCTGCCATCCTTGCACCCTAGCACAGGTGCCCGCCCGACCAAGCTCCTGGACCCACTAGGCTTCTCAGCGGCAACCGAGGTGAGATCTCAGGGGGGTGTGGGCGCTGCCGCCACCCTCAAATGCCCGCAACTGCACGACCCTGCGACAGTAACAGTCGCCAGGCTGCAGAGCCCTGCTGCTACCGACTGCCCGGCATTGGCCGATGCCCAACGATACACTGCAAGCACGCTCAGGACGGCAAAGGGGGAGGGGTCCATTCCAACGTGGCGGACATTGCGCGCTGAGCAAACCCATTTACTTGGAGCACCGCAGCATTGAATCTCATCGCTCTCTGCCTATTGCATCCCTCACGCACGGGCGCTCGACCACAAGAAGACCGGTTTCGATGGCGAACTCCTCCCTCAGCAGCCTTCAGGCAAAAAGCGAACCTTGGTGCTGCGCAGCGATGTCACATACGTTTCGTGCTGGAACCCGCTGCCGGTCCATCCCACCTGCACTGTGCCGTCGCCCGCCTGCCGCTGGCACCTACCTTGTTGCAGGGCGTGGAGCTGCTGGCCCACGCAGCCGACGGCAGTGTAAAGCGTGTTCGAGGTTCTGAGGCACTCAATGGAAAGGCAGTAGGCCTGTACTTTTCAGCCCATTGGTGCCCGCCCTGCCGAGCGTTCACGCCGGTCCTTGCCGAGGTGTACCGCACACTGAAGCATAAGCGCGACGACTTCGAGGTTGTCTTCGTTAGTGGAGACCGAGATGCGGCGCAAGCCGAGGTAGGTGATGACGCACCTGCCGTTTTGCGCTCTGCTCAAGCCAGAAACAGAGCCCGGAAGCTTTGTTGCTGCAGGAATACTTTGCGCGCATGCCATGGCTGGCGATCCCATTTGAGGAGCACACTGTGCGCCAGCAGCTCAGCAGCAAGTTCTCTGTCATGGGGATTCCCCGCCTGGTGATTGTGGCGCCCGACGGCGAGGCAAGTTTTGCTAGCTTTGTATTGCCAGGCATACAAGGCATTGCCCTTATATGTGCATTCCTGGGTGTGCAGGTGATTGCCAATGATGCACGCAGCGCAGTCATGAGCGATCGGAGGGGCGAGCAGTTTCCCTGGAAGGGCGCCAGTTCTGGGTCTCAAGGCCTCATCGGGTAAGCCGGCTGCCTGCGTCAGGCTGCTGCTGTTTTGCTACTGCTGGCGGAAAGCCATGCCGTGCAGGTCCAGCTCAGGCTGAAGGTACACCACAATCCCGACTGCTTTCTTGTTCCCGCTGCAGGCTACTGACCAGCCCCCGGGGCCTGCTGCTGCTGTTTTTGGCGCTTTATTATCTCAGCCAGTGGTTCACTAAGCAGCAGTGAAGGAATGTTGTTACATGGACTAGCGGGGCATGCGTTTCCTGGCTTGGCAATACATTTCGAGCTGCTGGGAAGCCCTCTGCTGGTCTAGGCTCACTAAACTGGCTGGTGTACAGTTGCTGTTCTGTCGGCTATCTGCTCCTATCTGTTTCTCTCTCTCGCTCGTTCGCTCCCCTGTTGCCAGCATGGCTCAATCTGCAGTGGAAACATGTGGCACAGCGTATCCAATTGTCACCAGCCCACATCAGGTGTGCGAACCAAGCACAGGACAAACACGGCACAAAAGCCAGATGCAGGTGTGCAGCAACCGGACAGCAAGCGTGGCCAGTGTGCGCAAAAGCACGAGCGGCAGGAGCAAGATTTGGCAGGAGTGGCCTCAGATTAGCATGACCAGTTTTCAGCCTAATGAGCTCAGAAGACCGTTGTGAGAAGTTGGTTGCTATCATCCCAGGCCAGCCAGGTGGAGGTGGAGCAGGGCGCGTGCAACAAGGCGTGTGTGCAGCATGCAGGGCAGCGCAGCGGCATGGCCAGCGCATGCGCCGCACACAAACTTGCTCACCATCGCGCCTCATACTGCACCACGCGCTTGGTCCGCTTCTTGTACAGTATTCTGTACCCGCACTCGCGGCAGCGAATGACGTCCCCCGGCTTGAGCGTGTTCTCCGCGCCGCAGTCGCCGCAAATGTAGGCCACCTGCACGGGTCCCGTGGGCGCTGGTGCGCCATAGCCTGCCGTGCCCTGCATGGCGGTGCTGCGGTGGCCTGCAGGACGCAGAGGAGCACGACAGCGTGCCACTTGGTGGGAGGTGGGGACGATACGTGTGTCGGGGGCGGGGCGGGAGCGGCCGCGGGGCGGTAAGTGGCTGGCGGCTGGTGCCCGTGATCTTCCGAAGAATGCGACTCCTCTCAGCTCTGTGGTTCTCTCGAGAGCAGCAAAGCACGAGGGGCCCGGGGCGGCGCATGCAGACAGCGGCAGGGGTTGGGGCTGTTCATCCCATCATGGCCCCCCGACCCGCTGTCTCGAGCTCGCAGGCAGCGCGCACTGGCTCGCAACACGGGCAGCTCACCAGCGATGCGGAATCCTGCGTGCTTGGGCGTGTAGATGCCTTGATCAATCAGTGCAAGCGATAGTACGCACGATGAATTAGCACAACAGCAAGGCGATGCGCCCTACGGCTGTGCCAGCATGGTGTTCGCTGGGGCGGGCTGGAAAGGCGCTTGCTGCGCCCAATGCAGCCTGCAGCGCCTTTGAGGATTCATTCAGTTGTGCCCAGGTAGCGTGCCGCACTCCTAGCAGGGGAAGCCTCCCTCTTGAATCAGTCAGGCACCGGGCGCTGGCGCTGGGTGCGTCCTGGTACCTCAGCAACAGCAGCGGCAGCCTGACGGCATAGGGCGGGCGCAGCAGTAACGGGGCGAGCCGCCAGCCACCTGCCGCCGATCGTCAACGGCGCAGCGCGGAAGGAGGTATCCGTCTGCACAGCGGCTTTCGCTCCCGAGCACTGCCCCCCAGCCAGGCCGGTGAACGGGCTCCGGTGTTCCTCGCCAGATCCCACAGCCAGCCACCACGGCGAAGCTGCCTGACCCGGAGGCGGCGCCCCTGGTGACGGCCCAGCCGGCGGGAGCGGCGGAAACCCTAGAGGTCGAGGCAGCCAAGCCGTCGCCAGCGGCCGCCGCCGCCATGGGCGCCACAGTCGTCACCTTTGCGCCGGGCACGCTGCTGATGGCGGCGCTGCTGACGGTGCTGACCAGCTCCCAGGGCCTGCTGACCACCGCCAGCAAGACGGGGGACGGCTACGCATACGACTTTGCCACCGTGCCCTTCCTGGCCGAAATCACCAAGCTCTGCATCTCCTACTTCCTGCTGGTGCGCCAGCGCGCCGCCGACCCGGGCTCCATCCGCATAACCAAGGACTGGCGGACCGTGTCGCTGTTCATCGTCCCCTCCATCATCTACATGGTGCACAACAACGTGGCGGTGAGTGGCCCCTGCACACGCCTGCCCCGGCAGGGCGGCGCAGCTGCGGGGTGGACGCAGGCCCAGGGGTGGCCCGGCCATGCATTCGTGCCTCGAGGGAACAGGGAGAGGGCTCGCCGCGCCGGTGGTTGCCTCGCCCTGCCGCCTGCGCCACCCCACCCGCTCCTCGCCCCGCCCCCCTGCTCGCTCCCCCTTTCCTGCCCGCCAGTTTTATTTCCTGAAGCACGTGGACGCCGCCACCTACCAGATCCTGAACAACCTCAAGATCGTCAGCACCGGCATCCTGCTGCGCGTGGCCCTCAACCGCTACCTGTCCAAGCTGCAGTGGATGGCACTGCTGCTGCTCACCACGGGCGCCGCCACCAGCCAGATCAACACAGACTGCTCCTCGGGAACCACCCAGTCGGTGCTGTCGGCGCCATTCATTGTGAGCGCTGGGTTGGGGGAGGCGGGTGTGCGCCCCTGGCTGGCTGGCCGCCGGGGAGCCCCTGGGCTGCAGCAGCAGGGCCCACATCCCGGCCTCAACTGTTTTGTTCCCCTGAATGGTTGCTGGGCAAGCACTTTCCCCCTCCCTCTTGAACTCCCCTGCCTCCCCTGCCTCCCCTGCAGGGCTACGTGTTTGCCCTGGTGAGCGCGCTGCTGAGCGGCGTGGCGGCTGTGTACACGGAGTGGGTGCTGAAGAAGAACAACGACACGCTGTACTGGCAGAACATCCTGCTCTACGGCTTCGGCTCCGTCTTCAACTTTGCCAACCTGGCGCACAGGTGCGTGGAGGCGGGGGGGGGGGCACATCAGGGCCCGCCTGGGCATCGAGTGGGGTGTGGCACTGGGTGCCCGTCGCAGCTTCCCACGCCTGCCCGGTGCATGTGCTGCTGGGGCTCACCCAACGCCGCCCGCTGCCCGCCGCCGCGCCGTGCCTGCTCTGCTGCAGCAAGGCCAGCTCGGGCACTGGCTGGAACATACTGTCGGGCTACTCGTTTGTCACCTGGCTGGTGGTGGCCAACCTGGCCTTCAGGTGGGGCGGGGTGGACAGGGGAGGGAGGCAGGGGAGGGAGGCAGGGCAGGGAGCTGGATGTGCGTGCTTGATGGATGGACCGAGGAGGGTGATATGCACTGCGTTGCCTCTGCCTCCCTAGCATGCGCCGCTGGGCGCCCAACCAGCTGCCAGCCAAGCATAGCCCCCGTGACCGGCCCCCCTCCGCCCCCACCGCCCCCGCCGTGCCTGCAGCGGCCTGCTGGTGTCGTGGGTGATGAAGTTTGCGGACAGCATCGTCAAGGTGTTTGCCGCCTCGCTGGCCATGCTGCTCACAACCGTCGTCTCCATCGCCTTCTTCAGCCTGCAGCCCACGCTGCAGATGGCGCTGGGCATCGTCGTCGCCTCCTGCTCCGTGGTCCTGTACTACGTGCCGCCCACCCAGCTGGGGGCCGTGCCCAAGGCGGCCGAGGCGGCCAGCAAGCTGCCCAAGTAGCCGGCGCCGCGCTGCTGGCGGACCCAGCTGGCCGCCTCGGCCCGCTGCGCCCCCTGCTGGTGTTGCCTCCAGCAACCTTACCTTGAGTTCCTCTGGCAGATGGTCGCCTCCTGCTGTTCCATTATTATTTGCTGCGTCGTTACATCAGTTTCTTATACGTTGAACTGCAAACCGCCCATGGCTGTAAAAGGAACGAGTGTTTCTCAACCATGTGCAGCAATGGCAGCCGATGTCACGGGTGGGTAAACAGCAGAGCAGAGCAGAGCAGAGCGGTCAGGGAAAAAACAAATGTCGGTTTGGAACAGCAAGCAGCAGGAAGATTGGTGGGGAGCGATAGCAACCGAGCAGGGCAACAGCACAAGAGGCGCAATGTGACAGCGCTGTGCTACGCTGTGCGTGCCGGGATGCCGCTGCTGTTCAGGTGCGCCTTGACCGCCGAGATGGGCACCTCGCGGCGGTGGAAGATGCCTGCCGCCAGCGCCGCCGCCGCGCGCGTCTTGTGGAACACCTCGGAGAAGTGCTCTGGCGCGCCCGCCCCGCTGCTGGCAATCACGGGGATGGTGACCGCGGCTGCAGGGGGCGCACGGGCAGCACAGGTGGTGGGCAGGGCCAGCAGGGGCGAAAGCGCGGCGGGCAGCATAGGGGCAGCAGAGGCAGCGAAATAGGGAAGCAGACGGGCCGCGCGAGACCACTTGACTCCTGCACGACGACAGGCCGGCACCGCCATGTCAGCGCCACCCACCCGACACCGCATCCGTCAGCTCGATGTCAAAGCCCTGGCCCACGCCGTCGTTGTCAATGCAGTTGAGCAGGATCTCGCCCGCGCCCAGGTCCTCCACGGCCTGGCGCCAGGCGGCGGCGGGATTGCAGGGGGGGAGTCAGGCGGCGAGCCGCTCGAGGCGTTTTCCGTGTATACAGGCGCACGACACGCAGCAGCTGGACGACTCGGCAGCAGCAGCCGGACAGCAGCGGCAGCAAGGGCAGCAGCAGCGGCCTCCCCGCCGCATGCAACACACCTTGGCCAGCTGCACAGCGTCCACGTCGCGCCCCTCGCGGCCACCCTTGACCGTGCACTGCCACCAGCAGTACTGCTCGCCCTTGGGCCCTTCACCAGGCGGGGCAAGGCGGTGCAGCACGCTCAGTAGGGCACCACTTGGGCCACACGGTCCAGCACAGCAAGGCCGGCGCATGCCGCAGCCGGCCTGCTGGCCCTCCTGCCTGCAGCATGCCGCCGGGAGGGCCAATGCCACCTCCCCCAGCCCATCAGGCCGGGCCCAGCCCAGCCCGCCCCGCAGCCGCCGCACCCGGCTTGCTGGTCTTGACGGTGTGGTGGGGCGTGTCTTCAGGCGCCGCCACATACACGCGGCGCGGGTCAATGGAGATGACCACCGCCTGGGCGCCATACACGCGCGAGATCTGCTCGATGGCGGTGCTGCCGTCCTTGGCGCCGCCGCCCGCCAGGTAGGCCTCCACAGCATACACAGCGTCGCTGCCAATGGACACCTTGTCCGCGCCAGACCTGCCAGGGGGGCGTGGCCGGGTGGATGGGTGGGGATGGCGGGGGAGCAGGGAGGGTGGGGCTGGCTGGCGCAGACGGCAAGGGGCAGAGCGGGAGGCGGAGGCGGCAGCGCCCAGGGTCTGGCCTTCCGCGTCACGCACCGCGCAGCGCAGCACAGCCCAGGCTGACGCAGCGTGGCGCAGCGCATCGCGGCCCGCACCGGAAGTACTCTGCCGCCACCTGCAGCGCGCTGTAGTGCTTGCCGCTCGAGTCTGTGAACTCTCGGATGCCGCCGCCGACGGTCAGCGGCACAAACACGCCCTCGCTGGCCTGGCGCAGCACCTCCAGCATGGGCAGGTCGCCCAGCGGGAAGTCGCGGAAGCCTGCATGTGTGCGGTTGGGGCAGGGAGGCAGCGGGCGGAGCTCAGCATACAACCAGCATACAGCCTGCGGCGGTGGTCGGCGGAGTGGGTGCCGCGCTGGCAAGCAGCTTGCACGCACGTTTCCATGCAGAGATGCAGGTGGGAGGGAACTCTTCAGTCCATCCACCGCGCCCACGCACATGCGGACAACCAGCAGGCCCAGCCGCACCTGTGATGTTGAGGAAGGTGACCTCGTCGGCCCCCTCATCAAAGTAGCGCCCCGCCAGCTCCACAGGCATGCCCAGGTTGCGCACCTGGGGGCAGCAAGAAAGGGGGGGGGGGGGAGGGAGGCAGGGGAAAGGGATTCAGAGCTCTTCCGAGTGCGGTACCAGCAGCGCAGCCAAGGCGGCACCAGGGCAACCGCATGCCTCCAAGCTGCCGCCTTGCCCCTCTCTCCTGCCGCACTGCTCTTTCCCATGCCGTGCTGCCCGCCAACGCCGCCGCAGCTGCCGCCCCTGCCCGCTCACCTCCCCCGTGCTGCCCGTCTCCCGCACATCATACTGGTCCCCCTTTGTCACAACCAGGTCGCCGCTGTCGTTGGCACGCACATCCAGGCACGCAATCACGCGCTTGGCAAGGCCCCGCGGCCGGCCTGCAGGGTGCGGCAGGCGGCAGGCAAGCATCGGGCAGCCGTCCGGACGGCGATGCCGACGAGCGGCAGATGAGCCGAGGGCCGGGCTGAGAAAGCAATGGCCCTTGGCCGCGACCACACAGGCTGCTCCTCCTGGGCAAGCAGCGCTCCTGGGCAGCGGGCTTGCTGGCAGCGACGCGCCCACCCACCGTTGCCGTCTGCCGCGGGCGCGGGCAGCGCGGCCGTCGCCTCTGGCTCCAGGAAGCCGCGCAGCACGTCCAGCCCCGCGGCGCCGCTCTTCTCGGGGTGGAACTGCGTGGCATACACGTTGCCTCGCCGCACCGCCGCCACAAACTCGCCGCCATACTCGCTGGTGGCCAGCACCCACTCCGAGTTCTGCAGGCAGGTGCACGTGTGTGTGTGGGGGGGTGAGGAGGGCAGAACCATGGTAAAAGAACGGCGGGCAGGAGCCGTGCGACGATGTTGCAGCAGAGCCCAGGAGCGGGCTGCTCGTAACGCCGGCGTCGCGGAAGGGCCGCACAGCGGCGCTTGCCGCCACCACCTGTTAGTTGCCGAGGCGCGCACCTGTGGCGTGGGGGTGGCGTGGTAGGAGTGCACAAAGTAGACGCGGCGGTCGCCCACCTGGCTCAGCAGCGTGGAGGGGTGCCTGCACGCCGGCAGGGCATGGGCAGGCGTGAGCCGCAGCTCGGGCCAAAGGCGTCGCCCAGGTAAGCTGTGCAAAGACTGACCTCACTGAACAACCCAGCACCCCCGTGTGCACTGAGCCGGGAACATTCCTCCACCCCTGCATGCCTGCCGCGTCCGCCCGCCACCCAACCCCGGCCGCTCACTTCTGCAGCAGGTCGTTCCAGCCGATGTGCGGCACGGGCAGCCCCTTGGTCACATCAAAGTGGGTGACTGCGCCCGGGATGAGCCCCATGCCCTGGCACCCGCCGTTCTCCTCGCTCCCCTCAAACAGCAGCTGCAGGCCCAGGCAGATGCCGAAGAAGGGGCGGTCTGCCTGGATGTAGTCCTTCAGCGCCTGCAGGAGCAGCAACCAGCAGGGAGTGACGACCCGCACGCAGAGGGCAGAGGGCAGGGGCAGGTGGGCAGGCGGGCATCCCATCGTGCATCACCAGGTGGCTGGCCACGCATGGCCTGCTCCTCGCGGCAGCTGGATGGCAGTGCCCCCACCCATCCCGCCTCCCTGCTCAGCGCCAGTCCTGGCCCAGCACCGCACCTGGGTGTACCCGCGCTGCTCCAGGATCGTCATGGCCTGCCCAAAGGCTCCCACCCCCGGGAAGATGAGCTTGTCGGCGTTGGCAATGTCCGCAGCGCACTCCACCTGCAGCGCAGGAAGGCCGGGGAAGGGGCAGCGCATCATTCGCATGCTATCGACCTGGCCCGAATGCTGCTGCTAGCTGCGCTGTTGTTTCTGCCTTCTCCACTGTGCTGAGGTGCACCATCCACAGATTGTCAACCCGTAGGGTACAAGCTCTGCTCCAGCCTGAGCTCACATCTTTGATGGTCCACCCTAGCTTCTTGATGGCGTTGCGCACGCTGCGCACGTTGCCAGCTCCATAGTCCAGAAGCGTCACCTCCCGCTCCCGCGCCGCTGCACATGGTGGTGAGAGGAAGTAGGGTGAACAGCGATAGCCTGTGTCGACAAGCGCATTGCCAGAGGTTGGCAGGCAGCAGCGGCAGCCGTCGCTGGCGGTGGTGGCAGCAGGAGCGTGGAGGCTTCCTGGTGCCAGCCGCGCTCAGAGCAGGTGCAGGCAGAGCTGTTGGGTGTGGTGAAAGGGTCGAGGACCCGCACAGGCAACGGTCAGAGCCAAGTCTCACCCGCCCTACAAGCCAGCGTCATGGTGCGACGGCTGCGGGCCGGTGCAGGGCCTCGCAGCTGCCTCAATAGGGACTGCGAGTTGCATGTCATCGACAGGTGGCCTGCGCAAGCCAGGCTGCGGCCCGACGTCGATGGTGCAGAAGCCATACTGTTGGCACTGCCTTATCGGCGCGTCTGCCGCTTTGAAGCGTGTGACAGGGTGCTTCAGGCAATAATTAAAGCGCACGGCATATGCTAGCGTGCCAGAATTGGCCGCCAGAGGTCGCTTTCTTTCGCCGGCTTGAGCCGCCCATGCAACCAATGCAGCGCTCCTGCGGCCTCTTTAAGCTCAACTCCGATCCATCAACTCATTGGGTTGCATTTGAGAAGGTCACCAACCCTATACCTGCATGCATGTCTTGATCGCGGTCGAGCAACTTTGGGAGGGGCTGCTTGAGCTGTGACAGAGGCTAGGGAGCAGAGATGAAGTTCGCCCAGCTGGTTGTGGGCCCGGCGGGGAGCGGCAAAGTCAGTCCTGCGCAAACTCCCCGCCGCCTGGAGGCCACCGCCCCGCTCCTGCCGCACCCTCACTGCCGCCCTCTCGCCACCACCTGCAGTCTACCTACTGCGAGAACATCAAACAGCACTGCGATGCCATCAGCAGACCCGTCCACGTAGTCAACTTGGGTGCGTGGCGGATGCTGCCGCTCTCCCAGATCCGCCGCAGGTGTCTGTTCCTTGAATTCCATACAGCATAGCGTTGCACACCTGCCGCCGTGCTCTCTGATCAATGGCTGCAGACCCGGCTGCCGAGGAGTTCAAGTATCCGGTGTCCATTGATGTGAGGGATCTGGTGACGCTGGATGATGTGATGCAGGAAATGCAGTTGGGGCCTAACGGGTGCGAGCCAGGCCACATTTCAGCGGAAGGGATGGGTGGGCCAGCGTGCATGTGAGGGAGGGTGCTGCTGGCTGGGGACAGCAGAGGGCAAGTAGCAGGGGCTGCCCCGCCTGCTGCGAGGGCTGCCGTAGCCCGCCCCCTTGCGCAAGCCGCGGCCTGGTGCCCGCACCACTTCTACCGCATCCTGTGACCCGTGCGTCATCTTGTACGCCTGCCTGCCTGTGTGCAGGGGGCTGCTGTACTGCATGGAGTACCTCGAGGAGAACTTGGAGGAGTGGCTGGGGGCCGAGCTGGAGGTGGGCGCTGCCTGTAGCCTGGACTGCAGTCAACAACTGCCCATGCTGCCCAGTTTGGAATACTATCGCAACTTGGAGGGGCAGCTGACCTATCTGCCGTGCCCACCCTGCGCAGGCCTATGGCGATGACGACTACCTGCTGTTCGACTGCCCAGGCCAGATCGAACTCTACTCCCACGTCTCCGTCTTCCGCACATTTGTAGAGTATCTGAAGCGGGAGGGCTGGCAGATCTGCGTGGTGAGTTGAGGTGCCGGGGCGCAGAGGCACGGCTGGTTAGGCCAATTGGCCTTGCCTGCCGGCTCCCAACTGCCTGGCAGCCCATGCGCTTGACTGCTGTTTCCCACCATGCTGCTCAGCTGCCACCCGTCTGTGTTCCTGCTAACCCTGCCTGTGCCCTGCCCGTAAGGTGCAGGTCTACTGCCTGGACTCGCAGTTCATCGCCGAGATGCCCAAGTTTGTGGCAGGCTGCCTGTCGGCGCTGTCGGCCATGGTGCAGCTGGAGCTGCCGCATGTCAACGTGCTCACAAAGGTGGACCTGTGCAAGAACAAGGTATGCGCGAGGCTGGGTGTAGCAGGAAAGATCACAGGGACGCTTTCCCTCCAACTCCTGCTCCAGCTTCTCATGCCAATCCTTGCTCCCCTCCTGCCTTCCCGGGCACCTGCTTGGTGTGTGCGCAGGAGGCGCTAGACTCCTTCCGCTTTCCAGATCCAATGGAGATGCGGCACGAGCTGGACAAGCAGGCAAGCTGATTGCAGCACACTAACTAGGTGCCGCAGCATAATGCAGAGCAGGTGTTGGTCATAGCTTGGATGGTCGCTGCCTTTTACCTGCGCTTAACATCTCCTTCCACTGCTGCCTCTGCCGTCATCGACTTGCTCGTGATCTGCCCTGCCATCCTGCTGCAGACGGGCCCACACTTCCGGCGGCTCAACGACTCTGTGGTGCAGCTGTTGGATGACTTCTCAATGGTGACTGCTTGCACGTGATGAGCTGAGCGGCTGCAAAATGGATCAGAAGGCTGCAAGGCAGCAACAGCCAGAGCCAGACGACTGCGGATGGTGACAATGTCGCTGCCTGGTGCTGCCTGGCCCGCAGGTCACCTTCACGCCGCTGGACATCAGCGAGGAGGAGAGCATTGAGGACTTGCTGCTGCAGATAGACATGGCCATCCAGGTGAGTACGCTGCGTGTGCATGTGCACAAGAGATGCCCCTGCTTCAGACCGCCGGCATGCCATGCTTTGCCGTCACGGCGCTGTGCGGTGCCATGCATCCTCCCCTGCAGTATGGCGAGGACCAGGAGGTGAAGACGCAGGAGCATGGGGACATGGCGGATCCAGACAGCGACGAGGGCCCAGACTACTAGCAGGAGGCAGGGAGAGTAGCAGGAGGTTATTGCAGAGGCCAGGAGAAGGCGCGGCAGCAGAGGCTGCGTCGTTGAGGCGCAACATGCTGAGCCTGCCATCTTTCAGGTGGCAGACCAGCGGCGGGTGTCATATTTGGTTCGCTGCAGGGTAATCAGACACATTACTTACAATGATGATAGCCTGTTTTTTCATTTTATTCAACGATTTAATCCTCTAGGACTGTTTTTGAACAGGGAACGAAACAAGAGCCACGCAGCAATTAGCACACCATGCGTGTAACCTTCCACAAGAAGCTGGTCACCTTCATGGCGGCCGTGGAGGTGGAGGCCCCACAGATTGCCTCCCATGTCTTCTGCAACATGTTTGGCGGCGGCACGATGTGAGGCGGGGGGGAGCGAGCCATGGGCCGGGAACCAGTTCCGGCAAGGGCATGGGCGGGGGAGCAACAGTCCGGCATGAGAGCAGCGGCGCTGAGCTGGCGGGGGGGTGCCACCATGCGCCTGTCCGCCTCCCCTGCCCCTGCTTGCCCACTGTTTATGTGAGCACCGCCCATGGATAAAGCTGCTACAAGATGCAGTGGTTACAAATGGAATGTGGGGCACGGTAGGGCACCTGGCAGCCCGAAAAGCGCCGCAGCAGCCCTCTGCCGTTGGTGCCGGCCCAGTTGCATCACCACCCGAGCAGTCTAACAAGAAGTATAAACCATTTTGCAGTCCTCAAAGTAACTGCCGCAAAGATAATTGACGGGGATATCTTGGCTCCAGCTCAGGTCCACCCCTGCCGATGCACGGCCAGGGCCGCCAGCAAGCCATCAATCATGTCCTGCAATCAAGGTGATTGCATGTTGTGACCAAAGCGCAGCAGGTCGATTCATACCTTGTCTGCTGCTGTACAGCCGTAGCACGCCTGAGAAAGATGTGGTTCAGCCAAGGCTCATGCTCAGCTCAGCTGCATGTGCTGCCGTGCAGCCAGCGAATGCCAGCTCACCGCCGACAGGCCCATCTCTGCCATGGCGCCGGCGACATGTTGTGCTAGGGTGTCGAGGTGGGTGCCATTCAGGCCCTTCTCCGCCGCCAGCCGAGAGTAGAGTGCCGAGGGGTCAGGGCCCCTGTAGGTCAGCGGCCCGCCCAGTGCAGAACCCAGCCACTGGGCCTGCAGCGCGCCAGGGGGAGGGGCCACCTGTCATGTGGGGCAGCATAAGCTGCCTCCAGACAGGCCACCCGCCTGGCCGCCCCATGCTCACTGTTTGTGCCTGCGCCGCAGCATCCTGCGCCCCCTCCAGGAAGCGCTTGATTCTCCAGTCCGCCAGACCACGCCGCACTGTCTCTACCGCCAGAGCTGCTACTGCATCACTGCCACCCATGCGGTCGTACAGAGTCGCTGGCACCGCCTGCATGCACGGGCACACTTCAGCAGGGCATGGCAGGCACCATGGCATGTTGCGTTGCGCGGCGAGGCGGTGAAGACCGTCTGTGAGTCACAGCTTCAACCGGCGCTGCCGCAGGATTCAACATGCATGGCAGCAGCCGCCTGCCCTCTTGCCTAACTCGCCTTGATGGTGTCATCACCGTTGGCGGGCTGCAGCAGCATTTGCAGCGGCTTCCACAGGCTTGCCACCCACGGCTCCAAGACCTGGGTCAGTGGATCTGTCTCACTCATGATGCACAAAACATGATGCAAGCACAGCTCACAAAGTTGTCACAGTCCAGCCACGACTGCTCAGATTGCAAGCAGCCCTCAACAGTGGCTGCGCTACCAGCTCAGCAGCTGCGCCCCACCTCGTCGACACCGCCGAACTCTCCAGCCGGCACCAGCTCCACAGCGCCGCAGGCAAGCAGGCGCTGGCGCAGCAGGCGTGGCGCCCTCATCTCCTGGTCTGCCAGGCCCTCCAAGGCCACGCCCAGCAGCGCGAATTGCATGTTCTGCAGGGGATGGATGCAGGCCTAATCGGTGGGATCCATGCCAGGCAGCTTCCAGCGATGCAGGCAGCACATCAAGCCACGCTGAGCCAAGCAGGCTGGGATGCGCGCCTTGAAGCGACGGCCCGCCTCCGCATTCAGCAGGGTGCCGAAGAATGCGGTGGCGTTGCGTGGCGGCTCGCCGCCGGCCCCGCCGGCACACACGATGACGGCACAGGTGCTGGGATCCAGCGCCAGCGCCCCGGCATCCAGGGTGACCGGCAGCTTGGCGGACAGCCCGCGGGAGGCGGCCTCGCCGGCGATGAACCCGGCAATATCAAGCACGGTGCTGCTGCTGCCTCCATCTGCGCCGTACAGGATTGCCAGGGTCTGCACAGGCTGGGCCTGGGGCCCTGCCACAAGGGGATGTCCGTGACAAGGGGATGCCCGTGACAAGGGGATGCCCTTGTCATGCAGGTCAACAGAGCCCGCTCCGCCGCTGTTGGCATGGTTGACCGGCAGTGCCACGCTGGTGGCCTCCTGTGCAGGCAGAGGAGACACAGCCACGTTCACATGCTCCGCATCGGTGCGCTCTGGCTGCAGCAGCAGAGTTGGGGAGGGAGCTGTGGTTGGCAGGGCGGGGCAGGTAGGCGGCGGGGCGGATTTGGGGTTGCAGCGATGGCTGGGACCCCGTGATGCTGCGATGCTGAGGAGACTCCAAGGAAATCTCACCTGCAGCGTGAGACAGGCGAGGAGCTCGGCCTGAAGGCGGCGCCAGCGCATTTTCGCGGCTACCGCTATACGCGCTGTTGATTCCAAGCTCTGCAACTATGCACTCCTGCTTGCCGTGCATGTCGCTCCCGCGTCCAAGGCCCTCACCGGCAACAAAATTTGCTGCTGCTGGGCGTGCTGCGTCCGACGGCGTCATTCAATTGCAAACTTGACTATCTCGTCCCCTGATCATTGAGTCCCCCCCCTGGGTACGTCTGCCACCTGATGGCGAGCCTCAGGCAGCAGAAGGAGGCCTTTGTGTCGGGCCATGCCGGCACCACGATTGGCGAGGTGTCGGCAGTGGCTGCGGCCCCAGTGGTTTTGCTCCTGCTCTGGCGCCTGATGCAGCACCCAGCCGCCAGCGGCGCAGGGCTGTTCCACCGGGCAGGGCCCACGGCGGCGGGGCTTGCGCTGGAGTTTGCGGCGCTCGTCTTGCCGCAGGTGGCACACCTTCTGGGCCTGGCCTCGCCTGCGGCGTTGCTGGGCGGCGCCGCCGCCATAGCAGCTGCCCTGTTCGCTACGCAGGACAGCACGGAGTGGGAGCAGCGGGGACGCTCCGCTCGCGGGAGACGGATGACCGACGTTTTGCGGTGAGCAAAGCGGGAGGCACTGCAGCTGCATTCTGAACAGGGTTTAACCTTTTGGGGCGCCGTTCCAGCGCTCTGCTCCAACACCATTCCCCTCTCATCCGAGTGCCGATGAAGCCGCCCATGCTTTGGCTGTGCCGTCGTCCCTGTCCTCATGCCTGCAGCGACGCGCTGTCAGCCTACCGCGCCTCCCTCATGCTCGGCACCTGCATTGCCATCCTGGGTGTTGACTTCCACGCCTTCCCCCGCCGCTTCGCCAAGGCAGAGACCTTTGGGACGGGGCTGATGGATGCGGGGGTGGGCTCCTTTGTGGCCGTCAGCGGACTGGCGCATGGGCTTTCTGCGGCGGCGCGGGCGGCGGCGGCACCCCAGCAGCAACAGCAGCAGCAGTGTTTCCCCTGGGGCGTGCAGGGCGGACGGGCGATAGCACTGCTGGCTCTGGGTGGGTAGCTGGGCTGCTGCTTGCAGCTGGAAGCGGTGTGATTGAAGCAGTGAGTTTCAGGGCCGCCCGTCTCCCAGCCGCCCACATCCGGCTCGTCTCCCTTGTTTTGCCAGGCCTGGGCCGGGTGCTGGCCACTGGCGCCGCCGACTACCAAAACCACGCCAGCGAGTATGGCATCCACTGGAACTTCTTCTTGACGCTGGCAGCGCTGCGCCTGCTGGGCCTGCTGCTGCCCTGGGCCGCCGGCAGCGGCGCCACCGCGGCTGCGGCGGGCGGCGCGGTGCTGGCCGCTCACCAGTGGGGCCTGTCGGCGGGGAGGCTGATCGAGGTGGTGCACTCGCAGGGACGTGGCGGCGGCCTGCTCAGCGCCAACAAGGAGGGCTTGCTGTCACTGCCTGGCTACTGGGCGCTGCAACTGCTGGGCACGGCGGCCGGGCATGCCGCCTACCGCGTGGCGGCAGCTGCGGCGGCAGCTGCGGAAGCACAGCAGCCGGGCAGGCGCGGCGCCCCGCCTGGCAATGGAGCCAGCAGAAGCGGCATTAACAACGGGCTCAGCGTTCGAGTGAAGGTGGCGCAGCCTCAGCAGCGCGGCCCCACGCTGCGCCTGCTGGCGCAGCTGGCGGCGGCCACGGGCACGCTGTGGCTGGCCTACTGGGCCGCGGCAGAGGCGGTGCAGCCGGTGTCTCGCCGCGCCTGCAACGCAGCCTATGTGCTGTGGATGCTGGCCCTGAATGTGCAGTGCGTGGCTCTGTTTGTGGCCGCCGAGCTGGGCCTGCCTGGAACCATGCCGCACCTGATGCTGGCGGTGAGCGCCGCCATGCTGCCATTCTTCCTGGCCGCCAACCTGCTGACGGGGGCGCTCAACCTGGCTGTCAACGCGCTGGCGGCCACAGATGCCGCCGCGCTGCTGCTGGTGTCGGGCTACATGGCGCTGCTGTGCGGCGGCGTCGTGACGGCCAGCAAGTGGCGGCAGCGGAGCTCGTGATTTACAGCGATTGTTTGTCGGAAACTGCATGAATTGTTAGGGTTGAGAGCGAAGTACAAGCTGTCCTTGCCTATCTGTTACTGTCACATGCTGCATTTAAATTACAATGGTGGCCGTCAAGTGTGGTGGTGGTGGCTGGTGCTCCCCAGGCAGCGCAACCTTCAGCTGAAGTTGCCAAAGAAGTTGTCTTCATCCACCTCTTCTGCCGCCGCCACGTGATCATCATAGATGCCCATCTCCCCCAGGGACAGCCGCTTCTGCTGCGCCACAAACAGCCAGGGCCTCACGCTGCCAGGGTCCAGCGCCAGCCCCTCCTCCCACCGGCCCCAGTCTGTCTGCACCCCAAAGTCGACGCCCGCCCCCAGCAGCCTGCGGGCAGCGAGATGGCCGGTCGCCTGAATGAGCGGCAGAAGGACAAGAATGTGCAGACAGCAGCGGGCAAAAGCAGGCACAGGTGCACAACAGCATCACGCAAGCGCCACCCCGAGCAGCACCCCACACCCAAAGCTGGCCAGCAGGTTGTCCAGGCTGCGGCGGTCCATGGGCGGCATCAGGCCCGCCACCAGGCTATCGAAGGCGGCCATGTTGCACAGGTCGGTGAAGAGGGTGGTGAGGGCGGCGGTGCCCAGGCCCAGGCAGCTGACGCCCTGCACCAGCAGAGAAATGGCCTGGTTTTGGTCATGCATGTGCATGCACAGCCGCCGGGCGGGGCCCTGCACGCTAGGGAGGCGGCGAAGAAAGGGAGTGCAGCGTGGCGTAGCAAGAGAAGAGGCCACGGTGCTTTCAGTGCTCGACAAGCACACCGCACCTGCAGCACCCAGACCGACAGCCTGTCCCCCCGGAACCCGGCCCGCTCCAGCGCCCCTGCAAAGCCGCCGCCGTCTGCCTGCTGCAGGTCGGCGGGCACGCGGCGCAGCAGGCAGCTGCGGGGCACGCGCGCCTGCTGCGCCCGCAGCGCGGCCTCCGCCTGGCGGTGCGCCTCGGCGGGCGCCACACAGAAGATGACTGTGCCCTCGGGCCATGGCAGGCGGTAGGGGCGCGTGTCCAGCGCGTCTCCCACCAGCACCACCTGGTTGTACTCCTGCAGGGAGAAAGACGGGGCGCAGCGGTGCTGACGTGGCGGGAGTGGGGTGTGTACAGCAGGTGGAGGCAGTTGGGGGCAGAAGCCGAGCGGCGAGGGCAAGACAGGCAGGGTGGGGGTGGAGGGCGGGCGGCCAGGGAGGTGAGCAGGCCTGCAAGGGATGTCAGCGAGTGGTGCGCCGCATGCGGGCGTGCCAGCAGCGCTGCAGGCCCCACCTGCGTGAGGTCCCGCTCCGTGTTCACGATGGTCACAGCCTTGAGCAGCTGCTCATCCAGGAAGCGGGTGGCCAGCGCATCCCGCTGCGCATCTGCCGCACCCGTGCCGTCGCCGTCGCCTGCTGCTGCCGCCCCGACCGCCTCCACCAGCGCCGCTGCGTAGCCGTCGGCAAAGAGGGGGAGCGGCTGCTGCTGCTCGGCGGCCCGCACTGCTGCCAACCGGAGGCTGCAGTCGAGTGCAGCTTGGCTGCTGGTGGTGCTGCTTGAGTCGCTGCCGTTCAAGCTGCTGCTGCTGCCAGGACCCGCGGCCTGTGCCAACCGAACCTGCCTGTGGCTCCTGCTTCTGCTGCCAATCCTGTTCTTTGCACAATTGCCACTGCCACTGCCCCCAAACGCTGCGGGCTGCCGGCGGCAACTGGCGCCGAACCGCCCACGGCCTGGCACCACCTGCACCGCTGCTGGCACACCTGCGCAGCAGCGCATTGCACACCGTGTGGTAACAGAGTTCCCAGGAGCAGGAGAGACTTTGTTGGGTGGTGGCGGTCGAGAGAGCTGAGAAGCAGGCAGGCCTGTAACCCGCAGACGGTAAACCGCGATCAGAGGATGCCGGGGCTCAATTGATAGCTCGAATTGTTCGCATGCATGCCTTGGAAGAGAGATGCCATCAAGGCACCCCTCCAGTCATAGGCGGCCGCGCGCCTGTGGCAGTTCATTCGATCGCGGGTCAAGCAGCAATGGCAGACTCCTGGGAAGACCATCAGGAGGAGAAGGTGGTCTACAAGCCCGCCGCCCTCAATCCTTCTGCGGCGTCCTTCTCGTTCAGCCCTGGCGCGTCATCCTTCACCCCAAACTTCGCGCCTCAAGCCGCAGCAGCAGCGCCGGCCCCGCCCCCAGCAGCCCCGGCACCACCACCAGCGCCTCCCCCGGCACCCGTGCAGCCAGCTGCACCAGCGCCGCCCCCACCAGCCCCGGAACCTGAACCCGCACCGGAGGCCAGCGGGGGAGCGGCAGATGGCGCAGCAGACAAGCCGGCGGCAGTAGGTAATGCGAGCGGCGGCTGGGCCGCCACCATGCTCTTGACTTTGCTGCACACTGGCTTAGGCCATTTCTCATGCCCCGTGCGATTCACTTTCCTGATTGCTGTGGCAGCAGTTGGCCAGCTCGGCCTCTTGCCAGCCAGCGCTGAGCACCGATGAGCTTCTCGCCGCCTCACGTGCTGCCGTGCAGCTGCCGCCGCGCCCCCGGCCCCAGCAGCAGCAGCGCCGGCCCCTGTGGAGGCAGTCGCCAAGGAGGTGAAGAAGATGAGCGTGGCGAGCGGCGGCGACGGCGATGTGCTGCAGGAGACGGACGCGCAGCGCGAGGCGCGGCACGCCCAGGTGAAGCAGACGGTGGCGGAGATGAACACAGAAGACCCGCGGTGAGCTGGCGCTGCAGCCTGCAACAGGGGAGGCGGTTGGGGTGCACATTCTTTGGGGTTGCGGCTCGAAAGTGGGCTGGTGGTGGCTGGGACCAGCTGCTGACCTGACGGCAAGACGAGAGGCAGCGGGTTGCTGCACCAGCTGGCGCATGCCCACCCTCCACCCTTTTGGCCCTGGCACCCCTCCCCGCTGCCTGTCCTCTCATGCCCCCGCAGCGAGCACCTCAACATCGTGTTCATCGGCCACGTGGATGCGGGCAAGTCGACCACGGCGGGGCAGATCCTGTTCCTGACGGGCGGCGTGGACGACCGCACGATTGAGAAGTATGAGCGGGAGGCCAAGGAGAAGAACCGGGAGAGCTGGTACATGGCTTACATCATGGACACAAACGAGGAGGAGCGGGCCAAGGTGGGGCCGGGCAGGAGCTGTGTGTGTGTGTGTGTGCTGTGTTGTTGGTTGGTGAGGAGTGGAGCCGGCATGCCTGTGTGACAGCGGCTCGAGGTGCCAAGGCGTGTGGTGGCGGAGCAGGGTGGGATACTTGAAGGGTTTGCTTCGAGGCGGCCAGACTGCTGCCCCTGCATGCCGGCCCGGGCAAGGCGGTTGCCCCACCCGTGCCCTGCCCCGCCGCAGGGCAAGACTGTGGAGGTGGGCCGCGCCTACTTTGAGACCCCCAAGAAGCGGTACACCGTGCTGGACGCCCCCGGCCACAAGTCGTTTGTGCCAAACATGATTGGCGGCGCCAGCCAGGCCGACATCGGCGTGCTGATCATCTCCGCCCGCAAGGTGCGGCGGGCTGAACTGCTTGGGGACTGTCGGGGCAGGTCGGCTCGCTGCACCAGGCCGCCTGGGTGTGTGCTGTGCCGTGTTCTCAGTGCAGTGGGAGGGTGCCGAGCATTAGGGCGACTGCTGGCTGCTGACTGGCCAGCTCAGGCTCCGCACCTGCGCACCTGCCGCCTGCCCCACCTCACCCCGCCTCTGCACTTCCATCCCCTGTGCTCCGCTGCTTGCGAGCAGGGCGAGTTTGAGACGGGCTTCGAGCGGGGCGGGCAGACGCGCGAGCACGCGCAGCTGGCCAAGACGCTGGGCGTGACCAAGCTGGTGGTTGCCATCAACAAGATGGATGACCACAGCGTGCTAGAGGAGGGCGGCAAGTGGTGCGTGCGCGGTGTGGCGGCGCAGCAGCAAGCTGGGTGGGGTGCAGGGCGGGGCAGGGACGCAGCGTGCGTTGGCTTGCTGAGAGGCACAGGTCAGCGTTCGCCCCTGTGCGTGCGTGCCTCCTCCAGCAGTGCCCCCCTTGCCCGACTGGCGGTACCGCCCCGTACTATGACAGGTCCAAGGAGCGGTTTGACGAGATCGAGGGCAAGCTCACCCCCTTTCTGCGCGGCTGCGGGTACAACCCTAAGAAGGACCTGCTCTTCATCCCCATCTCGGGTCTCATGGGGACCAACATGAAGCAGAAGGTGTCGGCGGACGTGTGCAGCTGGTACAGCGTGAGCCTGGGGCGGAGCCAGGGCGGTGCAAGGCGGGGCAGGGTTGCCCTGGCTGGAGCGGGGAGGGATGCATGTGGTGGAGATGGACGACGGTTGACTGCTATTGGCTCTGGCATGTACCGTGATTGTGCTGCCGCCTCGTGCCAACCCGCCTCGTGCCCGGCGCCTGCCCATGCCTCGCCTGCAGGGCCCCTGCCTGTTTGACCTGCTGGACAACATTGAGGCCGCGGGGCGCGACCCCTTTGCACCCTTCCGCATGCCCATCATGGACCGATACAAGTGAGCTCAGGGTTAAGCGGCGCTGCTCCGTGCCTTTACAGCTTGGCGCTGGCGCTGCAGTGCACGCGCCCCAGCTGCCGCGACAGAATGCTGCATTCAACACTGGCTGCCTGCCTCACTGCTGCCTGTGCACCTGCCTGCAGGGACATGGGCACCGTGGTGATGGGCAAGAGCGAAGCGGGCGTGGTGAAGAAGGGGGACACGCTCATGGTCATGCCCAACAAGTGCGGGAGCCAGCCAGCCAGCCAGCAGCCACCAGTTATCTCCATCTGCCTTCCACAGATGCGCAGAGCATAGCTGGGCCTCGCCCCTCGCATCCCACCACACTTGCACATACACACAAGCACCCTGCAAACTCTCACACACACCTCCCAACCTCTCTGCCGTGCCTCCTCACAGGGTGCCTGTCAAGGTGCTGACTGTGTATCGCGATGAGCAGGAGGTGAATGCGGCGCGGCCCGGGGAGAACTTGCGGCTGAGGCTGCAGGGCATCGAGGAGGAAGACATATCGGCAGGCAAGTGCGGGGGCAGCGGCAGGAGGGGGCGTGTCGCGCCGCATGAGCACTTTGATGCCCCTTCACGCTGCAGCTGATCTCGTGCCTCCCTCCCTCGCTGCCTGCCTTCCCTGCGCACCCCACCTGCAGGCTTTGTGGTGTGCAGCCGGTTCAGCCCCGTGCCGGCGGTGACCCAGTTTGAGGCGCAGGTGGTGATCATGGAGCTGCTGGATCACAAGCCAATCCTGACGGGAGGCTACAAGGCGGTGCTGCACATCCACTCCGGTGCGCCCTGCCCTGGTTGGTGCAGGAAGGAAAACAAATGGGCTGGCTGGGGCGTGCGGGAGGGCTGGAGGGCTCGATGTGGGAGCCCTGCTGTGGGTGACCCGCCGGGTGGCTCGGTGCTGCTGCCCGTCGCACGCTCGCCTTACCCTTTTTTGCTGGCCCTCCTGCGTCCCGCAGTCGTGGAGGAGTGTGAGGTGACCAAGCTGGTGGCGGTGATTGACCCCAAGACCAAGGAGAAGAAGAAGGCCAAGTTTGCCAAGAGCGGCGCCATGTGTGTGGCCCGCATCGCCGTGGAGAAGCCCATCTGCATCGAGACGTTTGACCACGTGCCGCAGGTATGGGCCGGCATCCGGCAGCTGCCTGGCACGAAAGGCCTGGCATCCCCTGCCTGCACTGCACCGAACGAGGCAGGGCAACGCAGACGGCCGGGCTGCTGCCAGGCGGCCCCAAGCCGCGGGGCTGTGCAGGCACTGATGCCCGCCGAATATGCCGCCGCCTGCTGCAGCTGGGGCGCTTCACGCTGCGCGACGAGGGCAAGACAATAGCCATCGGCAAAGTGCTGAGGGTGCCCAAGCGCGGGGGAGCGCAGGCAGACTGAGGGCGCTGCGGCGCTGCTGCACGCCGCACGCATCAGGCTTGTTGAGTGCTTAGACGTCTGCTACATAATGCTCCACGCATCACATTGGAAAATGTTGCACTGGTGCTGACACAGCAGGCAAGGCAGGCAACAGGCATCGCAGACTGGGAAGCTGGGATGGGGCCGCCTGGAGAGCATGTCACGGCTTCTTTGCGGCAGCAGCTTGCGCTCCTTGCGTTACGCCACGTCTTGCGCCGCAGAAAGCTGCACACCAGGCGGCGCCTGCGCTAGTCCGCTCACACAAGCATGTCATCATCTGGGTTGCCTCCTGCATTTACTGCTGGCGCTGCACCTACCATGCCCTGAGGACTCTGGCGGATGCCACCCACACCGCCAGGCACGGTAGGCCAGGTTGACATATGCGAGCGCCAATACGATGTGCATGCTGTGCATGGCGGCGAGCAGCACAGCGGGAGAGGAGGAGCCAGGCTGTGCCCTTCAGGCTGCCTCATCTGTTGCTGCCTGACCATTCCAGCAGCCCTTGGAGACAGCCATTGAGCTGCCACCCCTCAGCCACGTCCCATCTGCGATGGTGGGCACCCTGCTGACTTCCAGGGCGTACACAGCATCTTGGCAATAGGGATATGCCGCCGACCGGGCGGCGATGCGGCTGGCAGTTGAACCTAGTGATGAAAATGTCTTGTTGCATTCGGGATGACGTGGATGTGCATGCATGCCCGTGGCTGTTTGTCTGAGATGCAAGCAGGGAACCGAATTGGCAAAAAAGAAAGCAAAGGCTTGAAAATCGCCTTGCAACAGGCTATCCTGTTGCAAGGCGAGCCAGTCAGAGAGAGAGTATGGGACAGGAACAACATGTGGCAAGCAAAAACTCAGTTTGTGCGCACAGGGCATAGCGAGGTGCCGCCTCTGCCCAAAATCAGAAGATCCGATCGGCATCCGACAGCGGCGGCATGTCCTCCAGGCGAAGCGTGGCCTGAGGCGGCGCTGGCGGCGGCCCGTGCTCCGCCCGCTCCGCTGCCGCCTCCAGCTCCTCCGCATCATTTGTCAGCTCCGTGCGCCAGGTGCTGGTGCCGACCTCGGCCTGGGCGGAGGGCGACCCCGGCATGAACTTGCTGACCTGCTGCGGCAGCTGGTCACGCCACTCCGCCAGGCTGGCGGCACGCAGCGTGGCGCCTCGCTTCTCAGCCTCGCCGGGCGTCTCTGCCGGCATGCTCTCCATCAGCTGCACTATCTGCTTGGCGGTGGGGCGCTCGGAAGGGTTCAAGGACAGGCAGCAGTCCATGAGGTCCACAGCGGCCTGCAAATCAAACAACACGCCGTGGGCATATGGTGAGAAGGCGAGCAGGCACGCCTCCGGGCAGGCTATGGCAGCGCCGGCGGCGCACCTGCGGGCACTCCTCGGGCACTCGCGGGTTGCGCATGGAGCCCCTGTTGGGGATTTCGCCTGCAGAACAGGAACATCCGCACTGAGCTGCCGGCACATGGGCACAGGCATGTATCCCGCAGTGTCTGGGTTTGGGGCACAAGGGCCCGGTTGCAGACTGCACTCACCCGTGAAAATCTCCCACAAAACGATGCCGAAACTGCACAGCGCCAGACGAAGCAGCATTGACGAGGTAAGGACCCGAAGCAGGCTCATTTCTCGCACCCATACACCACACATTATGCACCAAACCGGAACGAAACGTGTGTCCCTAGGGACCCTGCCTGCCTTGGCCCAGGTGCCTCACCTGTAGATGTCGGCAGAGAAGGTGCACTGCTGCCCCGTCAGCACCTCCGGCGCCGACCTGCAGGCAGGGTGGCAGAGGGTGGTGCCGCCTGGGCGCCTTGCCTGATCGGCGCCGGTCGAAACGAGAGGACGGGCTTGCAGCAAACTCACCAGGCAAAGGTGCCGAGGGTGCCCGCATGCGTCAGGTAGTTCTTGGTCAGCAGGCTGCGGGCCAGGCCCACGTCAGCGAGCTTGCAGGCGCCGTCACGCGCCAGCAGCACTGCAGGGAGCGGGGGCGGAGGAGCTAGCCTTTGGGCATGGTTGAACGCTGCTCTGCCGCCTCTTGCTGGCAAGTGGCAGTCCCAAGGCAGCAAGGAAGCAACGCAAACACTCGTGCCTCCCACTTGCCATTACTAGATTTGATGTCCAAGTGTATTGTCTTGTGTGAGTGCTGCAGGTCCCAGGGGGAGGTGGCAAGCATGTGTTGAGAAAGGTGCACCCGGATGGTTAAACCAAAGGACAGGCTAAGGCGCGGCCTGCTGGCAATCGCACCAGGTAATGCAGACCCCTGGCGACGTCGCATGCTGCTCGCTTGCCACGCGCATACCTGCAGGAGGCGCAGGTGCGGCTCAGCAGGGCGAGGCCATGCCTGGGGAAGGAATGGCATGGGCTGTGTTCCAGGTGCTGCTCAAAACGAGCACAACCAACTCACCACCCAAACACCCGCCGCCCCGCCTCATCCCGCCACTTGAGTGCCTTGAACTGCATGGGCAGGGAAACAGCAAGAGAAGTCATCCAGCAGCCCGGTGGCCAGTTCGAGCAACAACCAAAGCGGGCGCTGACAGCTTGCCACCAGTGCACGACAGCACAGGGCAGAACCGCAAGCACAGCACGATGTTCACCAGGTCCCCAGCTTCCATGAACTCCTGAATCATCATGGCCTCATCGGGTTGCCCCTCCTCCTCAGACCCCATACAGATGCCCACAAACTGCACAATGTTGCGGTCGCGCATGTCCCGTAGGATGGCGGCCTGCGGGGAGTGACGGGAGGTACTGTGTGCAGCTGGCAGAGCCGGAGTGGCTGGCCCAAACCCACGCCTGTGCAGCTTGCGAGGCAGCAGACAGTCAACATTGTGCCACACCCTCAGTCCTCCATTCCCCCTGCATTTGCCCCCATCCCAGGAAGGTGCCCTGCCTGTTCCCGGCCCTGTCCACCCACCTCCCGCACAAAGCTCTGGAACACGCGTTCATCCGCCAGCCCCGTCAGCACCTTGGCTGCCACCACCTGCACCCCATCGTAGAGCGCCTTGTACACCTGCAGGCAGGCGGGCGGGGCGGCAACAGCATGCTGGCAGGGCTGCAGCACCAGCTCCGGTGTATCGCAGCGGCTCGCGCCCGGCCTATGCCTGCTCCTCCCTGCTGTCCTTGCTGTGCACGCCTTGGCCAGGGCTTGCGGCCCTCGGACACACCTGCCCAAAGGCGCCGCCGCCCAGCACCCAGGGCTTGCCGTCGCGGCGCCGCAGGATCTGGATCTGCGCCGGCTCGATGAGGCAATCCTTCCAGGAGACGTCGCTGCGCAGCGGGGTCACTTGGTCGCGGCTGGTGCTCCTGCTGCTGACCTGCAGGCGTGGTGCAGGTGGAGGCGGCAGGCGGCGGTGTACTGTGAGCGTGTCGGCGGTGTGCGCACCAGGACCCTCCCGTGGCGTGCTGCGAGGTGCCAGCGTCTGGCCAGCAGCACGTCAGCACCACAAGGAGCGGCGGGGAGCGCCAGCTCACCAGGTTGGTCGAGTCGTCGCTCGCTTCATGCCCCTGTGCGGTGGCTGGCGCCATGTGGGTCGTGACTATGGAGGGCAGCGGGCGGGCGCGCCCCATCTCCAGCACCACATCCATGTCCGACTTCTTGCTGCCCTGGGGAGAGGCGGCGGCGGAGCTGCCGCGGCTGCGGCTGCCGCCTCGCCGGCCGCGGCAGATCTGGAAGCCGTAGATGGAGGCCACAGCAAACATCAGCGCCACCGCCAGGCACAGCGTCAGGGTGCTCAGGCCGCCCACCACGCCTGCAGCGGCCCGGCACAAGGAAACCGGTCGGGTAGGGGGCAGGGCAGGGAGGGAGGGCAGGGAGGCGGCGGCGACGGGGGCAGCTGGCTCCCACCGCACACTCACCGGCGACAACTGCGGCCGTGCTGGGGATTGTTTGGTCGGGACTGCCTGTGCCGATGTCTGTCGCCGGCTCGCTGGAATCCTGGAGCAGCGCCCGGCCGCCGGCTGCAGCCCAGGCGGCAGCGGCGGCGCTGCCAGGTGCCTGCCGGGCGGCCAGGGCGCGCAGCGCCACGCCCGCACCACCTCCCCGCAGTACCTCCTGCAGCGCCACACGTGTCATGGCCGGCTTGGGCAGCCCATGCCCACGAAGGACAAAGGGACCTTTTGCGGCAAGGCTGGATGTCTCGGTGGAGGCAGAAATGAAGTTCTTTGCAATGTCACACCGCACAGAGGCTCTACAGGCAAAGAATCAACAAGAAGCAACCACCCACTGCCAGCTCGGATTTGCCAACCCTTTCCCTGCAGCACGAATTTACGTTGCCCTGCGACCTGGCAGTTTCGGAACAAGGTTGATCGGCGTCTCCAAGCACCCAGACGACCAGCAGCTTTTACCATCCTCATGGACAGCAGCCGCCAGCACCACAGAGTATGAACGGCGCCAGCTTCGAACAGGAGCACAGCGGCGATGCCTCACAGGCCGCCGCTGTGCCCCTGGTACGGGCCGAGGCCCCGCGGCCGGGCGGGCGGGCGGCGCACTACACAGGCGAGCGGACAGCGGCAGCAGCGGGCGTTGTGGGAGGCTCGCCGAGTTGGGCACTGCTTGAAAACATGTTTGTGTGCTGCAGGGCACATGACGGTGTATGTGCTGGTGGTGGCCCTGGTGTCTGCCACGGGAGGCATGCTGTTTGGCTTTGGTGGGTTGCCTGCCGGCGCTGGGCAGTCACGCATTCGTACGCAGTGCCTGGGCCCCAATTCTGCTGGTGTGATGAAGGACAGCAGGCAGTGGTGGGCGGTAGGATCCTCAGGGACTGCGCACCACACACTTGCGTTCCTGACTGCGCCGCCCGTGCTGCTGGCCCACTGTCTGCAGACATCGGCATTGTGGGCGGTGTTGAGGTGAGGCACAGTCGCTGGTGCAGCAATCCATCTGCCCTGCCCAGCTGCGCTGTTCACTTGGCACCAGAGCATGCACAGCAGCAGGGGATGCAGGCAGGAGCTTGAGTTGGGGGGCTGTTAAGTTTGTACCAACACCAGAGTGTCTCCCCGCCTTCTGCTGGCCCGGCGTGCCTCCACAGGCCATGGCATCCTTTCAAAAACAGTTCTTTCCGGACATCTATGCACGCACAGTCAGTGGCATGGGCGACACCAACGCATGTGAGCTGCGCTTGCTGCACAGCGGCTGCTCGCCGCTGCGTGGTTTGCTGCCTTGCCGCTGTTCCGTGTGGCAGCCGACCCGGTTTGATGAACTGTTTCTTTTGCGGCTGCCGCCGCTGCAGACTGCAAGTTCCACGATATGCGCCTGCAACTGTTCAGCGCCATCATGTTCCTCAGGTCAGCAGGCTGCCGGGTTGATCCATGGTGCTTAGGCTGCCCTAGATGAACCATGATGACAGACATGTTGATGCGGGGCGAGGGAGGCCATGCCATATGGAACAACGCAAAGCGCTTTGTGTGGCTTGCTTGTGCTCCTCTCATTGTGCAGTGGTGCCGTGGTCGCGGTGCCGGCTGGGTACGCTGCGAGGGTGTTTGGGCGCAAGGTGGGCGAGGGGTGTGCGGGCCTGGCAGCAGGCTCTGTGCATTGCTGCTGCCATTGCCTGGTGCTCTGCTCCGTGCTGCTGGTTCTTCACTCCTCGTGCCCTCGTCTGCAACAAAAAATGAAGAGAAATCGGCTGACCTTCTTGTCACTCTTGCTTGCTGCCTGCTGCCGCAGATATCCATGCTGGTCTCGGGCTGCTTGTTCCTGCTGGGGGCGGGGCTGCAGGCGGGAGCACACTCGCTGACTCAGCTCATCGTTGGGCGCTGCGTCCTGGGCCTGGGCGTCGGTGCGCCCTGCTGGCTAGCCCTGGCGTGGCTCTGTACTGCGCCACTCCTTCTGGGGCCCATGTCGCCTGTCACCTTGTGTGGCTCTGTGCAAGAACGTGTTGTCTGTTGCCGATGCAGACTTTGCCCCATAGACACCGCCGTTCACTGCCCTCCCTTGTGTCGCCGCGCTGCGCTGCCCTGCACTGCGCAGGCACCGCCGCCTGCGTGGTGCCTGTCTACATCGCCGAGGTGGCGCCCTATGCCAGCCGCGGCGGCCTGGCCTACCTGTTCCAGGTGGCCACCACCGTGGGCATACTCGCTGCGCAGCTGGTCAACTGGGGCTGCCAGTGGATCCCCGACTGGGGCTGGCGCCTGAGCCTGGGCCTGGCAGCCATGCCCGCCTCCATCCTCTGCCTGGGCGGCCTGGTGCTTCCAGAGTCACCCTCCTATCTCATCGAGCAGTGAGCGCAAGCTGGGCATGTGTGGTGCATGCAGTGCCGTTGGCTGGCGTGGGGCTGCATGCTGCGCTAGCCGGTTGTGCTCTGAGAAGCAGCCGTACTGCCTGAAGGCTCGCCTGGCCCGGCAGCCACCCTGGCACTGCAATCCACCCCGACGCTGTGCTGCAGGGGCAGGTGGGCCCAGGGGCGGGCGGTCCTGCAGAAGCTGCGCGGCACCGACGAGGTGGATGCAGAGTATGCCGACATCTGCGATGCGGCGCAGCAGGCAGCCAAGGTGTCTAACGTGCAGGTAGGCGGTGCTGCGGGCGGCACCCTGGCAGCCCATGCTGGGGTACAGCATCCGGCGCCTGTTCCGCAACCGCTGCTGCTGCGCCTGGATCAGAGTGTCCTCCCTCCTGCTGCCCGCAGTCCTGGAAGAACCTGGTGGCCAGGCACAACCTGCCGATGTTCATAATGTCCACCTCCCTGGCCGCCTTTCAGCAGCTCACAGGCATCAACGCGGGTGAGGGGCCATGCACGCCACCCCAGCTATTCCTCTTTCACACCTGCCAAACCCTCACGCCCCAGCTAGAAGAAGCCCTGCCCCAGCTGACTGCATCTCCGCCTGCGCCTGCTGCCCTGCGCCTGCAGTGATCTTCTACGCGCCCATCATGTTTGATTCGCTGGGCGACTCCTCCTCCGCCCTGCTCAACGCTGTGGTGATTGGCGCCACCAACGTCCTGTGCACCTTTGTGGGCCTGGTGCTGGTGGACAGGTGGGGGCGGCGCCCCCTGCTCATCCAGGGCGGCCTGCAGATGGCGGTCAGCCAGGTGAGCGCTTGCGTGGCGGGGACCACACCACGCCTGCTCCGCTACTCGTCGATCCACCGTTTGCGCTTGTGGCCGTTCATGCGGCGACACATGCTGACATGCGACCCTGCCTGCGGTGCACCCGCATCGCCACAGATAGCCACCGCCATCGTGCTGGCCCTGTCCTTTAAGTCGGACGGAACCATCGCCAGCGGGGCGGCCATCGCCGCCCTCGTCCTGATCTGCGTCTTTGTGGCCGGCTTCGCCTGGTCCTGGTGAGTGGGGCCGCCCGCTGCTTGCCAGTCGTGCCTCTCTGTGTTGCACCTGATACACCATCTCCAATCGCTACCTCCCATGCCTGCGCTCTTCATTGATTGTGCACCTCCTGTCGCAGGGGCCCCATTGTGTGGGTGCTGGGCGCCGAGATCCAGACCATGGACACCCGCACCAGCGGAATGAGTGCAACAGTCGCGGTGAATTATTTGTGTAGTTTCATCATAGGTGGGCCTGGTTGGTCGGGCTGGCTCGTCGGCTCCAGTGCGTATGTGTCCAGTGCCTGCCCCAACTTTGCGGCCGCCTGCCACGAGCTGCTGAGGGGAGCATTGGCATGCATGCTTGCTTGCCGATAATTGTGCTCGCGGGACGCCTGTCTATGCATGTTTGCCGCTGCCGCACCTTGACGCCTTCCCCTGGCGACCCGCTCCACGCCTGCAGGCCAGAGCTTCCTGTCCATGCTGTGCGCAATGGAGTGGGGAACATTCCTGTTCTTCGCGGCCTGGAACCTGCTGATGACGGTCTTTGTTTTCTTCCTCCTGCCAGGTCAGCGGTGGGGGTACCGGGCTGGGGCTTTGGCACTGCCTTGGCTGGCTTGCTGACTCGTGTCATTCCCTGGTGCCTCTCCCCGCCTGCCTGCGTGCAGAGACCAAGGGGTGGGTTGATTCAGCAACTGGACAGGCGGCTTGCTGTACGGCTCACCGCTGCCGCCTCTGTTGCCGCCTGGCCTCCACTTGCATGCTGCCGCCGCTGATCTCCTCCATCGGCCTCTTGCCCTGCTCTGTCCTGCCCTGCAGCATCCCCATAGAAGACACGGCCTACTCGTGCCTGTTTGCGCGGCACCCGATCTGGAAGCGCGTGATGGGGCGCGCAGGGCGCGCGGTGCTGGAGCGTGAGGGTTTCCGCGCTGCGGCGTGGCGCGAGGCGCGGGGCGTGGAGGGCGGCGACCTGCGCCAGCTGGCCAAGTACTACCAAACCATGGGCCTCTGAAACACCACATCACACCCCCAAACACTACCCCTCGGACCTCCTACCCTCCGGCTCAGGCTGTGGGCTGCCCTGACCTGTTGCCCGCCCTGCGCCCTGCTCGCTTGTACACTGTACCTCTCCTCTGCATGTTCATCCATGGCGCCCGATCACAGATCATCCAGTCCCAACTTCTTTCCCAAATCTGTTGCTTGACCATGCTACTGCCTGCCACCCGTACCCGTTCTGACGACTACTCGCCTTGTACACCTTTCTTTCCTGGTACAGCTGCTTTGTTGCAAGAATTCATGCACTCAATGAGATTTTGTCCGGGCTGCCTGCGTGCCTATTGGTGCCGCCCCTACATCGAGCCGGCCCCGCCCCGGGGCTGCAGCTGCTCCGCCACCTGGGTCATCTCATCCTTGAGTTGCAAGCACAGGTTGAAGAAGTACTGCATGGACCAGACAGCAGCCAGGAGGTTGGGGACGTGCAGGTCAGAGCGCATCACATGTCGCGGCTGGAGCTGCGGATGGCAGCGCTTGCTGCTCCCACCTGGCTCTTCACGAAGGTGGGGTCCTGGCCGCCTCGGACGAGGTGCAGGTCCGCCAGCACCATGGCAAAGTGTGGCAGCCCCGCCGCAAAGTGCTGCATGAATTCCTGCAAGCGGGCACGCAACATGCAGCCGTCAATTACGCATATCGATTGGTGATCCATCATGGCTGGGGAGTAGCACACGAAAAACAAGCTGGCAGGCTGAGAAGGTGCCGCTGGTGTTCGAGGTCCCCAGCGGAGCGCCCAGCCCAGCCACCCGCCTGGAAGTGCTCTGCCGCATCCGCCGCCGTGTGGCTCTGCCTGGTGGGCGGACGCTCATTACCGGCGCCCGTGCCTGTCTGCACCCCCGCCTCACGATACGTGCGCACCACTGGCTGCTGCGGCGCGGCGGGCACTGCCCACGGAGGCACAAACACATGGTTGAAGTTGGCGTCCACCTGCGGGCGGCTCGGCATGTGTGGTTGGGAGTGGGGTTTGCCAGGGGAGAGGTGGCAGGTGGCGCTGCTCAGCCTGAATGATGGCGCGCAGGCGGGGGCTGGAGTGCACGCTGTCCTCCCTCGCAGGGCATCCGCATGCATCACTGTTTCGTTGCCACCAGCTGGGGCGGTCCCACACACCTCATGCAGCTCGTCGGGGGTCATCTGGTCCTGGGAGGCAGCCAGCTGGGCGGCACGCATCGGGCCGGAGTCCTCTGCTGAGAGCCCTGCTGCCGCCGCCGCCCCTGGCACCACAGGGCTCTCCCCCACGGATGCTACGCCGCCACCTGCCGAGGCCGCCGCTGTCAGTTCATCCTCGAACTCTGCCCAGTATGGCTGGCTGAATGTCCCCTGCCGCGACAGGGCTGGGGTGAGGCTGCCGGTTCCTGCCGTGGTGGGACTGCTCGGCGGGCTTATGTCACCGCTGCTGTTGGCATAGCCACCTGGGGACTTCCTTATTGCTGCGTGCTGGTGCTGCGAGCCACGGGGGGAGTCCAGCGACAGGTGCGAGGCGGCAGCGCCGGGCTGTCGATGTGCAGGGCATGCCGAGTCTTCTAGGGAGAGGTGGAAAGGTGTGTCTGTTGCGACCCCGCTTGCGTCCACTGCTATCACCACTGACGGCTGCTGCTTCTCTGGCGTGACCAGCTGGCTGCCGCCGGCCGCCTCGCCCGCCGTGCCGTCCCCAGAGCTGCCAGGGCGCCGTGCCGAGGCCGACAGGCGGTGCAGGCTGCTGGCAGGGGCCGGCTTGTGGCCGCCGCCCTGACGGCTGCTGCTGGCGCTGGGCAGGCCCGTGCTGCTGGTGCGGCGCAGGCTGGACGCTACGCCAGTGCTGCTCCCAGGCGCGCCCGTGCTGCTGGTGCGCTGCAGCCCTGGAACGCTGCCGGCGCCTGGGCCAAGGCTGGGCAGGCCAGTGCTGCTGGTGCGGCGCAGTAGCGAACCACAATCGCCGCCGCCGCCGCTGCTGCTACTGCTGTTCAGTTCATCAAGCAGGATGCGTCCCGGCACCGAATGCGTCCTGGCGAGCCCCCTGGTGCGGCTGCTGGAGATGGCCACCAGCTTGCGGTGCAGCGCTCGCAGAGTGTCCTCGTTGGCATGGCGCAGCAGCTGCAGGCAACAGGCAGATGGGGGTTGTTGGCAGCGCAATGAACTCAATGGCAGCCTCTGTTTCAAAGGAACCGCGCTTTTCGAGCAAGATGCATAACCTTGGCATTGGTTGCCGCCCAATGATGCTGCCGCCGTTGCCACCGCCCCGCCGCCACCCGCCCTCGCAGCTGCCCGCCGCCAGCGCCAGCGCACTCGCCTGCCTGTAGTCGATGTAAACGGCTGTCGTGGGTGCGCCTCGCCACCACTTGCCGCAGTCCAAAGCGACGTTGCAGCCCTGTGCGCGTATCACATTCACGACGACCTTGCTGCCCGTGCCATTTGCGCCCTTGCTGAGCAGCGAGCAGGGCACCGCGATCCTCTGCTGGTTGCTGCGCAGCAGACCGGTCACCACCTCCTGGTGAGCGGGGTCGCACAGTTCCAGCAGCAGGGAGTTCCTCATAGTGAATTGCACACGTCGGAGAGCGGTAGGGAGGCCAGGTTTTGACTTGCGCCAGCTCAGCGCCGGCGCCTGTTGTGCCTCACAACCTTCTAGCTTGAACTCTTCGCATTCTCTAGCCATCGTCAAGCGACTTGTGCGTACTCCGTGCAGCGTCTACCAGGCGTCATGGTGGGGGTGGTGGCTCGCGACCTTCCCGGAGGCCCCTCCCCAATCGCAGCTTGCAGCGAGCAGCAGCATATGGACCACCAACCCGCCTCCAGCAGCGCCGCAAAGCAGGTTGGAGACGCCGCCTTTGGGCGGGGCGCCTTTGACCAGGCGGCCGCCGCCTACACCGCCGCTCTCCTGGGCCTGTCGGGCGCGGAGGACGAACCTCACTTGCGAGGCGTCTTGCTGGCCAACCGCTGCCTGGCACGGCTCAGGCTGGGGGCCCAGGCGGCGTCGGCGCTGGCGGACGCGCAGGAGGCCTGCCGGCTGCGGCCGCGATGGGGCAAGGCGCACCTGAGGCTCGCGCAGGTGGGGCGAAGGGCGGAGCCGCAACCAGGCAGCCAGCGGGTGCAGGTGCAGGCAGCAAATCTTGCTGCCTGGCACTCATTGGCATCAAACCTGCTATTTGCAGGCCCAGGAAAGCTGCGGGAGGATGGAGGCAGCGGCATCCAGCTACCAGCGCGCTGCGGAGCTTGATGTGGGGCTGGCGCCTGCAGTCGGCACCGCACTGGCTGCCCTGGAGCGGCGCATCTCCCGGCAGCGCTGCCTGGTGGCGCTGCAGGGCCATCAGGGGCCCATCTACGATGCCGTCATCCACCCGCAGGTGTAACTCGGCTGCTGGAGCTGGGGCAATGCGCACAATGTGGATGGCCCAGACATGAGGGGGGCCCACCAAGGCCAGGTTTCCTCAGCCAGCCAGGGACACCCTACTGCCTGCTTCCTACCCATCCCCCTCTGCAGACCTTGATGCTGGGCTCTGTGCCCACCCAGCTGGTGGCGACTGCAGGCGCCGACGCCACGGTGCGCCTGTGGTGCAGCACCACAGGCCGCCAGCTGCAGCTCCTTACCGGGCACGGCGACAGGGTCTGCCGCCTGTGCTGGAGCCCCTGCGGATCCCTGCTGGCCAGCACCTCGCTGGATGGGGCAACCCGCGTCTGGAGTATGGGCGCTGCTGCCGCCAGCAGCTTGCCGGCAAGCCTGCTGGAGCCGGGCCCAGTGTTTGGCGAAGGTGGTGATGACGGGCGCGTGAGCTGCCTTGCCTTCAGCCCCGATGGCGGCCAGCTCGCCACGGGGGCCAGCAGCGGGCAGGTGCGGCTGTGGAGCACAGGCGGTGAGGGCAGTTGCCTGCGGGAGCTCAGCAGGCACGGCGGCCTCGTCTCCTCTGTCTGCTTCTCACCCTGCAGCAGCCTGCTGGCATCGGCCTCGGGTGAGGTGCTGAAGCGGAGCCGCCATTCCCTGACTGTCTGGTTTCCCTTCACGTGTGTGTGCCTGGCTGGCTTCCTCCCCTAGCCCCTTGGGGTCTTGCAGCATGAGGATCTCCACCAGCATCACTGCCCCTGTCTATTCTCCTATGCGCAGGCGATGGCGTGTGCCGGGTGTGGAGTGCTGCCAGCGGCGAGTGCGTAGCAGACATTGCCTGGGATTCAGGCCCTGTAAACTCCTGCTGTTTTGTGCGGTGCGGCGGCGTTCAGGCTGCAGGCGCTGCCCAGGCGCCCGCACTGCTCCTCACCTGCCATGTGCAGCAGATGCGGCGCGAGGGGCGGGTGATGCTGTGGGATTTGATGCAGGCAAGCCTCGCTGGTGGCGGTGCTGCCACTGCTGCTGCTTTGCACATTCCTCAGCCAGCCGTCGGCTGCTCCCACAATTGGTTGTGCTTGCCCAACAGCTTGCCGCCCCTCTGATCGATCCACTCTGCTTCCCTTTGCTGTCCCCTCGGGCCCCCGCCGCCTGCCTGCAGCGGCGGCAGGGCTGGGTGGATGGCAAGCTGGTGGGCCCCGTGGCGTCTCTGGACGACTTTCGGGGCAAGGTGACCAGCGTGGACTCCTGCTGCTGCTCCCCGGCAGGAGGTGTTGCCGACGGCAAGACCTGCGCCGCTGGCAGCACCTCTAGAGCAGGCTCCCAGGCGGCAGGGCCAGCGGCAGCCGCCTGGGCAGGCCCACAGCCTGGCAGCTGTGGCGAGTCGCTGGCGCTGCTGGCGGCGGCCTGCAGCGACGGCACCGTGCGAGTGGTTGACCTGGCGAGCCTGGTCTCGGTGCCGGCAGAGGACAAACTGGCGGCGGCGGCGGCTGGTGCGCCACTGCTGGAGATGACTCTGCCGGAGGCGGGCGGGGCCAGTGGCGGCGACGGCGTGGGGTGGCACGCTTCGGCTGTGCAGCAGGCATCAAACGACCGGAACCTTGTGGCGCTTGCGCCCGACGGCAGCCTGCTGGCAGTGGTGGGCCCTGATTGCCGCATCCATGTGCTGGATGTGGAGGGCGGCGGGCAGGCGCAGCAGGCGCTGGCGCTGGCGGCGCACAGCCGTGGCGTGCGGGCGCTGCGCTGGCTGGGCTGCGGGCTGCGGCTGCTGTCGGCAGGCGAGGATGGCGTTGCCCGGATCTGGCAGGCAGCGCCGGCGCCGACCTGACGCCAGCCTGCCAGCCAGCACTGGCAGGCTGCTAGTGTACGCTTCTGCGCTTAACGGCCAATAGTACAGGCCTTGAACATGCTGCACAGTGCCACACAACCATGTGGACGAGTGTATTTGAATCAATTCACAATGCCCCAGCTCAGCTTCCTGTCGCAGCCCTGCCACCAACTGCTTCTACCGCTGCTTCTGCCGCTGCCTCGTCGCCGCCACATTGCAACACGTCCCCAGACCGCAGCATGCTCACTACTTGCTGCAGCTGCTGCTCCGTGCTGCACCCGGTGCTGTCCAGCCTGCACCTTAGGTCCAGGCCGATGTCTGGGGCAGCGCTCCACTCCTCACTGCCGCCGTTTCTGGCCAGCACGGTCTGCACGTCCGCCCAGCTGCCGGGCTTGTGCTCATGCTCGGTGCCCCTCTCCTGCGCTCCCCGCTGCTCCACTCGCTGCCGCCAGAGCTGCCAGTCGCTGGGCTCCAGCTCTACGAGGGCCACTCGCGCTCCATGCTGCGGGGCAGGGGCGGGCAGGCAGGCGGGCAGGGTGGGGAGGCAAGAAGGACCAGGAAGAGGAGAAGCCTAGCCGTCTGCGCCCTCCTGCACACTCGCCAGCAGCGGCTGTGCCCCACATCATCTGCTTCTCCTGCCTGATCAACAACCACGCCAGCCTCGCCGCAGCGCACCTTGGCTGCCAGCTTTGCAGCGCGGTCGTACAGCGAGCGCCGCGCCAGCGGGCAGTCTAAGACGGCGCTCAGCCCGCACGCCAGCTGCGCCTCACAATAGCTAAACATGATGTCATAGCTCAGTTGGTTCCAGTCGATGCCCAGGTGGCCTGCCACGAGGGGCTGGCAAGGGCTCCGGGCGAGGTCCTTGTCGATGAGCGGCCAACGGAGGTGCCGACACAGCGCCCTCCCCAGGTGTGACTTCCCGCTGCCCGGCTGGCCCTTGAGCAGCAGCAGCACGGGCTGCGAGGGTCTCGCAGAGCAGTTGCAAGACGGGGGGCGTGCGGCCTGCATACCAGCAGCACGCAATCGCTTGAGATGAACAGCGTGTTAGGTTTTCAAAATAGCATCTCGGGCACAGGGTATTGTATAGAGACGTATTATAGAGCCATCGCGGCGGCACAAGAGAGGTTGGTGTCTGCCGCCGCTGAGTTGGCGCCGCCGTGGCGATGGCACCAGCCTCCATAAAACGCGGCTCACGAAGCCCCATCATTATTCATTTCACCGTTTCGCCCCTCTCCCTCGGAGTTTTCCCCAGCCCAAGCTGGCACTGACCCCCACCTCGCCTTCATCACCAAACCAGTCAACTCCGACACGCAAAGATGGCCCTCTGGAAGGCTGCCGCCACTCTTTCATGCGTCCCAGGGGCATGCAGGGCCGCACCAAGGCAAGCCGGGCTGGGCATGGCCGCGGGACTCACGTTCCATCCAATGGGTCGCAAGCCCTCACTGGGGACACATTCCTGGCCCCTGCAGCCCTTTGCCGATTCATACAGCCCCTTTTTTGCGCCCCCGCAGGCTGTGCTCCCGTGCCCCAGTCGCCAACCGCCACCACCCCGCACTGCAGCGGCGCCCCGCCCAAGCCCGGCGCCTGCGCCCCCTGCGCCCCGTCGCCGCGGCCACAGCTGCGACAGTCATCGAGGAGCTGGGCTTCGCCGCTCCGCCGGCGCTGGCGCCCGCCTCCTACTCCGACGCCCTCCAGACCTCCCTCAACCGGGGCGACATCGTCACCACCGGCAAGCTGCTGGAGCTGGCCGGCCTGGCCGGAGGCGCCGACAACGCCTCCAGGGTGCGCCTTCTGGAGCGGCAGCTGGAGGGCCTGGTGCCTAGTGCCGCCGGCCTGCCCCACAACAGCCCTGCGCTGATGGATGGGGAGGCCGCCGAGGAGTGCCTGGAGCGGTGGCAGGCCGCCCCCCAGACCATTCCCGGCTTCGACACGGAGGCAACGCTGGCACTGCCGGGCCTGGCAGGTGTGCCTGGTGTGAGGGACGGTGAAGGGAGGCAGGTCAAGGGGCTGGCCTGCTCGGACCTGCCTGCCCAGACCGCCCAACACCCTGCACCAATCTGGCATGCCCTCACTCTGCAGATGTGGCGGTGGTGTCCCGTGGCGGGCGGAAAAACAATTGTTGGAAGGGCGTCAACCAGGACGCCTTTCTGGCCTGCCCCGTGGCCAGCCCCTCTGGCGCCTCTCCCGCACTGCTGCTGGGCGTGTTTGACGGCCACGGCTGCGGCGGCGACAACGCGAGCCACACCGCGGCCGGCGGGCTGGCGGGGGCGGTGCCCGCAATTCGCAACCAGCTGCAGGCTGACGCGGGGTGGAGCCGCGACGGCGCCAGCGCCAGCGCCGCCCCTGTGCCCCAGCAGGCGCTGGTGCATGCCTTCCAGGCTGTGGCGGCCAGCATGCGCTACGACTCGGATTTCCAGGACTGCGGCGCCGCCGCAGTGGCCTGCCTGGTGGAGGAGGACAGGTGTGTGGCGGGCGGGTGGGTGGAGGGGTGCATGGGTGTTGACAGTTGGGTAGCCAGTCTGCAATGTGGTCAGCCCCTGCTGATCTGTTGGCGCTCCACATCCTGCCTCCCTGCTCGCAGCATCACGGCCGTGTGGGCGGGCGACTGCCGCGCGGTGGTTGGCCTGAGCGTAGACACCCCGGCCGGTCCCTCGGTGCTGGTCCATGCCCTGACACAGGACCACAAGCCCAGCAGGTGGGTGTGGCAGGGGGCCTGGGGCAGCCAAGCCGGGATGGATGTGCTGCCTTCTTCACCGCCCCACACAAGCAACCGACGCCCAACTGGCTGCCTCCCCTGGGCGTTGCCTGCAGCGCGCTGGAGTGCGCCCGCATCAAGGCCAGCGGGCAGGGACGCGTGGTGCGGGCTGGACGCACCGCGCGGCTGTGCGGCAAGTACGGCAGCAACACGCTGTCGCTCAGCCGCGCCTTTGGCGACGCATGTGAGTGCCTGCTTGGCTCCTTGCCCGCCTCAGCTTGCTCGGGCCTGCGCTCTGCATTGCCCACCCGCGTATGCCAGCCTTGCCTAATCATGTCCTGCTCCGCCCTGTTGCCTGCAGGGGCGGTGCCGCTGGGCCTGACTGCCGAGCCGGACGCCGTGACTCTCACGCTGCCGCCTGCTGTGCCCACTACCACCGCCGCCTCCAGCGCTGGCTCCCCAAGCTGCCGCCTGGACAGCTTTGTTAGCGGCAGCTCTGTGAGCACTGATGTTGATGATGCCCACCCGGCCGCCTTCCCCGCCCGCCACGTGCTGGTACTGGGCTGCGATGGCTTGTGGGACATGCTCAGCAACGATGCCGCTGTGGCCATCGCCATGAGGTAGGATGGCATCCATGCTGTGGATGCTCACGGTTGGTGCAGGACACGTCACCTGTGCCCCTTGTTTTCGGGACCAGTATTCAACGGGCTTGCCCCTCCCTCGTCACTCCTTGTGCTGCAGCTGCCAGACCGCCAAGGAGGCGGCAGGCGCGCTGATGCACGCGGCCCGCCGGAACTGGGCAGCCACCTGCAGCGGCGTGTGGGTGGATGACATTACGGTTGCAGTGGCGATGCTGCCGTAACCTGTTGCGCAATCTGCACCTGGGCGTGAGTTTGCGCAATGCGGCGCATTCTAAGTTGTTAGATAACGTTGTTGTACCTGTTGCAAACAAGTTGTACCTGTTTCAAAGTTGCTCTCTCTCACATCACAGATCTCCTAAAATATATTGTACCACTCTCCTCTCAGGTCAGGTAGGCCTCCCGGTAAGGATGTGCCCCATGATGGGCATGATGGCCCCCCACCTGGAGGGTCATTGGGGACATCATCCTCAATCATGCATCATTCTCCCTCCCGTTTGTTCTGTTGGCATCCCAGCAACCGTAATATGCTTTCTAGGACATGAGCCACCACTTTAGGGTGAAGGTGGTTAGCAAGACCACGGCCCCCAGGCCTCTAGACGGGCCACAGCCAAAAAGATCCCGTGCAAGTAGACCAGGACAACAAGCTCCCTTCAATGTGCCAGGGCAGGCCAGGCGGCGGGGTGAGAGGGATGACAACGAGGATGAGCGAGCACCCAGCGGCTTCTTAGGCTGGGGCGACCGGCAAGGACGCAAACGTGATCACTGGGAGGCTCGGCTCGGAGCGGACGTGGATGCCTTCTTGGCCTCTCTGCCGGGCCGGGCGGCGCAGCAGCGGCAGGAGCGCCAGCAGCAGCTCCAGCAGCGGCAAGCCCAGCTGGCCAGCATGGAGCCGCTTCCTTGCCACTTAGCAGCAGAAAATGGCAGCTGCTGTGAGTTGCACAAGACGGGCAGCCAGGCAGCTGTGTTTTATGGGCCGCTCGGCGTGGTGGGCAGGCTCACGTTGCCGGTATGGGAGTGCAAGACGCATGGGCGCCCCAATATCACCGTGCACCCTCTCCAGATCAGCTGTGTGCCGACTGCGCCAGTCAATAACACCAAGCTGCTTGATGTGGAGCTTGTCAGGCAGTTCCGCTTGCTGCAACTGCTCAACGG